ATAAGCTCATAGAGTTATGTGAGGAGAAAATGAGATATTAGGTAGAAAACCCTTAGCCCAATGCCTGGTACTGCAGTTGTAATGCATGATCACTGCTTGCTCTTATGAAACACTATACTGCAGAAAAGTCTTGTTTCACTGCCTCATTCGTTATGAAAAGCCAAAGCACAAGCAAATGCTTTGGAAGCAAAGAAGAAGGAGGAGTGATTTTGACACAAATTCCAGCAGAACCAAAACCCACAGAAACCACCAAAACTAAACAGAAGGGGAAATTTATTTAACCTTTGGAAAGCTAGAATTTTTGTCTCTCATGCTGATGCTAAATGGCAGAGCATAATTACAGCATATGGTTCCATGTGGTGAGTGTGGAATGCAGGAGAATGTGAGAGTGTGCAAACTTCCAGCTGGCTCCTGGCCTGGTGACAGGGCAGCACCACGGGTCTTGAGCTTGAGCTGAGCTTGGCAAAGGAGAGGTACAGAATGCTAGGGGTAAGGAGCTTTCCTGGCCTTATCTGGCCTGCCTGTGCTGCTTCTCCATCTTCAATACCTCCCTTTAACCTCTTTATGGCAGAATGATGATCATCTTGCAGGACTCAACTCTGAGAGCCCTCCCCTGCCATCCCTCTAGGAAGCATTTTCACATGATCCCTAGGAGGAAATACCTTCCTTGCTGCTTACCACGGCTTATTTGTATTTGGAGCATTTTGTAACAGGACTATCTTTATTAGATTACTGGTGAACATTTTCTGCATTTGTTTCCATCTGTCTTTGTTTGATTTGGGGCTGGGGATTGAACCAAAAATCTATGAAGCATAAAGTCTACTGCTGCGAGGCCTCAATAAGGATTACTGACTGGATTAAAAAAATTTCTACTTTAATCATTTTTTTTCTTATAAATAAGCTCAAACTACCTCCTAAGCATCTCCTTGATTCCTGACTCAGATTAGATTTCTCTCTCTCTCTTTTTTTTTTTTTTCCTGAAGCTTGAACTCAGGGCCTGGGCACTGTCCCTGAGATTATTTTAGTTCAAGCCTAGTGCTCTACCACTTGAGCCACACCTCCACTTCCAGCTTTTTTTGGGTCAATTGTGGGGCTTGAACTGTGAGCCTGGGTGTTGTCCCTGAGCTCTTTCACTCAAGGTTAGTGCTCTACCCCTTGAGCCACAGCATCACTTTGGTTTTCTGGTGGTTAATTGGACATAAGAGTCTAATGAACTTTCCTGCCTCGGCTGGCTTTGAACCATGATCCTCAGATCTCAGCCTCCTGAGTAGCTAGGATTATAGGTGTGAGCCACCAGTACTCAGCAATTTTTTTTTTAATGCCAGTACTGGAGTTGAATTCACAGTCTCACATATTTATTTGGCTTTTTCCAATTAAGGCTGTCACTTGAGCTACACTTCACTTCTGGCTTTTTGCTGTTGAATTGGAGCGTCTCATGGCCTAAGCCTGGTGTTAATGACTCACCCTTTAATGCTAGCTATTCAGAAGGCTGAGATCAGAGGATTAAAAGTAAAGCCCAGGCTGCTTTTAACCTCAATCCTCAAATCTCAGCCTACTGAGTAGTTAGAATTATAGGCATGAGCCACCAGTGCCTGGATCTTTGTCTTTTTCTTACAGGATCTAATTATGTAATTCAGGCTAGCCTTGAACTTGCAATCCCCCAGAGAGTTGAGATTACAGGTATATACAGGCTTTATGGATCATCCTTTATGTTTTCTTTTTCTTTTTTGGTGGGAGTTGGGGGGAGAATAGAGGATCATCTTTTTTTTTTTTTTTTTTTTGTCAGTCATGGGACTTGAACTCTGGACCTGGATGCTGTCCCTCAGCTCTTCAGCTCAAGGCTAGAGCTCTACCACTTGAGCCACAGTGCCCACTTCCGGCTTTTTCTGCTCATGTGGTGCTGAGGAATTGAACCCAGGCCTCATGCATGCAAGGCAAGCGCTCTACCACTGAGCCACCTTCCAAGCCCCAGGATCATCTTTTAAAAAATAAAAAATATTTCATTCATGATAGAGTAGAATGTTCTCTATTGTGAGGAGGGTATTACTGGGAGGAGAGTGATTGTTGCCTAAATACTTTATCTGCAAGTATAAAATAAAACAATGAAACCAGGTGAGATTATTTTCAGAAGTAGGGAAAGGAGATAAGAGTGATCAAAGGGGTAGGGTTGATGGGATACATTCTATCTAATAATAAAAACTCATAGTAGGGCTGGGAATGTGGCTTACTGGTAGAGTGCTTTCCTAGCATGCACGAAGCCCTGGGTTGGATTCCTCAGCAACATGTATGCAGAAAAAGCTGGAAATGGTGATGTGGCTCAAGTGGTAGAATGCTAGCCTTGAGCAAAAGAAGCTCTGGGACAGTGCCCAGGTCCTGAGTTCAAGCGGGGAGGACAGGAAAAAAAGTATAGTAATAACAAAAGATACGTTGTATATAATAATAAATAGTTACAGTAGTGACAAAGGGTCAGCTAAGAGACAAAGCTGACTAATTAATTTAGTGTTTCTCAGTGTGGGAGCAATAGTTGGGCTCCAACTTGTTTTTAGATGTCAGCAAAAATGTCTCAGCCTTGGAAGTGGTGCTGTGACTCAAGCGGTAGAGTGCTCTCCTTGAGCTGAAGAGGGCAGGGACTGGGCCCAAGCCCAGAGTTCAAGCCCCACGACCAACCAAAACAAAAAAAAAAAAAGTCTCAGCCTAAAGGAACATTCCCTCATCCCTAATAATTCACTCTTATAACATCACACTTCTCTTCATACCTCTGTAATGACTTACTTTCCTTAGCCACTGTCCCATGAAGGCAGTAACTGTGTCATTCATCTGTATGTATCCAGTTCCTAGCCTGTTGCCTGAGCAGGTGCTCAATACTTGTGTATGGAGGAGATAAAATACACTCACAAAAGAGACAACATCACTGTGGAATTTGTTGGAACTAAAACATATATTCCTTAACAACAACAGAACATTGCAAAAGAATAGATTTGTAGTAGGGTATAGCTTTCTGCTTAAAGGGATTCTTTTTGTGGTACTGGAGTTTGAGCTAAGAGACTCATCCTTGCTTGACAGGCACTCTACCACTTGAGCCATGCCTCCAGTACTTTTGGGCTTTTAGTTATTTTTTTATATAGGATCTTAAGTTTTGTCCATGCTAGCCTAGATAGACTTTGTCACACTACTTAACTGTCTCTCACACACATAAACTATCACACTGATCGTATTGGTTCAGATAAGATCTCCATAACTTTTTGCCTAGGCTGGCTTCCAACCACATCCTCCTGATATCTACCTCCTCCTAAATACTTGACATTTCAGGTATGAGCTAATCTACCTAGCTATAGTTTCTTTTAATGGGAAAAACCTATTTTTGAAGAGTCAATGGGGTGATCCTCTCAGTATAAATACATAATACAAAGTAACAATCTCTGTGCAGGGACTAGAGTGTGATTAAGCCTCCTGTGATACATTCTAGACATCACTTTTCTTGATATTCCTGAGGTAGAAAGGGAGGAAGGGAAACAGAAGAGAGATGGATTAATTTTCAATAGGATCTCAGTGGTTCAAAGAATCAGAGTAGGTAGCCATGGTAAGGTGTTGGGTAAGGAGGAGGCAGCAGGCTAAGATTATACTGGCTCAGACTCAGAAATTAAACAAGAGGGGAAAAAAGTGAAACGCAAAACACAGTCAGAGTTGGGGGCTGGTGGCTCATGCCTTAAATCCTAGCTACTCAGAATGCTGAGATCTGAGATTTGCAGTTCAAAGTCAGCCTGGGCAGGAAAGGCTTTGAGAAACTGTTGTCTCCAATTAGCCACCAGAAAACCAGAAATGGCACTGTGGCTCAAAGTGGTAGGGCACTAGTCGAGCAAAAATTGCTCAGGGAGAGAGAGTCCAGACCCTGAGTTTAAGCCCCACGACAGACAAAACAAAAAACAGGACTGCTTTGACCCAAGACTGTGGCTAGTAATGAAAATTGTCCCCTTTCCCATGAGAGAGGGATTCTTTTCCCCCAAACAATGGTGCTGGCCCAACCTGGTCAGGAAGCTGGCTAAGTAAGCCTAAATCACAAGAAGGCCCTAGACCTTCTACTGGACGGAAGACCAGATTTCCAATGCTACACTTAGTGGAGCAGGTTATACCGGTTGTATATGCAAAATGTAGGACAAATTGAAGGAGCACAGATCAAAGAGGGAAGAAAATGATATGAGGTTATTCTACAATCAAACAATTCAGTGTTTTCATAGACCAGCAGCATAAACCATCATCTAGAAACTTACCGAATGCAGGATCACAGGTTCCATAATCCAACTTCCTAAATCCGAGTCTGCAATTTAACAACTTCCTCAGGTGATGTACATGAATATTAATAGTTGAAAAGCATTATCCAGGATTACTGGGTTAGGCACTGTTGTGGTTCTAGTAATAGAGAGCCAGCCTGAGAGAAGGAAAACCTAAGGCCCTGAGTCCAAGAACGACGCCCTTTCCTGTCCCCCAGATATGGAGGAGCCTCAGGTGGTCCCAGAAGATAAAAGACCAGTGGAGAGAAAGAGGCCTGAGTGTTTGTCTTGGAGTACCCTGTCTTGAATGGACGGAAGGAGGGGACAGGACCTCCACTGGGATGTCCAAACTTAGAGATAATAATAGTTCAGAAGGGCCTGAGGTAGCCAAATCATAGGACTGCTGTCACTTATCATTAACCTTCTCTGACACTCTTCACACTTTTGGGAAGGAGATAGATCCTAGGGAAGGAACCCCAAATCTTGCACATATGAGGCAAGCACACCACAACTGAGCTACATCTCCAGCCTACTCTACTCCATTTCAGGTCTCCAACACTTTCAGTAAACTGGCCAGCAGGCCTGCAGCTGGTTGGGTTCGATGCGGTCTAGTTCGGTTGCTTCGGCCTAGTTCTGTTGCCAAGGCCTGGAGCTTCGTGGTTGCGGGGGAAATGACGTCACGCTCTATGGGCGGGCTAAAATTACACCTTCCTCCTTCCCGGATTGGCTGCCAAGTGTTGACTAGATTCGCAGTCTCGCGCGCTCCGGGGTTGGTTATCTCTCTCCGTCTGGGACAAGATTCCGAGGACAGGTATTCGTCGAGCACTGAATTTCGGGAGGAGAGGTGATTCGAATAATCCAGCTTCTGCCACCATGCTAAGCACTTTGGCCTCTCCAGGTACATTTTGGCCCAATCGACTGGCCGTAGTTGGAAAGGCTACCTGAACCGAAGGGAATTGTGGAATTTATAGTTCTCAACTAGGTTTCGGTGGAACCGAGACTCCAGGAAGACAGTTGTTATTGTTTTTCGGGAGGGGTGGGGGCGGGAAAATGTAGACTTTAACTAGAGGCCTGGGAAAGGAAGAGGAGTCTATATTAAGAACCCTGCAATTAGCCTTGTTTTTTTTTTTTTCTTTTCTTTTCAGGCGCTGACCCTAACCTAAATCCATCACTTTCCAATTAAAATTGTTGATTCACGACGGTGAAAGGGACTAGTCATCCAAATGGAGCTGCCACCTGTCAGTCCAATGCGAGAGGAAGACGCCTCTCAATCACAACAACAATGGGAAAAGAATTCCTGGGAGAACGAAACTCCTGAGCTGGGAGTGAGTCAAGATCCAGCCAGGCAGATTCTAGGGGATCCTCAAGGGTCTGAAAAACTAGTGGCTGGACTTGAATTAGACGCTGATAAATCTCAGGAACCAACCAAGGAGACGCTGGAGCCTTTACAAGCTTCTCATCTCTGGTACTGTCCCGATGGGAGCTTCGTCAAGAAGATCATAACCCGGGGCCATGGCTTGGACAAACCCAAGCTAGGTTCTCATTGTCGAGTATTGGCTTTTGGGTTTCCTTTTGAGTCAGGGCTGCCAGAAGGCCCATCAGAACTAACTGTGGGTGTAGGATCATGGAAGGAGGGCACGTGGAGGGAGCTCATTGAAAAGTGCTTAGAATCCATGTGTCAAGGTGAGGAGGTAGAGCTTCAGGTTCCTGGGCACTCTGGACCTCCCGTCAAGCTCACACTGGATTCCTTCACTCAGGGCCGGGACTCCTGGGAGCTGGGGACTAGTGAGAAGGAAGCTTTGGCCATGGAAGAACGTGCAAGGGGCACAGAACTATTTCGAGCTGGGAACCCTGAAGGGGCCGCCCGATGCTATGGACGGGCTCTTCGCCTGCTGCTGACTTTACCTCCACCTGGCCCTCCAGAACGAACTGCCCTACATGCCAATCTCGCTGCCTGTCAGTTACTGCTAGGGCAGCCCCACTTGGCAGTTCAGAGCTGTGACCGGGTGCTGGAACGGGAACCTGGCCATTTAAAGGCATTATACCGAAGGGGGGTGGCTCAGGCTGCGCTTGGGAACCTGGAAAAAGCAACTGCTGACCTCAAGAAGGTGTTAGCAGTAGACCCGCAAAACCGGGCAGCCCAGGAGGAGCTGGGGAAGGTAGTCATTCTGGAGAAGAAACGGGATGCTGGGCTGGCTCAGGGTCTGCGCAAGATGTTTGGCTGATTAAAAAGTTAAACCTTAAAAGAGACAGGAATCTGTGAATTGTGGTCTGTGCTGTGAAATTTTTAGGGGCCCAGAGGGAAGGTTTCGGCCCATACCCTGTTCTTCCGGCGTGGTAGTACTAAAGACCTCAGTGCACATCTTTGCGGGGAAGCATATCTATCCAAAAACGTTGGGAACTTGTTGAAATTTAGGACTGGCTGGGGAAGGCGGAGGGGAAGGTGCCGGACCTTTAAATCTTTTGAACTACATTTACCAGGTACCTTATCTTGGTCTGCGGTGCGCGTGCGCCAGCTTCGCGGCGCTCCCATTGGTCCTGCCTGTACACTCGTCATCTACATTCACATGCGGGGGTGGGGTTATCCTGGTCTCTTATTGGTGTGTAGGACTTCCGGTATTGCCCCCTGTTTTGGAAGAGCGGTCTGATTCGTGGGTGAAGGGGAGAGGCGGGTCTTGGGAGCCGTCTTTTGGTCGGGGGGTGGGGGGGGAAAGATGGCGGAACTGATGCTCATCAGCGAGATCGCGGACCCGACGCATTTCTTCACCAACAATATTCTGAGCCCGGAGGACTGGGGTGCGCGGTGGGCGGCTCCGGGGAGGGGAGCGGGCCATGGCAAACTGTGTCCCCGAGGCACGCGGGAAGAAGCGAAGGCCCAAAGAGGAAGGCTGGGAAATAGCGAAACCGCCATCTGAAGGAGGGCGGAGCAGAGGGCCTCCCGTGGTTTCGGGGGATTCGGGTGTGGAGGAAGATCGCCCCCCTCGGCGAGGGCCATGGAGTGGTTCCGCGGCCGGGGAAGGAGGCGGCGTCGTTCCCGGGCTGTGTCATTTTTTCTAGTGGGCGGGCGGTGGGTCTGGCCCAGCTGAGCCAATGAGGGCTGGGGCTGGGCTGGTGTGGGGTGTGCGGGCCGGGCGACCCTCTTGACACGCCGCCTCGCTTGCAGACAGCCCCTTGTACAATGCCTTGGATGAAGAGGCCGAGGCGCAGACAGAGCTTTTCCGCTGCGTGGAGCAGGATGTCCCGGTATTGCTCGCCTACCTTTTCTGTAAACTCGTGGTGGGTGGGAATGGTCCCAGAACTCGGACTCACCAAGCCAGATCTCACCTGGGATCACCTCTACGTTCTCTCATTCCTGCCCTCCGATATCCTCTCTTCAGTTCGACAGCGGCTCCCTGGATGTGGGGATGGATATCAGTCCCCCTGAACCTCCGTGGGACTCCCTGCCTATCTTCCCAGGTGAGAAAGCCTTTATGGTTCCCTTCATCTTTCCAGAAGCCCACATCTTCCCACTGTTTGCCAAATCGCTGTTATCCCCTGTGTCCCCTCTCACCCCCTATATAACTGAATGTACATCCCTCTCTCTGATCCCTCCTGGTGTTCTTGCCCCGTGTCCTGGGGAGGGTTCCCTACCCCAAATCATTAGGCACTTTTTTAGATTCTTCTCAGCCTATTTACTAGTTATTTTCTATGCCCTCTTCCTCCAGATCTTCAGGTGAAGTCTGAGCCATCTTCCCCCTGTTCTTCCTCCTCTCTCAGCTCAGAATCATCACATCTCTCCACAGAGCCCTCCAGCCAGGTGAGAACCATCTCTTTGTGGCAGGACCTTTGGTCCATTCCCTTCATCCATGGATGCCAAGGAAATGATTTGTGTTCTATGAGTTATAAGGCGGGGGCTTCTGCGTTTGCCTGCTTTTTCATCACCTTCATTTTTCATGCCTTCCACTCTGGTTGTCTAGAAGTGAATATGGAGTCTTTGGGGTTTTTTGGTTGGTTGTGGGGCTTGAACTCAGGGCCTGGATACTGTCCCTGAGCTTCTTTGTGCTCAACTAGCTCTCTACCACTTGGACACAGAGCCATTTCGGGTTTTTGAGTGATTAATTGGAGATGAGAGTCTCATAGGACTTTTCTGCCCAGCTTGGCTTTGAACTGTGTTCCTTAGATCTCAGCCTCCTGAGTAGCTAGGATTACAGGTGTGAGCCACCAGTGTCAGCTAAAGATGGAATCAATCTTCCTTTCTTTCTTTGTTTTTGGTCCGGTCGTGGGGCCTGAACTCTGGGCCTGGGCGCTGTCCCTCAGCTCTTCAGCTCAAGGCTAGCGCTCTACCACTTGAGCCACAGCACCACTTCTGGCTTTTTTCTTTTTGCTTATGTGGTGCTGAGGAATCGAACCCAGGGCCTCAGGCATGCAAGGCAAGCGCTCTACCACTGAGCCAACTTCCCAGCCCCCTTTCTTTCTTCTTTCATTCCTCCTTTCCTTTCCTTTCCCTCCCTGTGTCCCTTTCTTTCTTTCTTTCTCTCTCTCTTTCTCTCTTTTCTTTCTTTTTTTTTTTTTTTGTCGGTCGTGGGGCTTGAACTCTGGGCCTGGGCGCTGTCCCTCAGCTCTTCAGCTCAAGACGAGCACTCTACCACTTGAGCTACAGCGCCACTTCCGGTTTTCTGGTGGTTTATTGGAGATAGGAGTCTCACGGTCTTTCCTGCCCGGGCTGGCTTTGAACCTCGATCCTCAGATCTCAGCCTCCTGAGTAGCTAGGATTACAGGCGTGAGCCACCAGTGCCCGGCTCTTTCTTTCTTTCTTATCCTGGGGCTTGAATTCAGGGCCTAGGCTCTGTCCCTGAGGCTGTTTGTGCTCAAGACTAGCCCTCTACCACTTGAGCCACAGTACAACTTCTGAAAATGGAGTCTTTTTAATATGCAGAGATTGTGTGGCAGTAGTGGTAGGGCTAAGAAGAAGACAGTTTTTTTTTGTTTTTTTGATATTTTTTGGCCAGTCCTGGGGCTTGAACTCAAGGCCTGGACACCGTCCCTGAGGTTCTTTTACTCAAGACTCACAGCTTCACTTCCAGCTTTTTTTTTTTTTGGTAGTTAGTTGGAGATAAGAGTGGCATGGACTTGCTGGCCTGGACTGACTTCAAACCAAGATCCTCAGATCTCAGCCTCCTCAGTAGTTAGGACTATAGGCATGAGCCACCAGTGCCCAGCTAGAAGACAGTTGTTAACTGTTGAGAATTCTGGAACCGTTCTTGTCCATCTTGTCCACTGTAAGACTAAGATGATACTTGAAATCAAGAAACCTTATCACTCCTACCTGGAATAAAGTAGAAAGAAAGAACAAAAAGCCAGGGACTATTTTGGAAGATACTTAGTACCATTCAAATCACAATGTCAGATAATTGGTGGCTTGTAAGTTCTGAAGCTCAAACTTTTGTTACTCCTCCTCCTCCTCCTCCTCCTCCTCCTCCTATTATTATTATTATTATTTGTACTAGGGCTTAAACTCAGGATCTGGGTGCTGTTCCTTGTTGTTTATTTGTTGTTGTTGTTGGTCTTGGGACCTGAACTCTGGGCTTGGGCGCTCGCTGTTCGAACTCTGGGCTTGGGCGCTCGCTGTTCCTGAGCTCTTCATCTCAAGGCCAGCGCTCTACCACTTGAACTACAGTGCCACTTCCAGCTTTTTCTGCTTATGTGGTGCTGAGGAATTGAACCCAGAGCCTCATGCCTATGAAGCAAGCAACTCTATCACTGAGCCACTTTCCCAGCCATTTTGTTTGTTTGTTTTTCAAACAAAGCTTGTGGTCTACCATTTAAGCCATAGCTCCACTTCCAGTTTTTTTGGAGGTTACTTGGAGATAAGCCTCTCACAGGATCATGAATTTGAATCATGAGTCTCATATCTCAGTTTCCTGAGTGGCTAGGATTACAGACTTGAATAGCCCGTACACAGCTTTGTTCCTGTTCTTATTTTTTTTTGTTTTGGTGCTGGTCTTGAGGCTTGAACTCGAGGCCTTGGCTGTTCCTGAGCTTTTTTGCTCTACCACTTGAGCCACAGGACTCTCATGGGTTTTCTTTCCTGACCTGGCTTTGAACCATGATCCTCATATCTCAGCTTCCTGAGTAGCTACGATTACCAGCCTGAGCCAGTTCTTTTTCTTACTCTGAGTAGCTAAGATTGCCAGCATGAGCCGTGAACAGGCATCAATTTTCCATGGCTTATCCGAGCCCTACCCCATTCCTGCAAATGAGACCTGTCTATGCTTCTCATGGTCATCCCCAAACTGGGACATACCCCGTGTGTTGAGGGAGTTTAAATCTTTAAATCTTGATACATCACTTTCCCCCTGGTAGGGATTTGGGGATCACTTGAGACATTTTTGTGCAGATTTTATGTAAGCCACTGTTGGTAAAGGTGTTGGAAATGGATCTTAGCAAATTATACATTAGTAGAGTGAATAGTCTCCACCTCCATTAGGCAATTCTGGTTCTGAAACCATCTATGTCAAAACAGCCTTCTCCCCTGAGACAGTTCTGAGCCATCACTCAGAGTGACAAATTGACTTTTGTGAATTTGCATCAGAGGAGAGGCTAGAGAACTAGTTTGACTTTTTTTAAGGTGCTACTATTTTCTGTAACTCAGGCAACTTTGAGACATGTCCTTTACCAGAAATGTGCCAGTTATCACCAGCCTAAGTTGGATTGTGTCCTTCCTCCTGCCCTTAACATCTGTCCTTGGCTTTGGCTTTGTCTGGTGGAGGGGTTAGATGGCTCAGACTTTTTTTTCCGTTATTTATTTATTTTTATTTTATTTTTGGTCAGTTGTGGGGCTTGGAACTCTGGGCCTGGGTGCTGTCCAAAACTCTTCAGCTCAAGACAAGCACTCTACCACTTAAGCCACAGTGTCACTGTGGTTTGCTTAGTTGATTGGAGATAAGAGTCTCACAGACTTTCCTTCCCATGCTGGTTTTGAACTGCGATCCTCAGATCTCAGCCTCCTGAGTAGCTAGGATTATAGGCATGAGCCGCCGGTGCTTAGCTGGCTCAAACTTTCTTTTTTCTTTTTTTTCCTTTTTGTCAGTCATGGGGCTTGAACTCAGGGCCTGGGCACTGTCCCTGAGCTTCTTTTGCTCAAAGCTAGCATTCTATCATTTGAACATCAGCACCACTTCTGGCTTTTTCTGTTTATATGGTACTGAGGAATCGAGCCCAGGGTTTCATGCATGCTACGCAAGTACTCTACCACTAAACCTCATTCCCAGCCCTGCTCCAGGTTTCAACCCTGTGGAGAGGGAAGAAAAAGGTGGTTTCAACCACAAACCAATTTATGCTACTGTTCCAATGTCAAAATTAAAGGGAATATATTGAAAAAAATATATATATATTACCAGGATTAGCCAGCTCTTGATCTTATTCTTACCACCAGCACCTAGCTGTTGTTATTCTTCATGCATCTTGTGTTGCCTTTTATTCCTTCTGCCTCCTTGTTCCACCCTAACTCTTACTCAGGTGCCTAGAGTACAGGAGGTACTGCATGTGAAGACAGAGTCCTTAGCACCTCCACTCTGCCTCCTGGGAGATGACCCAGCATCACCATTTGAAACTGTCCAGATCACTGTGGGCTCTGCCTCTGATGATCCTTCAGGTAATAACAGTCTGCCAATAATCCTGGGCTGTACCTGGGTAGAATGCACATCTGTGTACATGTGTATAGCTATAGGAGGGGGCAAGGAGGACAAAGTGGGCAGGTAAAATTGCAGGAGAGAATGAGAATCTTTGGAAACTGAAGCAAAGACATCAATGAGGAGATAAAGGGTGTGTGTGTGTGTCTGTGTGTCTGTGTGTGTGTGTGTGTGCTAGTATTGGGGTTTGAACTGAGGGCCTTGCACTTTTTTTTTTTTTTTGGGTCCAGTTGTGGGGCCTGAACTCTGGGCCTGGGCGCTGTCCCTCAGCTCTTCAGCTCAAGGCTAGCACTCTACCACTTGAGCCACAGCGCCACTTCTTTTTTGCTTATCAGGTGCTGAGGAATCGAACCCAGGGCCTCATGCATGCAAGGCAAGCGCTCTACCACTGAGCCACCTTCCCAGCGGGCCTTGCACTTTTGCCTGGTCTTTTAATTTATTCACAACTGGTACTCTACCACTTGAGTCATGTCTCCTGTTGTAACTTTTTGCTGGTTAAATGGAGATAAGTGTCTCAATATTTGTCTATCCAGACTGGCTGTTATTCATCTTTTTATTAATTTACATTTTTTTAAAGTTGTAGATAGGGCTGGGAAGGTGGCTCAGTGGTAGAGCGCTTGCCTTGCATGCCTGAGGCCCTGGGTTCAATTCCTCAGCACCACATAAGCAAAAAGAAAAAAGCCAGAAGTGGCGCTGTGGCTCAAGTGGTAGAGCACTAGCCTTGAGCTGAAGAGCTGAGGGACAGCGCCCAGGCCCAGAGTTCAGGCCCCACAACCAGACCCAAAAAAAAAATAATAATAATAAAGTTGTGGATAGTTGAGGGCTTGTGTGTTTAATTGTGTTACTATTCCCTGCAACATTCCTTTTTTTTCTTTCTGAGCTGAGACCTCACTGTGTTGCCCAAGCTTACTTTGAACTCCTGAGGCCAAGAGCTTCCCAAGTGCCAGTCTATGTTACCACACCCAACTTCACCCAATATTTCATTATAAAAAAATTTTAAATGTAGAGGAAGGTTGGAATACCATATATCTGACATCTAGATTCTTTAATTAATATCATTTGTAGTGTTGGTGTTTTGTTTTTTTGTTTTGTGCTGGTACTGGGCTTTAACTCAAGGCGTGGTTGTTATCTCTGAACTATTTTTTTTTTTTCTCGGTCATGGGGCTTGAACTCTGGGTCTGGGCACTGTCCCTCAGCTCTTCAGCTCAAGGCAAGTGCTCTACCACTTGAGCCACAGCACCACTTCTGGTTTTCTGGTGGTTAATTAGAGATAAGAGTCTCACAGATTTTCTTGCCCTGGCTGGCTCTGAACCGTGATCCCTAGATCTTAGCCTCTAAAGTAGCTAGGATTACAGGCATAAGCCACTGGCACCCAGCTGAATTACTTTTTTTTTGCCAGTCCTGGCGTTTGAACTCAGAGCCTGGGCTCTTTTCCTGAGTCTCTCTGTGCTCAAAGCTAGTGCTCTACCACTTGAACCACAGTGCCACTCTGACTTTTTTTTTGTTTGTGTGTAGTACTGAGGAATAGAACCCAGGGCTTCATGCATGCTAGGCAAGCACTCTACCACTAAGCCACATTCTCAGCCCTCCTGAACTACTTTTGCTCAAGGGTAATGCCCTACCACTTGAACCACAGCTCTACTTCAGACTTTCTTTGAATAGTTTGTTGGAGATGAGAGTTTCACAGACTTTCCTGATTTAGGCTGGCTTCAAACTGTGATCCTCAGATCTCAGCCACCTTAGCAGCTAGGATTGCAGGCATGAACCATAAGTGTCCAGCCTGTGTGTGTGTGCGCGTGTGCGTGCGTGCATGCGTGCATCTGCTCTTGCCTGTCCTGAGGCTTGAATCAGGGCCTAGGTACTGTCCTTGAGCTTTTTTGCTGAAGGCCAGCACTGTTTGCCACTTGAGGGAGAGCTCTACTTCTGGCTTTCTGGTTGTTAATTGGAGATAAGAGTCTCACAGGAGCCGGGCGCTGGTGGCTCACACCTGTAATCCTAGCTACTCAGGAGACTGAGATCTGAGGATCGCGGTTCAAAGCCAGCCCGGGCAGGAGAGACCGTGAGACTCTTATCTCCAATAAACCACTAGAAAACCGGAAGTGGCGCTGTAGCTCTATTTCTCGCCTTGAGCTGAAGAGCTGAGGGACAGCGCCCAGGCCCAGAGTTCAAGCCCATGACCGACCAAAAAAAAAAAAAGAGTCTCACAGGGCCTGGGAAGGTGGCTCAGTGGTAGAGCGCTTGCCTTGCACGCATGAGGCCCTGGGTTCCATATCTCAGCACTACATAAACAGAAAAAGCCAGAAGTATCACTGTGGCTCAAGTGGTAGAACGCTAGCCTTGAGCTGAAGAGCTGAAGGACAGTGCCCAGATCCTCAAATCTTAGCCTCCTGAAAAGCTAGAATTACAGGCATGAGCATCTGGTTTCATTTGTAGTATTTTTCTGTATTCTTAGGTTTATTTATTCATGAGTGGATTCAACAGGTCTTTTTTTCTTTTTAAAGTTCTTTTTCTTTTTGCCAGTTGTAGGGCTTGAACTCAGGTTTTGGATGCTGTCCCTGAGCTTTTTTTTTTTCCTTTTTTTTTTTTGCTCAAGGTTAGCACTATTACCACTATATCACTAGAGCCATAACTCCACTTCTGGCTCTTTTGGTAGTTAATTGGAGATACAAGTCTTAAGGACTTTCTTGCCCAGCCTGGCTTTGATCTAAAATCCTAAGATCTCAGCCTCCTGAGTAGTTAGGATTACAGGTGTGAGCCACCAGCATCTGGCCAAACAAGTATTTTAAATAATTGTACAAAGGGGTTTCAGTTCAACAAGTCAGGTTTTGAGCAAAATGCGTCTTGATTAATGTCACCCCTCCCATGTTTTCTCCTATCTTTCCCAATCACATCCATATCATCAAGTTACATAGTTTAGCTTTGACTTAATGTACATTGAATATTATGACTGTCTTTGCCCACCTTTCTTCTCCATAATGTCCACCTCACCTCTCCCTTGCTCTCCCTCATTCCCAACAAGTCCATAGGTCTTTTTTTTTTTTTTTGGTCCAGTCGTGGGGCCTGAACTCTGGGCCTGGGCGCTGTCCCTCAGCTCTTCAGCTCAAGGCTAGTGCTCTACCACTTGCGCCACAGCACCACTTCCGGCTTTTTTCTTTTTGCTTATGTGGTGCTGAGGAATCGAACCCAGGGCCTCAGGCATGCAGGGCAAGTGCTCTACCAATGAGCCACCTTCCCAGCCCCAAGTCCATAGGTCTTTATTGAGCACCTATTCCATGTCAGCTACTAGTTGGGTGGCTAGGAATGCATAGATAAACAAGACAAGAGCACCATGCCAACCTGAGGCCCTGTAAGAGAGAAAGTGGGAGCAGGTGTGTCTGGAGATCATTAGAGCAGATGGAGTCAAGAAAGCTCTTAAGCGGGTGTGCCTCACCTGGCAGAGCTGGGTCTGGGACTTTGTCCTGGAGGGTTTTTTTTTTTTTTTTTCTTTTTGGTAATGATATTGGGCTGTACACTTAGAGCCTGAGCATTGTACCTTAGCTTTGTCGCTCAAGGCCAGCACTCTGTCTCTTGAGCCACAACTCAAGTGAGCCATTGGTGCCTGGCTCTCCTAGAGGTTTCTTGGACCAAATTTTTATTTATTTTTTATTTTTTTTGTCGGTCATGGGGCTTGAACTCAGGGCCTGGGTTCTGTCCCTGAGCTCTTTTTTTTTTTTTTTTGGCTTGGGCACTGTCCCTGAGCTTTTCAGCTCAAAGCAAGCACTCTACCACTTGAGCCACAGGGCCACTTGTGGTTTTCTGGTAGTTAATTGAAGATAAGAGTCTCACGGAAAAAAAAAAAAAAGTCTTATGGACTTTTCCTGCCCGGGCTGCTTTGAACTGTGATCCTCAGATCTCAGCCTCCTGAATAGCTAGGATTACAGGCATGAGCCACCAGCACCCAGCTGTTTTCATTTTTCAACTGTCAGAATATACTTATTTACAGGATTCAGTAACATGTATATACGTATATGTATATATACAGTAACATATTACATAAAATGATCAAATTGATATATGTATTATATAATGATATATATTGATTATATATTAATGATTAGTTGGTTGAAGATGGAGGGCTGGAGAGACCACCGATGTAATCCATTTAAGCTTTCTTCCTGGACTTCAGCAGGACAGGGAAGTGTAGATTTCAGAGGATAAACAAGTTGTATTTGTTAGATATTAAATGTTACAAAAAGGACACACACAAAATAAGGCTTGAAGTCAAACGCCAGTGGCTCTCGCTGGTAATTCTACCTACTTAAGAGGTCAAGATCTGAAGATCATGGTTCAGCGCCACTCTAGGTAGGGAAATCCTTGAAATTCTTAACCAGCAAAAAGCCATAAGTGGAGCTGTGGCTCAAGTGGTAGAGTTCCAGCCTTGAGTAAGGCTCAGCACTCCTGAGTTCAAGTCTCAGTATCTGCACAAAATAAGTAAACAGGCCTTGAAACACCTTTAGCAGCAAAGCATACTAGTAACTGTGCAGAATGGTGTTATTAAAGTCAGATTTTCCACTCTTTTTAGGTATTTTGTGAGACCCATAACTGTGATGAATGTTACTAAGGAAGCTTAGTCCTTGCTTTTGGAGAGCCATGGGAGGATTCTAATACATTGTGGTTATTAAATAACTTCTAGTAGTAGTCATCTCTGCAGAGCTGTGGATGATCAGGCAAAGAGAAGGAAAGGAAGTTTATTTGTTACAGAATTCCCCATTAATCCTGTGGAATTTATAGCATGTGACTGTATTTCCCTTGGAAGTTATATCACATGACTGTTACCTATTCAAAATAACAAATAACATTTGTGAAGTTTTACAATAATATTAGTACAATTAATTACCCAAATGAGCAATGTAGACCAAAGGGAGTAGCAGACTGTTGGCCCTTGGGCTGGGGCTGCCCCCCAGATGGGTTTTATTTCACCCACATGGGACCTACATTTATTTTTATGGGGTGACAAACAAGTTGTAAAGTGATTTAACAGAAGCTATGAAGGCTCAGACGGCTCTGTGATTTGCCTGGGAGGCTGACAGCCCTGGGAGGGAGGAGCAGTGAGCCTGCTGGAGGCCAGTTGAGTTTGGCTGCCTGGAGGGGGGGGGGGAGGGGGCGGGAAAGACGGCGTGGGGGAATGGAAGTGACCAGCTGGCAGTTTGGGAGTCAGGATGTGACATAAGCAACAGTTGGATGGAGGAGCAGACTTGGCAGTTGTCAGCACAGAGGTATGTTGGTATGTTGGACCAGGGGGTAAGAATCCAGCAAGATAGGAACACGGGCCAGATGAATGCTGGAGACGCCCTTGCCTGCACCCCCTTCTCTGTGAATAGACAAGATCTGTGAAGAAGGAGGAGGGAACAGCACAAGGAAAAGGGCAGCCTTGAAAACTATGAGAAGAGCCACTGAAGGAGAAAGGCAGTACAGGTAAAGAAGGAGGAGGAGAACCAGCAGCAGGTCAGCAGCTCAGTATACCTCTGGGTTGCCTGTCTAGGGCTTGAATAGTTTCTTGTCTAGGTACTAAGAGAAGTGGCCCATTTCTCCCTCAGACACCTCCTCTTCTTCAGGGTTTACTTGACATTCAGCTTTTATTTCTTTTGTCATCCACAGATATCCAGACCAAGGTAGAGCCTGTCTCTCCATCTTCCTCTGTCAACTCTGAGGCCTCCCTGCCCTCAGCAGACTCCCCTAGCCAGGTGAGAACACCCCCCTCCCCCTCCAGCCCAACCCCTCTATTACTCTTCTGCTTCAGGGACATGAGAGCCTTTTCTTCTTCAGCTCTATCCTCAACACCTTGACAATCCTGACTAACCTCTCTCACTGCCCCAAGTAGGCTTTCACAGGAGAGGAGGTGCTGGAAGTGAAGACAGAGTCCCCGTCCCCTCCAGGGTGCCTCCTGTGGGATGTCCCGGCCCCATCACTTGGAGCGGTCCAGATTAGCATGGGTCCATCCCCTGATAGTTCCTCAGGTAATGGGGCTTCCTGACCCCTCCGATCCCTGGTAAGAAGCTTATAGTCCTGGAATCTCTTCCTTCCTCTCATTTTCCTTCAGGCAAAGCTCCACCCACCCGGAAGCCACCACTGCAGCCCAAACCTGTGGTGCTAACCACTGTCCAGATGCCACCTAGAGCTGTGCCTCCCAGCACCACCGTCCTCCTGCAGCCCCTCGTCCAGCAGCCTGCAGGTACTGAAGAGCCTGGCTGGATTCTTAGGGAGCACACAGCCATGGGGGTTCCTGACCCATGAGTGCTTAGGTGACAGTACAAACACAAGAACCCCTCCTGACTCATGTTCTGTGACCTCTTGCTCTCTCACCCCAGTGTCCCCAGTTGTCCTTATCCAAGGTGCTATTCGAGTCCAGCCTGAAGGGCCAGCACCCACGATTCCACGGCCTGAGAGGAAGAGCATCGTCCCAGCTCCTATGCCTGGGAACTCCTGCCCACCGGAAGTGGATGTGAGTGCTGGGAGCAGAGTAGAGCTTGTTCTGGGAAGGGAAGAAGGAAGTCGATCATGGAAAGAACTGAGGGGCAAAGAGGGAGGTGAGATGCAGGGGCAAAAACTGAGGACCCCCTAAGCTGAGCACCAGTGGCTCACACCTCTAATCCTAGCTACTCAGGAGGTTGAGATCTGAGGATCGTAGTTCAAAAGTTCAAAGCTTTCCAGCTTGGGCAGGAAAATCTGTGGGACTCTTTTTGGTCCGTCATGGGGCTTGAACTCTGGGCTTGGGCGCTGTCCCTGTGTTCTTCAGCTCAAGGCAAGCACTCTACCACTTGAGCCACAGCACCATGCCCGGTTTTCTAGTGGTTTATTGGAGATAAGAGTCTCACGGACTTTCCTGCCGAGGCTGGCTTTGAACCTCTATCCTCAGATCTCAGCCTCCTGAGTAGCTAGGATTACAGGCATGAGCCACTGGCGCCCGGCTTGTGGGACTCTTTATCTCCAGAAAAAAAGCAAAAGTGGAGCTGTGGCTCAAGTGGTAGAATGCTGAGGGGCATTGCCCAGGCTCTGAGTTCAAACCTCACCTAATACAAAAAAAAGTGAGCATATGGACTTGTAGGATGGCCCTGGGGGCTGAGAGGGCCCATTTTAATACTCCATGTAGTTTTAGGTCCATAGGTTTTTTTTTTTTGGGGGGGGGGGGTGTCTGGTCGTGGGGCCTGAACTCTGGGCCTGGGCACTGTCCCTCAGCTCTACCACTTGAGCCACAGCACGACTCCCGGCTTTTTTTCTTTTTGCTTATGTGGTGCTGGGGAATCAAACCCAGGGCCTCATGCATGCAAAGCAAGCGTGCTCTACCACTGAGCCACCTTCCCAGCCCCAAGGTCCATAGGTTTTCTGTCAGCACCACAGAGAAGTGGAGGTGGCCTCAGGATGTCACAGGCAAGGGTTGTGGTGATAAGAGCTACTTTCTAGGGAGCAAACTGTTCCTTCATTATAGCAAGGTTAAACATTAGGCTTTGAAGAAGAGGGTCAGGAGGAAGACTCATCATGAAAAGATGAGGGGACTTTATTCTGCAGTCTAATCTCTCCCATTTCTGAGGACCAGGAACAGGGAATGGTTGCAAGAAAGGCTCTTTCCCTGGGCCATGGTGGCTCACACCTATAATCCTAGCTGTTTAGGAGGCTGAGAGCTGAGGCTTATGATTTAGAACCAGTCCAAGTAGACACATTTGAGAGACCCTTGTCTGCAAAAACCTGGAGCTGTGGCTCAAGTGTTATGAGCAATAAAATCGTGGGGTTCAAGCCCCAGTACTGGCATAAAGGGAGGCTGTGTCCTTGGAAGGTTTCAGTAGAGCAGGAAAAGTCCCATTTGTAGCTACATAGGTAGAGGTCAGAAAGGCAGAAGGGCCCAGGTGATGGAGGCCCGGCCTCTCCAGCTCACCTTTCATTCTCTATTTGACCTCTGGGGCTGGCGCTAGGCAAAACTGTTGAAGCGGCAGCAGAGAATGATCAAGAACCGAGAGTCAGCCTGTCAGTCCCGGAGAAAGAAGAAAGAATACCTGCAGGGGCTGGAGGCGCGTCTGCAGGCAGTGCTGGCCGATAACCAGCAGCTGCGCAGGGAGAATGCTGCCCTCCGGCGGCGGCTGGAAGTACTGCTGGCCGAGGTAAGCCTGGTAAGCCTGGACAGTTTCTTGGAGAAAGGAAAGGAACACACAGACTCCCTGAGGTAACTCAGTCTCTGCTGTCTCTTCCTCTGCACTTTAGAACAGCGAGCTCAAGTTAGGGTCTGGAAACAGGAAGGTGGTCTGCATCATGGTCTTCCTTCTCTTCATTGCCTTCAACTTTGGACCTGTCAGGTGAGATCTACTTCTGAGAACTCTCTGGGTGGAACTGAGCCTCCCAGCCACCTGATCACATACAAGGATTCCAGTGTTAGTGCTGCTGGTGTATCCAGCAGTTCTTCCTTGCTCTACCATTTCTCTCTGAGGCAACCCATTGAGGGGGCAGATCATGGTGATAATAAGTAGTGACTCTTAGGGGCTGAGTGCTGGGGCCTAGGTTAACCACTCTCTTTTTCTTGTTTCCCAGACCTGTGAGGTAGGGACACTTCCTGTTCTCCTCTTATAGATGAGGAGACTCAGCAGTCGACTGCAGAGCCGTTACTCTGGACAAGATACTCAGTAAAGCTGGGATTCTTCTTCACGCTCTGTCCTTCCCTTCCCACAGCATCAGCGAGCCTCCTGCAGCTCCCATCTCTCCTCGGATGAGCAGGGAGGAGCCTCGACCCCAGAGACACTTGCTGGAGTTCTCCGAACAAGAGCCAGTTCATGGAGTTGAACCCCTCCACAGGTCCTTCCAGGCCCCTGAGGAGCTGCAGCCTAGCCCTGTAGGTCAGCAGCCCAGTTTCAGGTGAGGAGAAAAACGGCCCCTTTCCCTTTGGAGTTAGGAACATCTTTTCTGTTTGTGTGGAGCCGGAGCCAAAGCGGCTGTCGTGCTGGTGGTCCCTGCCTAGACCTTCTCTAATCATTGCTTCTTTCCTGCTCACTGCAGGAACCTGACAGCCTTCCCTGGAGGGGCCAAGGAGCTCCTCCTGAGAGACCTGGACCAGCTCTTCCTCTCCTCTGACTGCCGGCACTTCAACCGAACTGAGTCCCTCAGGTATGTGGGAGTCAGGGCTGGGCACCTTCTCTTAGCTTTTAAACTCCTCCATTGCCAGCCTGGCTGTCCTATGTACTGAAGCTTCAGAACCGGCTTTTTTGGGGGGGCTTCAATTCAGGGTTTAGGCACTGTTCTTTAGCCTTTTTTTTTCCACTCAAGCTTGGATCTCTACCACTTGAGCCGCAGGTCCAGTTCCAGATTTATTTACTTCCTTATTTATTTGGTGGTTAATAGGAGATCAGAGTTCTATGCACTTTCCGGCTCAGGCTGGCTTTGAACTACAGTCCTCAAATCTCAGCCTCCTGAGTAGCTAGGATTATGGCATGCACCACCAATAGCTAGCTTCCCTGGCCTTTTCACTTCTGCATGCAGCCCAGGGAAGCAGGCATCACTTGGCCTGTCCCAGAGGTGGTGACTTGCCTCTGCTTCCCCAGGCTTGCTGATGAACTGAGTGGCTGGGTCCAGCGTCACCAGAGAGGCCGGCGGAAGATACCTCAGAAGGCACAGGAGAGACAGGTAGGAGCAGTGGGGCCGGTCCAAGCAGGGCCCTGGCAAGAACAGGGCTAAATGGCATGGGAGTTTCAAGGGAGCGACAAGTCAGGGATTGTTTAGGGAAAATGGAGGTGTGGCTATGAGGTGGCGCTAGCTTCCAGGGGCCGCCTGTCTCTTTCCCTTTCCCCTCACCCTCTCCAAATCCTTAGATACTTCTCCTTCCAGAAGTCTCAGCTTCGGAAGAAGTTGCCTCCAGTTAAGGCAGTCCCTACTCAACCCCCGGGACCCCCAGAGAGGTGAGTATTGCGAGGCTGCTCGTCATCGTTGTCGGCAGTGCGATGATGCCCTCCTCCCCCACTGAAGTCCCTGCCCCTGTCCCTCTTCCTGTCTCTGGGAAACTAGGGGTTCTGTGGGCCAGCTGCAGCTGTATCGCCATCCAGACCGTTCCCAGCCAGAGTTCTTGGATGCCATTGACCGACGTGAAGACACATTTTATGTAGTCTCCTTCCAAAGGGTGAGTTCCACCTCCTGGCCCTAGCCCTGGGGTCTGTCACCCTGAACCTCTCCCACCAACCTGTCTTCCCTGGAGAGTGAGCACCTGGGGGAGCTCCCCATGAGAATCCTCTCCTCCACCATCCGGTCTGGCCTCCTCCCCAGGATCACCTGCTGCTCCCAGCCATTAGTCACAACAAGACCTCCAGGCCCAAGATGTCCCTGGTGATGCCGGCCATGGCCCCCAATGGCAAGTCGTCCCCTCTGAGTGTGGGAAGGGGATCCTGAAATGGAGGGAGAGGAAGGTTCCCACAGGAGTGTCCAGAAAGGGGATTGGGGGGGGGGGGGGGAGAGAAGAAGGTGGGCATCCAGAGGGAGGCTGAGGTGAAGAGAAACAGGAAGTGAGTGGAGCGAACACGAAACACTGGAGACGGGGGGGGGGGGGGGGGGGGGGGGGGGGGGGGGGGGACGGGACAGGATGTAGGATGACCCCCCCCCCCCCCCAGTGTATCCAGCACTCAGGAAGCCAAGCCAGGAGAGTTTGAGGCCAGCCCTGTGTGCCATAGTGACACTTCATCACCAAAAAAACAAAATGCAGTGCCGGTGCTGGGTTTGCTTGGGTGGCTGTGCAGAGCAGGGCGGGCCGGACCCTTATGAGACTCTCACTTCTTTTTTTTTTTTGTTTTTCTCTTGATGTTCTCTCCTCTACAACCCCCCCTCACTCATCAATGCCATTTTCTTTTCCTGCCCCTTTCTTTCTCCCTGTCCCCAACTCCGTCCTTACCTTCTCATCTTAACTCCCACTTTGGGCCTCCCTCCTCGCCATGGCCTGCTCCCTTCCTCTCTCTTCACATGCCTCCCCTTTGCTCTTCTTCATGAACTCTCTCCTCACAGAGACCCTGTCAGGCCGGGGGGCCCCGGGGGGGACTATGAGGAGATGATGCAGATCGAGTGTGAGGTCATGGACACCAGGGTGATTCACATCAAGACCTCCACGGTGCCCCCCTCGCTCCGAAAACAGCCCTCCCCAAGCCCCGGCAATGCCACAGGTGGCCCCTTGCCAGCCAGTCCGGCCCACCAGGCCTCCCCACAAGCCCTCTACCTCAATCATCCCTGACCTCTGCAGCTCACACTGAATTAGACCTGGGGGTGGGGGGGTGCAAAGGGACCTACTGGGACAGTTTCAACTTTCCCTGATCCCTCGGCCGGGGTAAAGGAAAGACAGGGTGTGGGGTTAGGCACTTAACTTGGGGGTAGGGTGATTTACCCCTGTCCTCGCCCCTTTTCACAATATAGGGCTCATCTCATGCCTATGAACCCCCAAGTCCTGCCTCCTCCTCTGAGGGTTACTGAGCAAACTTTACTTTGGGGGTGGGTGGGCTCCTGTATACTCCTTATTCTTTAGTTTCTCTGGGAGTAAAGATGAGCATTTAGTCCCCAGGTGGGACAAGGGGGGGGACAAGTTTTTACATTTTGGAGCTGGTTAGCAGGAGTACAGGAGGGTGGTGGAGGGAGATCAGTTTACGTGTGTGTGTTATCTTCTTCTTTTTTTAATTATGAAATAAACAACTTGGAGGGAGTTAAAGGCATGGTGGCTGCCTTCCTGGCTCATGACTTCTGTAGGGCCAGCTTCAACGAACCAAGCCCAGAAGATGCCCCTGCTGGTGAGGTGGGGAGGCGTGGGCGTGGGGGGGAGGCCCCCCCAGACCTCATGTCATCTCCCTGCCCCACCCCTGCAGCGCTTGGCTGTGTGTCTGTGTCTAGCGAAGATGTCTACGGAGTGACACCAGAGGATGTCGTTCAGTGGAATGTGTCTGAGTAAACAGGAAGGATGGGGGGCCCCACGCCCTTCAGGGGGCACAGCAGTTCCTGTCCTCTCCCCAGCACCCCCGCCCTTTGCTTTCCAGGATGAGCAACTCACTCACTCACACAAACAACAGCAGCCTGAGCCAGAGGGCCCTGAGCCCAGGAGGAAGGGAGCAGGGAGCAGCCACGGGGGGGGGGGGGGGGGGGGGGGGGGGGGGGGGGGGGGGGATTTCTGGGGTGTTATGGGACGCCCTCTTATCCCTAAATTGAAGGAGACTGAGCCTTGAGGGTCGAGATGAAAGCAAAAGATAAAGAGTGAGTCAAACGCTGAAAAGACTGTTTAAATTGGGAGGAAGGGGAGCAGGACCAAGTGAGAGGTTGAGTCTCTGTCCAACCTGGGGGAAGCAGGGGGGCGGTGCGGGAATCCCCCCCCCAACAGCGCCTCAGGCCTGACCCTGCTGGGGTGTCCTGGGTCAGATGGAAGGTGTGAGCTGGACCTGGGCTCTATGCCCAGATGACTGGACAGGGGCTGCCGGGCCATAAGCCCAGACCTGAAGGGGGGGGAAGAACCTCACGTGTCCAGCCGGTCTCCCCCCTCCCCCACTCCCCTCTCTCCGACTGTGTTTAGGGTGAAAACAGACTGGGGAGCTATGGCAACCTGGAACTGGGGCTCCCAGGAACTAGGTTTTCCTCCCCCTCCAGAGGGCAGCCCTGGTCCTCAGCCACTTCCTGTCCCAGGATCCCTTGAGCCTTATCCAGCCCTCTCCAGCAGCGTGTGCCATGAGAACCAGGATTTTGGAAGCAGATCGCCCGAACTGGGCTCCCAGCAGAGCTTTTTATTGACTGATGTATTTAAACGTTCGGCCTCTGTCTCCATCGGTAAAATGTAGTCATGCTATGGTGTGAGGAGGAGACGTGGTGACAGCCATGTCTCAAGCGCAGTAGACACGCAGCAAACTCCGTCTGCTCCGCTCCTGTCACATTGTACTTGTCTTTTCCCCTGCCATGCCATCCGGGTCTGTCACCGCTAGCCCACTGCGCTTTCTCCCCCGATCCCATTTGAGGAAAATGCTCAAAGAGCTGGCATTGAGATCACGCTGGGAACTCAGGTTGCACCTCTGAGTGACAGGGACACTTAGGTGCCAGCCAGGCCTCAGACCCATCTTGGCTGAAGGGTGTAGTTTGGGGGAGGAGCTACAGAGCTAATGGAAGCTGTGTATGTGGAGGGTGGGGCGTGAAGGCAGCCCCTGTGGATTTCCCTTCCTTTCCATTCCTCTGCCCACACCTACATGCAGAACCACCCGTGTCATACCCGGCCACTGTCTCGCCTGCATGTGATCAACTCTGCCTGTCCTGGGCTCTCTAGGCTTTCTCTCTGCTTACATCCCCACCACCAGTTTTCACCATCTCTCTTGACCTTTACTCCTGGTTCCTGTTTTTCTCATTTCCTTTATAATTCTCTCCCCCCCCTCCCCCCATCGCTGTCTGCTTATCTGCCTTGCTTGCCTGTCTATGTCTGTCTGTCTGTCTCTCTTTCTCCCTCTCTCTCTCCATTTCCCTCTTCCTCTCTCTCCCCCTCTCCCTCCCCCCCCCCCCCCCCTCTTTCTCTCGTGTCATGGGGCTTGAACTCAGAGCCAGGTGCTGTCCCTGAGCTTCTTTGGCTCAAGGCTAGTGGTCTACTAGTGCCACGTCTAGCTTTTTCTGAGCAGTTACTGGAGATAAGAGTCTCACAGACTTTCCTGTTCTGACTGGCTTTGAACCACAATCCTCAGATCTCAGCCTCCTAGGTAGTTAGCATAGGCGTGCGCTCCCAGAGCCCAGCTTCCTCTTCTCTATCTTACTGTCCCTCATCCCACCCCCTTGGTCTTTTCTCCTGCTGCTGACACTGTGTGTGCCTTCTGCCTTTGTCATACTGTCCCTCTATACCCCTTCCCACTCCTTTGTCCATGTCCCTTCCCATTGCTTCCTCCCTTCTCCACTCATCTTCTTCCCTCTTCTCGCTGCACTTCCCCATTCTGGTCCTCCGTCCTCTTTCCAGCTATGGGGGCCAGGACTGGGGAGCCTGATGTTTGTCTCATCGTTCTGCTATGGCTTCTGGATACAGCACATCTGGATTCCGGGGCCCAGATGTGTGGTTGCCACAGCGACCTCAGTCCCTCTGGTAAATAGAGGCGCCCACCCGGCCCAGAGCAGAGAACAAAACAATTGTGTGACTTCTTTTGTCACGAGATAGAAATGTCCTCCCTCCTCCCTTCTCCCCACACCCATGTCTCCTGGCAAAGGGACTTTTAAGGGTCCAGACCCTTCTTTCTGTAGCTTTACCATAGTCAGCTCTGGTTTTTTTTTTGTCTGCCCCATCTTTCTTCTCATGACTATTTCCATGTTCTTGTCTTCAGCTCTCTGTAATGGATGTTGACCCCCCATCTTAGGCAATTTCTTCACACTGTATTAAAAAAAAAAAAAACAACTGGATGTAGTATGAAGTTCCAAAAACCCAGATTCTTCACCCATTTCTAAGTCCTTCAAGAAGCCACTCTGTTTCTGCCCTCTATTCCATCCTTTTCTAGAGTTGTAGGGGAAGGAGAGGAAATGCAGGCTTTGGAATGAGCCAGCGTGGGTGAGGCCCCCTTCCCCACCATTAGCAAAGCCCCTAGGACAAGCCATGTAATGTCCACATTGCATCTGCTTCTCCCACTACAAGAAACAGTTTAATAAAATGCCTGCAGTATGTAGGAAACTGCTTGTAAATGGAAGCCTAATCCAAATGTTTCCTATCTCCTCTCTGGGACTGCTTCCTTGGATCATAGCCTCTGGCCTCTCTTCATTCCTCTCTCGATCCTTGCCCTCAATTGTCCTTTTCTTCTTCTCGTCTTCCTTCTTCCCTCTCATCTATGTGTCCTAGCCTGTAACCTCCTGAGGTCAGTACAGGAATGTGAACGATCATTCCAGGATGGAGATTCAGAGCTGAAGACACCTGGATCCTGCCAACAGCCAGAGCATGCGCGCGCGCGCGCACGCACACACACACACACACACACACACACACACACACACAACAAAAACACTACTCCGCACTGGCCTTGCCACCTGCCAGCCAGGCCACCTGAGTGAATCAGCCCCAGCTCTGACTCCTGGGATTCCCTGTACCCACACTGTCCAACATTTGTCCCCCACCTTTCTGTCTTGGGCTGTTCCCAACTCAGTGGTGACAAGCATGGATCGGGCACCTTTGCCGTGCAAGGTTTGGTGCTTTCCTGATGACGTGCAAATATATAAGCACCCCTTACAAGAAATCCAGGAGTGGCAGCAATTTTAGACGATTGTTTGAGGGCCTGAAACTGTTAGCTTCCTGTGCCTTCCCCAAATGTCTTGTAAACTCGTAAACATCTGGAACCCCGCATTCCTCTCTGAAATCCCAGCTTCCCTTCCCCAGGGCCATCCTCCCCATCATCTCCAGGCCACTCTCTGGGCCAGATGTAATTATGGTGATCCTTTTTCCTAAATAAACCAAGACTTAAGGGCCTGGAAAATAAGTGGATGTGCTGTGACTGAGGAGGCACTGTGTTTTCAGTCTGTGCCCATGTAATGTAGGTTCAAGACTGCTTTTTCATCTGCTGTTTCTGCTTGCTGGGAGATCAGAGAGAAGCTGTTACCTACTCCTGGCTCTGTGGCGTCAGGCCAAGGCAGAGGAAGGAAGCGGAATCCAGCTCCATCCAAGATGCTGACTTCACTTTCTCCATCAAAGCCAGGAAAAAACTACACACACACATACACACACGGACATCCATGCAAGAACCCATGTGTACTGCTGTCCTCAGTCACATGCTACCGCAGCATGCCCTGACCCAGCCACACTTGTAACTGGAGATCTGATCTGGGGTGTGGACAGCCTGCATCTCAACCCGAGTGACATTAAACAAGCCCCTTTCTTACCCTGCTTAGCCAAGGTATACCTCAATGATTAGGTCTGCAATAAGAGTTTTATCCTCAGCTTGGATGCTTTTCCCCTATGGCACAAATGCCCCCTTCAGGCCTGTTTCAGGGAAGTACTTGGCTTAATGAAGCCAAAGAAATGCCCAGCCAGCTTAGGTGTAGTCTACCTGGGTCCTCTGGCTATGGCTTTCTGTCTCTTTTGTGTGTGTGCTGGTCCTAGGGCTTGAACTCAGAGCTTGGGCACTGTCCCTGAGCTTTTGTGTTCAAGGCTAGTGCTCTTCCACTTGAACCACAGCTCTGTTTCTGACTTTTTTTTTGGTCAGTCGTGGGGCTTGAACTCTGGCCTTGGGCACTGCCCCTCCACTCTTCAGCTCAAGGCACATGCTCTACCGCTTGAGCCACAGCACCACTCCCGGTTTTCTAGTGGTTTATTGGAGATAAGAGTTTCATGGACTTTCCTTCCCGGGCTGGCTTTGAACCTCGATCCTCAGTTCTCAGCCTCCTGAGTAGCTAACATTACAGGCGTGAGTCACCAGCGCCCGGCTGCTTCTGACTTTTTAGTGGTTAATTGGAGACAAGAGTCTTATAAACATTCCTGCCCCAGCTGGCTTTGAACTACAATTCTCAGACCTCAGCCTCCCTGAGTAGCTAGGATTACAGGTGTGAGCCACGGGTGCCCACTTTTTCCATCTCTGCCAACACCTGTTTCCCAACCCTGCTCTCCATGCTTAGCCCCCTCCCAACTTTCCATAATGTTACCCTCCACTGAGTGTTCTACCCCCAGGTTTGCCTCCCGCCTCTAACTCTTTAGTGCATCCCTCACTTTCCTCCCAACTTCTAGGCTTTGCTTCCTTGACTGAATCCCTGCTTCCTCCCCAAATCATATGTCCTGGTGTTCAGCCAAGCCCTTGCCCAGTCATTGCCCGCTATTTCTCTAGGAATCCGCTGAGGTGGGAGAATGAAGGGGGGGGGGGGGCAGTGATCGCAAGCTAGGATGGGAGGGAGACTGCAGAGCAGAGAGAGACAGCTCAGGACAGCAAGGGGAGGAGGAGGGCAGGAGGGAGTGCTGGACAGAATTGGGTAGGTCAATTACGTGGAACTTGGGGTGAGTTTAAGTTCTGGGGGTGCCTTCGGTCTCCTGCCCCCATCTCTGCTCCCTGCACTGCACTTCCTGGGGGAGGATTGGGATGCTAGGTGCTCATGGGATAGGGTCAAGATTCAAGCTAGAGCTGAGTTGGGAAAAGGAGCCTGGCAGGGAGGGGGAGGGGCCGGCCTGGAGGAATGGCGTTGGCAGAGAGACCGGCCACAGGTGAAGTGGTGGAAACAGCAGGGGGAATGGGAACTATCAGGTTGGGCAAAAACTAAGGTTGGGAGGAGTTAAAAAACAGGATAAGGAAAAGACATGGGTGGGAAAATGAACTGGAGGGGGTGAGAGGAGGGTATGGTGGGACTTGGGTTCTGGATGGGGAGGTGACCTGGGTGAGGGCCGGAGGAGGGGAGGGGTGGCTTGTGGGAGGGTCTAGGAGGGATGGGAGGCCCTGCCCTATCTCTGCTCCCCTCCCTGACCTCACGCTGGTCCTCCCCTTCTCCTCCCCCTGCTTGCTGAAGGCTCCCTCCTCTCTGTTGCTGCCCAGATCCACAGTCCTATTGTGGCTCTGTGAGCCAGTGCTGCAAGGGACCAGCGAAGGGGTCCTCCAGGGAGCCCAGGGCTGCCAAAGAGTTTACCCTGCTCTGCCCTGAGGGGTTGGGACAAAGCAGGTGCAGAGGCACAGCAGAAGCCCAATACCCAGGTAAGTTACAGAGCGCTGGTAGACCCAGATGGAGAAGTGAGAGCAAAGGATTTCTGTCCTGTCCCACACATGCTGGCGAAGGCGTGGCAGGAGAGCTCCCTGAAGAGCTCCGGCGGCTGCGGGGACCTGGGGCTCTGCACCAGATTCCCCGGGGAGGTGTGTCTGAGAGGACAGGGCAGTGTGTGCGCGCACAGAGGGCGGTTTGTGCCTGGGTTTGGGCAGGGCTGCATGCACCTGAGAGGTGCTGGGAACAAATCAGAGGTGTCAGATGGTGTCAGCCTGGGGTGCTCATTGGGAGGTGCAGAGAAGACAGGGAGGATTGAGTTGAGTTGGGAGGCAGCTAAACCTTGGAGGAAATCATGGGTAGATTCAGAGTGGCTGAGACTGAACTGCGGGAGCAGCCAGAGACAGACAGACAGACAGACAGACAGACAGACTCCTGGAGGTGGTACACCTGAGGTCCCAGGCTTGGGAGGGAGGGCTGGGAAATCTCAAGACTTTAGGAAATTCTGAAATGGGGCAAAGTGAGGGTTCTGGGGTCTGGAAGGGCACGGAGCCTGCAGAGACACCCCTACACTTGTTCTTGGCTGAGTGCAAGAACGCAGCACTGCAGAGGCGCGTGTGTCCCCCAGGAGCACAGGACTCGTCTTCACTTCAGTCCCCTTCCAGATTCCCCCTAATTCTGTCCATCTGAACCTTCCCACCCCTCCAATAGCACCCCCCAACACACGTGACACGCCCCGGGTGAGGCAGGCGGGCCTGTTATCTCGCCTGGAAAGAATTTGATGGCTTAGAAACAACTGGAAGTGGAAGGGGAGGGGGGGGGGGTAAACTGGGAAGCAACTGGGAAACCCCGCAGCTGTTGGCCCCACTCTTGCTTCCCAGATCTCCAGCTACCCCCGGGCCCTTACTCCAGTCTGTGGGGACCTAGCACCTCTATTTCTCAAGCATCCTTCTGCTCCCATCCTGGCCACACAGTGCAGAACCAGAAGCTGCCTTCCTGTCCCTCACACTTCCTTTGACCTTTCTCACTGGAGGTCTGGAAATCCTGCTTCGTTTTTTCCATCCCTGAGGCCCATCTGCTTTCCCCAGGTTCAAGGGCATTTGGGGCCTCCAACTCCTCCAGCTCCCACATGCTTCAATCCCAGTGTCCTGTCCCTCCCCTCTGGCTCCTAGAGTCCTCTACCTTCACCTCTCACTGCCGGATTTCAGCTGGGTGTGTGGCAGAGGGGTAGGGCTAGAGCCCCCCCCACAATTTCTGGAACATTCCTTGTGGACATTGACCCTTTCTCCCACCCCATGGGACTTATAGTCCCCTATGAGCAAAGTGTCACAATTGGCCACAACCCCAAATACCAGAGATGCTGAGTCACAGTTTGGGAAGATGCCCCCACCCCTGCCAGTTCTCTAACTGTGAGGGTGAGGCCACATCCCCCCAAAAAAACATCAGAGAGGTATAGAGGGAAACATAGACACCCAAATTCTCTGCCCATTGCTGAGAATAGGGCAAAATATTTCCGAGAGTTGGGAGTGGCGGATGGATGGATGGCAGTGACAGGCAAGAGAGGGAAATCTGCAAAGACTAGCCTGCTCCCCACTTGGGAAGGGCCCCCTGTTTGGTTCACTGCACACAGCTCAGTTCTTCCACACAGCTACCCTCTGAGCCATTGAAATGGGCTGTGTGTGTGTGTGTGTGTGTGTGTGTGTGTGTGTGGATGTATTGCCAGTACTGGGACTTGAACTCAGTGCCCCCCCCCCCATTCTCCTCTTCCTTCCTTCCTTCCTAACTAACTTCCTTCCTTCCTTCCTTCCTTTCTTTCTTTCTCTTTTTCTTTCTTTCCCTCCCTCCTTCCCTCCCTCCCTCCCTCTCTCTCTCTCTCTCTCTCTCTCTTTCTTTCTTTCTTTCCTTTCTTCTTAAGGCTGACAATGCACTACTTGAGCCACACTTGTACTTCTGGCTTTTCTTTTTTCTGGTCATTGGAAATAATTGGCTTGAACCCCAACCCTCATTTCTAAGCCTCATGAGTAGCTAAGATCACAAGCCACCAGTACAAAACTGGCTTTCTTATGCGTTACTCATAGACTAGGTGTGGGAGACAATGAATAGGACATGTACGCCTGCATGTGCCTGCAAAGATGTGGGTTTATTTGGGTGCATGTGTGTATTTAAGTACATGTGTTTTCATATTTGTATTTGTGGCTGAGCGCACGTGAAGATATTCGTGTCAAATATTTGTGTGTACATGCATGCCATAGTTGGGCACAGGGCTTTAGATACAAAGTGACAGGTAAAGTGAGATAGCACCTGTCTTACCCGTCGCCTGTGATTTGCAGGCCTTAGATACAGAGTGACAAGAAAGGTAGGCCAGAAGCCATCTCATGAGAGGCTCCACCCCCCAGCTGAAGGCAAGGCTGGGGCCCCAGGAGGGGCAGCTCAGCAGCCAGGCCTATCTGTCTGGCTTTTTGGAGTAGGGGTGGGCGGGGGGTGAGGAGAGAGTCTGTTGTCCAACTTTCCTTATGTCTTGATGACTGATGGGAGAAGGTGATGACAGTAGCCCCCAAAGCATCTTTTTTCTCTGACCCAGAGGAAGCCAAGAAATACATATGTTGGAGGAGGAGTGTCACAGCCCCCTCCCTCCTCACCAGTGATTCCCCAAACACTCAGCTCTTCCACTACCCACCTTGCCCTCCTGTTCTCCCTAACCTCTCTGCTCTGAATGAACTGGGCACCTGCCAGCATCCCTGCATGACTCTTACCTGAGCTGAAAGCCTGCTCTGCCCCCTCCGCATTCTCCCCTATTCATTCCTTTCCTTTCTAACCCTTCTCTCTCTTGCTTCCCAGTCCTTGCTTCAGTGAGTTCCATGAACAAACTGGTAACAGTCACCCAAATTAAGAAATAAGGATTAACCCACAGCTCTCCCAAAAGAAAGAGGGAGGGGGCTGGGAAGGTGGCTCAGTGGTAGAGCACTTGCCTTGCATGCATGAGGCCCTGGGTTCGATTCCTCAGTACCACATAAGCAAAAAGAAAAAAATTGGAAGTGGCGCTGTGGCTCAAATGGTAGAGCGCTAGCCTTGAGCTGAAGAGCTGAGGGACAGCGCCCAGGCCCAGAGTTCAAGCCCCATGACTGACCAAAAAAAAAAAAAAGATCAAAAGAAAGAGGGAGGAAGGCAGGGAGGGAGGGAGGAAAAGTCACTCAGTAGATGACTTTTGCCCAGCGTGTGCAAAGCCCTAGATAAAATCACAAACAAATAAATAAAACAAAGTATTCTTTTGCCTGTGTGCTACATCCTCAGCTCTTGTTTTCTGAGTTGGGACATTATGTAGCCCTGACTGGTCTGGAACTCACAATTCTCCTGCCTCTGCTTCTCAAGTGCCAGGATTATATGTATGTGACCCCAGGGTGCAAAACAAGATCATCTTAGCACCTCAGAATTTTCCCACCATGCCTCTTCTTGTCACTGCCTACTGAGAGCACACCCTTTCTGTTGTTGTTTTTTGTTTTTTATCGGTCATGGGGCTGGATGCTGTCCCTGAGCGATTCAGCTCAAGGCTAGTGCTCTACCACTTGAGCCATAGTGCCACTTCCAGCTTTTTCTGCTTATGTGGTACTAAGGAATCGAACCCAGGGCCTCATGCATGCAAGGCAAGCACTGTACCGCTGAGCCACCTTCCCAGCCCCTGAGAGCACACCCTTTCTGACTTAGGTCACTAAAAGTTTACTGCCCTCGTGCCTCAAACTTCATTTTGAATAGAATTGTCTAGAATGTTTTCTTATGTGTCTGGCTTGTTCTGCTCAATCTTATTAAGCTCCATCTGCAGTTCTACATGTAACTATAGCTCATCTTCATTTTTTGTTTTAGTACACTGTGTAAATAAGCCATTTTAGTGACATTTTGTAACTTCCAGTTTGAGTAATGCTGCTGTGAGACATTGTTTATGTTCCTAGAGGTAAAAGTGACAGGGCATTGGTCTAAATTGAGTACATTCTGCCAGTTCTCTGAGTCTTCTGCTTTGCTTACTGTCTCTAACCAACTTCCAGTCCCAGACACTGTCCGTGGTCCTAGCCCTGACCTTGGTCCTATCCCTGACTCCAGCCTTAATTGGACTTAAATTGGGCATTTCATTCCTTACGACTGTCATCAGGTATTAAGGACTTGTCATGTACTAAATACAAACATAAAGCAGCAAAAGAAAAATTGGTACTGCTAGGAACTGGTGGCTCACATCTATAATCCTAACGACTCAGGAGGCTGAGATCTGAGGATTGCAGTTCAAAGCCAGTCCGGGCAGGAAAGTCTGTGAGACTTTTATCTCCAATTAACTACCAGAAAACCAGAAGTGGCATTGTGGTTCAAGTGGTAGAGTGCTCGCCTTGAGCTGAAGAGCTGAGGGACAGCGTCCAGGCCCAGAGTTCAAGCCCCACAACCACCACTACCACCACCAACAACAAAAAAGCTAGCCAGGGCAGGAAAGTCTGTGAAACTCTTGCAAACAATTAACCACCAAAAAAGCTGGAAGTAGCTGAGCTGTGGCTCAAGTGGTAGAACACCAGCCTTGACCAAAAAACAGGAACAGCGCCTAAGCTGTGAGTTCAAGCCCCAGACCTGGCAAAAGGTACCATCTATGCACCCATAGATTTATGCTCCATCCTTGCCCCTTTTCTTTCCTTTTGCCCTCTATAGTCTCATAAAGGTAATCAGGATGCCCCTCTTCTCTCCTTCTCCCATCCAAATTCTCTTAGAACACTGACCAACCGTCCTCCTCATCTGCCCCGGCTGACCTTAGTCGGCTCATCTTCCATAACATTTCCCTCATTCTATCCAGTCCTGCCCCCCCAGCCTTAAGTCCCCCACCCTCGGTGCTCCTCCTCCATCCTAGACCATAGTATATGCTGTTCCCTCTGTGTGGAATGTGACTCCCTTCACTCTTCTTCCTTCAGAGAATTCCTGACCAGGTCAGGACCCCTCTCATGTGATCCCACATACCACAGAATTCTCACTGGTAGCATTTATGATGATTTGTGATTGTATATAAGTAGCTATATAATGGTGGAATTATATATAAAGCTAATGGAAAGGATCTAATTGAGAGCATGAGGTTAAGAAAAGAGTGGGGGGCTGGGAAGGTGGCTCAGTGGTAGAGCGCTTGCCTTGCAATGCATGAGGCCCTGGGTTCGATTCCTCAGCACCACATAAGCAAAAAGAAAAAAGCCAGAAGTGACACTGTGGCTCAAGTGGTAGAGCGCTAGCCTTGAGCTGAAGAGCTGAGGCACAGCACCCAAGCCCAGAGTTCTGGCCCCACGACCGGACCCCCCCCCAAAAAAAACAAAAACAAAAAACAAAACAAAAGAGTGGGAAGAGCTAGGGGCATGGTTCAAGTGGTAGAATGTCCCCTAGAAAATAAGGTCCTGAGCTCCAAACACTGGGGGGAGGAGCAGGAAGGAAAAGGAGGAGAGAAGAAAGGGAAGGGGAAGGAAGGGGAGGGCAGGAGAGGAGACTGGAGCAGAAGCCTTATACTTAAGGATTCTGAGAAGGCAGTAGGAGCTGGGATCCAGGTGCTTGGGGAAGACTGACCCTAGTTAACCCATTTCCGAATCTCATTTAACACATCGTTGTCTAATGGCACATTTATTCAATGTATTTGTCCCAGCAGTGTAAGGTTAAATGAGGTTCCTGTTCACCTTGGGCTTACTTACCTACCTTCCTTCCTTCCTCCCTCCCTCCCTCCCTCCCTCCCTCCCTCCCTCCCTTCCTCTCTCTCTCTCTCTCTCTCTCTCTCTCTCTCTCTCTCTCTCTCTCTCTCTCTCTTGCCAAACCTGGGGCTTGAACTTAAGGCCTGGGCACTGTCCCTGACCTTCTTTTGCTCAAGGCTAGCACTCTACCACTTGAACCACAACGTCACTTCCAGCTTTTTCTGTTTATGTGGTACTGAGGAATCAAATTCAGGGCTTTATGCATGCTAGGCAAGCACTCTGCCACTAAGCCACATGCCCAGCCCTCCCTCCTTCCCTCCCTCCCTCTCTCTCTCTCTCTTTCTTTCTTTCTTACCCTAGGACTAGAACTCAGGACCTGGTATTGTCCCTGAGCTTTTTTTTTTGGGTGGGGGAGGGGGTCCGGTCGTGGGGGCCTGAATTCTGGGCCTGGGTGCTGTCCCTCAGCTCTTCAGCTCAAGGCTAGTGCTCTTCCACTTGAGCCACAGTGCCATTTCCGCCTTTTTTCTTTTTTGCTTACGAGGTGCTGAGGAATCGAACCCAGGACCTTGTGCATGCAAGGCAAGCACTCTACCACTGAGCCACCTTCCCAGCCCTGTCCCTGATTTTTTTTTTTTTTGGGTCCGGTCGTGGGGCCTGAACTCTGGGCCTGGGCGCTGTCCCTCAGCTCTTCAGCTCAAGGCTAGCACTCTACCACTTGAGCCACAGCGCTACTTCCGGCTTTTTTCTTTTTGCTTATGTGGTGCTGAGGAATCGAACCCAGGGCCTCAGGCATGCAAGGCAAGCGCTCTACCACTGAGCCACCTTCCCAGCCCCTCCCTGAGCTTTTTCACTCAAGAATAGCAATCTTCCACTTGAGCCACAGCCTTATTTCCAAGTTGTTTATGATTATTTATTTTCATTTTCTTTTTGGTGGATAATTGAAAATAATAGTCTCATGGACTTTCCTGCCTGGGCTGACTTTGAATAGCAATCCTCAGATCTAGGCCTCCTGAATAGTCCCTAAATAGCTACAGGCATGAGCCATTGGCACCCAGCTCAAAAGGGCAAACCTTTAAGAGCTGAGTGAAGGGTTTCTGAGACAGAGGAAACATACAGTTCAAAGGCCCTTAGGCTAGTGTAAGCCTGTAATATTTGTGACTCTGTGTGTGTGTATGTGTGTGTGAGTGTGTATGTGTGTGAGATATACAGTCAACAGAGGGACATAAAGTTATCAAGTAACATCTGCAGAGATAAAGACCAGATCTGCCCATCCATGCCCAGAGATGGCTCCTCCTAGCTCCTTCCAGATTGAGTTGAATGTGAATTCTCACAAACATGTGAGTTGAGTAGGTTACTTGTGGCTGCTGTGGCTGCTGGTATGTGTTGGGGAAGAGACAGATCAGAGCAATTTTGCCTCTTTTCTGAGTCAGTGTTCACACTTGCCCTCTCTCCCTGCAGTCTCCTGAACGATGCCAGCCCAGTGTCCCCTAACCTCCAGTGTGGTCCTCCTGGTGCTGCTGGGCACGGCAGGTGCAGGCCCCTTCTCTCCACGATCCAATGTGACACTTCCAGCTCCACGGCCCCCTCCAAAGCCAGGGGGCCGGACCGTGGGGGCAGGAGGGGGGAACCCTTCTTCTCAGCTTTACGAGCATACAGTGGAAGGAGGGGAAAAGCAAGTGGTGTTCACCCACCGCATTAACCTGCCCCCATCTGCTGGATGCGGCTGTCCCCCGGGCACGGAGCCCCCAGTTCCTGCTTCAGAGGTGCAGGCCCTGAGAGTCCGGCTGGAGATCCTGGAAGAGCTGGTGAAAGGGCTCAAGGAGCACTGTACAGGAGGATGTTGTCCTGCGGCTGCCCAGGCTGGCACAGGTAAGCAGATGGCCCCAGAAGAAGAGGAAGGTGCGGGGGTGGGTGGGGGGGGGTTAAATACTGGTCTAGAAAGGACCTTGGTGTGAATCAAAGAGGTGCCACCGAAATAATCATATATAAGAATATTTATTTAAATGAAACTCCAGGAAATGGAAACAAGAGGGTTGTTCTGTCTTTGTTGCTATTTTTGTTTCTGTTTTTGTCTTGTTTGTTTATCTGTCTTTGGGAGGATAAGGGGAGGCCCAGAAATGGAGGGACAAAGGGTGAACAAATGCAGCCAGGGTACTCGCTAGACACTATGTTGAAAATGAACTTGTGGGTGGGGACAGGAGGGAAAAACTGAGAGAGAACAAGGGAAGGGATGACACTGTGCAAAAAGGAAGGTACTCTTCTAGGCCAGGTGGCTCACGCCTGTAATCCTAGCTATTCAGGAGGCTGAGATGTGAGGATCATGGTTCAAAGCCAGCCTGGGCAGGAAAGTCTGTGAGACTCTGATCTCCAACTAACCACTAGAAAACCAGAAGTGGCCCTGTGGCTCAAAGTGATAGAGCACTAGCCTTGAGTAAAAGAAGCTCAGGGACAGCACCCAGGCCCTGAGTTCAACCCCCACAATCGAGAAAGAAAGGAAGGAGTGTGTGGGGGCGGGGGCGGGGGAGAGGAAGGAAGGAAGGAAGGAAAGAAATGTACTTTTGCCTGGCTTATGTAACTGTAACCCCTCTGTACACCACCTTTTTTTTGGTGGGGGGGTCTGGTCGTGTGGCCTGAACTCTGGGCCTGGGCGCTGTCCCTCAGCTCTTCAGCTCAAGGCTAGCGCTCTACCATTTGAGCCACAGCGCCACTTCCGGCTTTTTTCTTTTTGCTTATGTGATGCTGAGGAATCGAACCCAGGGCCTCAGAGGCATGCAAGGCAAGCGCTCTACCACTGAGCCATCTTCCCAGCCCTAGATTTTTATTTTTTTATTTTTATTTTTTTTTAAAAGAAGAAAGCAAGAAGATGTATCCTTGGCTGGCTATTCAGGATGGCGGATGTAGCCCAGGACACAGGTTTGCAAAGAGGTCTGGTCAGGCCACACAGGCAGAGTTGAGAGTGCTGGTAGCAGCCCATGGGCTGCCTAAGCGACACAAACCGGGCTCTACCCATAGGAACACAATACAGCTTCAATCTCCCTGCCAAGCCTGAGTCCGGCCTCTCTTTCCCTACACCAGGACAAACCGACGTGCGGAGCCTCTGCAGCCTCCACGGAGTGTTTGACCTGAGCCGCTGTGCGTGTTCCTGCGAACCAGGCTGGAGCGGGCCCACCTGTTCCGAACCCGCGGAGACCCGGGTGCCCACCTCTCCGCCGGCCGCAGCCTCTGCGTCCTGTCCCGACGACTGCAACGACCAGGGCCGCTGCGTCCGGGGCCGCTGCGTGTGCTTCCCGGGCTATGCGGGCCCCAGCTGCGGCTGGCCCTCCTGCCCCGGCGACTGCCACGGCCGCGGGCGCTGCCTGCAGGGCGTGTGCGTGTGCCGGGCGGGCTTCGCAGGCCCCGACTGCAGCCAGCGCTCCTGCCCCGCCGGCTGCCACCAGAGAGGACGCTGCGAGGACGGGCGCTGCGTGTGCGACCCGGGCTACGCGGGGGAGGACTGCGGGGTGCGGAGCTGCCCTCGCGATTGCAGCCAGCGGGGCCGGTGCGAACACGGGCGCTGCGTGTGCGACCCGGGCTACGCCGGGGAGGACTGCGCGGTGCGGAGCTGCCCCCGGGGCTGCAGCCAGCGGGGCCGGTGCGAGGGCGGACGCTGCGTCTGCGATCCGGGCTACAGCGGCGAGGACTGCGGGGTGCGGAGCTGCCCCCGGGACTGCGGCGAGGGCGGGCGTTGCGTGGACGGCCGCTGCGTGTGCTGGCCGGGCTACGCGGGCGAGGACTGCGGCACGCGCACGTGCCCGCGCGACTGCCGGGGCCGCGGGCGCTGCGAGGACGGCGAATGCATCTGCGACGCGGGCTACAGCGGGGACGACTGCGGCGTGCGCAGCTGCCCCGGCGACTGCCACCAGCGGGGCCGCTGCGAGGACGGCCGCTGCGTGTGCTGGCCGGGCTACACGGGCCCGGACTGCAGCACCCGCGCCTGCCCGCGCGACTGCCGAGGCCGGGGCCGCTGCGAGGACGGCGTGTGCGCATGCGCCGCGGGCTACAGCGGCGAGGACTGCGGCGTGCGCAGCTGCCCGGGCGACTGTCGAGGCCGGGGTCGCTGCGAGAGCGGCCGCTGCGTGTGCTGGCCGGGCTACACGGGCCGGGACTGCGGCACGCGCGCCTGCCCCGGCGACTGTCGTGGGCGCGGGCGCTGCGTGGACGGCCGCTGCGTGTGCAACCCGGGCTTCACGGGCGAGGACTGCGGGAGCCGTCGATGCCCCGGGGACTGTCGGGGCCGCGGGCGCTGCGAGGACGGCGCGTGCGTGTGCGAGGCGGGCTACGCCGGGGAGGACTGCGGCTCGCGCACCTGCCCCGGCGACTGCCGCGGCCGCGGCCAGTGCCTGGACGGGCGCTGCGTGTGCGACGAGGGCTTCGCGGGCGAGGACTGCGGCGTGAGACGGTGCCCGCGCGACTGCCACCAGCACGGCGTGTGCCAGGACGGCGTGTGCAGCTGCTGGGAGGGCTACGCGGGCGAGGACTGCGGCCTCCGCGCCTGCCCCGCCAACTGCCACGGGCGCGGCCGCTGCGAGGACGGCCGCTGCCTGTGCCACCCCGGCTACACGGGGCCCGCCTGTGCCGTCCGCGCGTGCCCGGCCGACTGCCGCGGCCGCGGGCGCTGTGTGCAGGGCGTGTGCGTGTGCCACGCGGGCTATGGCGGCGAGGACTGCGGGCAGGAGGAGCCCCCGGCCAGCGCCTGCCCCGGCGGCTGCGGGCCCCGCGAGCTCTGCCGCGCTGGCCAGTGTGTGTGCGTCGAGGGTTTCCGAGGCCCGGACTGCGCCATCCAGACCTGCCCCGGGGACTGCCGTGGCCGCGGAGAGTGTCGCCAGGGCAGCTGCGTGTGCCAGGAAGGCTATGCCGGGGAGGACTGTGGGGAAGGTGAGCCGGCAGCCAGGACGGGAGCCCTTGGAACCCTTGAACTTGAGGCCTAGAGACCCAGGGGCCTAGAGGAGGAAGGATGGGTGGAGATAGGGTGAGGGTCTGTCAGAGGAGCCGTGATGGACCAAGGGCAGTAAAATGGAGGAGAAGGTTGCCATATACTAAGTGCCTCTCATACTACTCAGGAGGCTGAGATCTGAGGATCATGGTTCAAAGCCAGCCAGCCTGGGCAGAAACATCTGTGAGGCTTATTATCTCCAATTAACCAGTAAAAAGTTGGTGTGGCTTAAGTAGTGGAGCCCCAGAATTGATCAAGAGAGAGAGGGAGAGAGAGAGAGAGAGAACTGAGGCCCTGGATTCAAGCTCTTGTACTGGCACAGACACAAAAAATAGCATGCTGGCTTTCAGATCTCTTGGGAGCAGATTGGCACCCCCTTTTTTTTTTGGGTCAGGTCGTGGGGCCTGAACTCTGGGCCTGGGCGCTGTCCCTCAGCTCTTCAGCTCAGGGCTAGCGCTCTACCACGCGTGAGCCACAGTGCCACTTCCGGCTTTTTTCTTTTTGCTTATGTGGTGCTGAGGAATCGAACCCAGGGCCTCTGGCATGCAAGGCAAGCGCTCTACCACTGAGCCACCTTCCCAGCCCTGACACCCCTTTTGTTAAACATTTCACGAAGATGCTGTGTCCCTACAGTTGGAGGCCCTGTTCAGACCTCTACCAGCTTGTTCTACCTGTTAGAAAGCAGCACAGGAGCTGGGGCGGGCCTCTAGGTGTGGAACTGAGGCGATTGTAATAGTCAGGGGTGAGGGCAGCTGCCTTGGGCTAACCACTTTTCACTACTCTGTTCTCCTGGGCAGAGATGCCAGCCATTGAGAGCATGAGGCTGCACCTCCTGGAGGAGACAACTGTTCGGACAGAGTGGACCCGAGCTCCTGGCCCGGTGGATGCCTACGAAATTCAGTTCATCCCCACGGTGAGAGGAATGCCAAGCTGCAGGGGCTGAAGGAGCAGCACTGTGGGTGGCAGTGGGGGTTCACTTCATGCAGAAGTTCCTTTAATCACTGGTTGAGTCCAGATGGCTAGCTTGTGTGTGTGTGTGTGTGTGTGTGTGTGTGTGTGTGTGTGTGTGTGTGTGTAATACTGGAGCTTGAACTCAGGGACTGGGCACTTCCCTTAACTTTTTTCACTCAAGACTAATGCTCTACCATTTGAGCCACAGCTCCACTTTTAGCGTTTTGCTGATTCGTTGGTGATAAAACTCTCAGATTTTTCTTCCCTGGCTGGCTTTGAACCTTGGCCCTCCGATCTCAGCCTCCTGAGTAGCTAGGATTACAGGCATGATCCACTGGTGCTCAGCGAGGTGGCAGATTCTGAAAGCTGCTGTGAAGGCCTTGTTTTGCTCCACCCCTGGGCATGGAAGCCTCTATAGCATCTCTAACAAACATTGGTTCAGTGCAGCAGGAACACCTCAGAGAAGGGGAGCTCAATACTTCTAAGACTGCCCCGTTCACTGCTGGCCACCAGTGTCAGTCAATTCTTTTTGTTGTCACTGAATCCAAATCTGCCCCCATTCTCTCATCCATCCCTTGGCTCTAGCTGAAGTGCCCTAGCAGGAATACTGTTTTCTCTCCTTGTGTCCCGTATTATAAACCTTCTGGTATTTTGAGACACTAGTCATTCTTCAACATTCTTCATATTCCCAGAGGAAAACCTTAGGTTTGTTACCCATTCCCATTTATGCTTTATTCCCTGAATTGTTTCACTTCCTGTGCCTCTTGCTTTTTGCATGCCCCCCCTCCAAAATTGGGAGCAGAGAGGACCCCACTGGCTAACTCTAGATTCATTGGCACTTTTCTCAGAGTTGGCATGTATTAACCTGTAGTTACAAACTGACAGCAGTGTGTGTGTGTGTGTGTGTGTGTGTATGTGTGTGTGTATGTGTGTTGCCCCTCCTAGGCTTGAACTCAGGGCCTGGGCACAGTCCTTGGGCCTCTTTTGCTCAAGGCTACTACTCTACCACTTGAGCCACAGCACCATTTCTGGCTTTTTTGTTTATGCTGGGCAAGCACTCTATCACTAAGCCACATTCCCAGTCCCTGATAGCAGTTTTGATCCTATTTATTTCATTAAATAATTTTTCATTATACAAGTCATATGAGCCCAGAGCAGAAAGTTTATAAAATATAAATAAACAAGGATAAAGTAAAGCTAGACACTGGTGGCTCATACCTGTAATTCTAGTCACTCAGGAGGCTGACAGCTGAAGATTGTGGTTTAAAGTCAGCCTGGGCTTATGAAAGTCTTATCTCCAATGAATCAGCAAAATCTAGAGGTAGCAGTATGGCTCAAGTGGTAGAGTACCAGCTTTGATCAGAAAAAGCCAATTAAGAGTGTAAGATTCTGAGTTCACACCCCAGAACTGGCACAAAAGAATGAAGGAAAAGGGAAAGATAGAAGGAGGAAAAGATGGGAGGAAAGAAAGGACAGAAAGGAAAGAATGAAGGCAGCACTGGGAGTCTATATTTAGGCCTTTGCCTTTGGAGCTAATGGATGTTAGCGTGTTGGTTTGGGCTAGGCTGTCTAGGCTGTTGCAATAATTTTAATTCTGTGAGCTTGTTCTCTCACATCACAGAACATTCTTGCTCTCTGCCTCCTCCCCCTCCCCGCCCCCAACTTGCTCTTAAAACATTTGGGAGCACAGTAAGGACAAAGCTTGTGGCTTCTCATCAGAGATCTTCCTTCATGTGGATTGAACCCCTAGGGAACAGCTGTTTCCCAGGTCCGCACCACCTGACCTTTCTCCATCCAGCTCATGTTTTCCTGTATCATCTCACAAACACCAAGGGAGGTGGGCCATACCATACCAGGCTCAGCCATCAGCTCAGCCCCGACTCTGGACAAATAAATAACTCCCTGGGGTTAAAGCCTCAGAAGGCACTAGGACAGAAGGGACAATCAGGGGTGTTAGCTGTCATCTCTGTGCCCCACTTTGACTCGGTTATCTCAGTATACTTCAGCCTTTTCAGGTCAGACCCCCACCAAATCCTTTCCATCCTCGCCCTCTGGCTAACGCAGATGGAAAGCTCTACTTTGTAGCACAAGTAAGATAGCTTGGGTCTACAAAATTTTCTTATACAAATAATTTAATCACGAGACAAGAATTTGGCAACTAGAGAGAAGAAAAACAACTCTTGGCTGCGCCACACTAAAACAAGCACTGTGAACATCTTAAAGTGTTTCTCCCACTCTCTTCAGTGTGTATAGTTTTTGCATAGCTCTAAACTGGAGAGGGTGGGACTTTTAAGAAGAATTTTCCTAAGCAACTGCAGGGAAAGAAGAATTAAAATAAACACTTTGAGATAAGAATGCAGCTTTCAGGGCAGCGTTGTCTCCTGCTCTTAAGAAATATGGATCCATTTTGGGTGTTGTCAAGGGATGGCAGCTTTTCCAACCAAACTCTGCATGGGATGGTGCCAAGCTGTGCTGTGTCAGGCTTGGCATCTGCTCTCAACTTATCACCTCTGCTCTAGGGATGGGACTCTGCCATATTTCTGGTCTCAGAAGTCTGGCTGTGAAAGAAGCTTCTGCTAATTGATTCCCAGGCACCCCTCTTGGACAGCTTCTCTACTCCATGTAGCTGGCCCCTAGACTTGAGCCTTTTGACTCAGCCTGGGCATCCATTGCTGTTGGCATGGAGTATACTCAGTGGCTCACATCCTGTGCCCCTGGCATCTTCCTTGAAGCCAGTCTCTACCTCCTCCCCTTCTATACAGAAGAGGAAAGATCCTCCTCTCCTTGCATATGTGGCATGGTTAGTCTGCCTCTGTGGGGCTCAGAGTGCATTTAGCATGTTTCTGCATCTCAACATCAGTATCACCTGGAAGTCTGAAATGAAACTTGTCAGGCCCCACTTCCAGATCTCCTTAATCAGTTCTGCAATGGATCCTAGTTGTACCAAGCCCTCCAGTCGATTATGATGGTCTTGTGCCTCCAGACTCCTCCCTCTATGAGATATAAGAGAGTTTGTGGGGACCTGAGGGAGATGAGCCTCTGAACAAAAAGGAGGTTCAGGTATTCCTTGTCTAGGTATATCTGCAGCATGGAAACAAACTGTGCCAAGTTTTGTGGTGTGTGTGTGTGTGTGTTAGTCCTAAAGTATTTTTATGCCACCTTTTGATGCCAGTCCTGGGGCTTGAACTCTGGGCTTGAGCACGATCCCTTAATGTCTGGGCTCAAGAGTATTGCTCTACCACTAGAGCATTTCTGTCTTTTTGGTAGTTCATTGGAGATAAGACTCTCACAGAATTTTCTGCCCAGAATGGATTTGAATTTCAATCCTTAGATCTCAGTCTCCTGAGTAGCTGAGATTACAGGTATGAGCCATCCACACGTGCCAAGTGTTCTCTGGGACACTTGTAATCTCAGAAGAGCTTTTGCTTATGTCTAGTCTGAAAAGGAGGTAAGAGTGAGGAAAACTTCTGGCAGCAGCCCAGGTAGAGTCTTCCAAGGTAGATAAAAAGACTAAAGTTAAAAACTCACCAAGAGCAATCAGTGAGGGAGCCAAGCTTTACCAATGAGCAGAACTAGATGCCAACTGCTAGAGAGCCTTCCTCAGGCCAACAAGATGGTGCTGGGAGACAAGAGTTAAGCTGGCAGTCAGTGGGCTTTCAGAGAACCGTTTGCAAATGGATCTAAAGGAGAGAAGAACCTGGGGTGAGAGAACCAGGCATCACCCCAAGGTGTGTGTGTGTGTGTGTGTGTGTGTGTGTGTGTGTGTGTGTGTGTGTGGATGTGTGTTGGGAGAATAAAAGGAGGAAGAGATGGTTAAGAAGCAGAAGCATTTGGGGAAGGATGAGGCTTTCCCAGGTACTGAGTGAGGGTCGCTCCAAGGCTTCTTAGCGAGGTTCCTAAAGCAGAGTTAAGTAGGAGAGGGATAGAGTGCTGTGTGCACGGGAAAATTCTTAAATCAGGAAAACAATGACACAGCTATAATTCATCCTCCGCCCAGCAATCTCGACGTGGCCTTCTCATCTGTTTTTCTACTTTGGTATTTACTATGTCGCTTTCTCCACTGTTCTCTTGGTTTAGGAGAGTACCTTCTGAAATTTCCAATCCCACTTGGCTGAATGGAGGTGTCCCCATCACGGCCAACATAGCTAAGCAGAACACAGCGTCCTTAGCAGCTCTCCTAACCGAACAACCCAGTAAAATGCAGGGCTATTTGAATGCTCACAGATGACTATCCTTCCCATTTCCCCAATAGCTGGCATTCTAGGAGACTCTCAGCCTGGGTTCCAGCACATTGCCTGTGGGGCCACCATATATAATAATGCTCCTTATGTAGAGGAGGGCTGTTTTCTCATAGACATCAACAAGGCATAGAGATTTGGCGAGGTTCTACATTTAGCTACTGAATTATGAGCTACCTGAGGACAGAAACTGTATCTTTTATGTGTCCAGCACAATGCCAAGTACAAAATCAATCAGGATCTCTGAGCAGGTAGGCCTTGCCTTATAGGGTCTATGGAGTTTGTTCAAGAGACAAGAAAAGTGCCTTAAAGGGAAATGTTATGATCTAAATTGTACAGCTATTGACGGGCATCTGTTGGAAGGGAGAAAGGGAAGCTTATAAGGCCACCCTTGATGTACTTTATTTGTTCTGAAAGGAGCCACTTAGGAGGCTTCCTCATACGTAGGCGTGGAAAGCCAGAGGGAGAGTCCTGGGTTTTCTCAGGTGGAATTTTGGCAGATGAGTGGAGAAAACTTCTAAGAAGGAAACTGGGGTTACACTGTCTAAACATAAGTCTCTGTTACATTCTTGGTGTGGGTGACCTTAGCATCAGAGTCTCAGTTTCCTTCTCTAAAAAAATGGAACTAATAGACCCTATCTTATAGTGTTGTGAGAATTAAGTGAGTGAGGCATGTAAATTGCCTAGAACAACACTGTTCCTTCCCATGCCCCTGAGTTCCACAGAGTCTCATGTTGATACTGTTTGGAATTGTTAACAGGAGATTGACCTCCAGGGACAAAGGTTCTGATCAGCCAGGTGCCAGTGGCTCACACCTGTAATCCTAGCTACTCAGGAGGCTGAGATCTGAGGATTGCGGTTCAAAGCCAGCCTGGGCAGGAAAGTAGTCCATGAAACTCTTACCTCCAATTAACCACCAGAAAACTGGAAGTGGCACTGTGGCTCAAGTGGTAGAGCACTGGCCTTGCTGAAGAGCTGAGGGATAGTGCCTAGGCCAAGTTCAAGCCCCATGACCAAAAAAATAGAAAAAAAAAGAAAAGAAAAGAGGCTGAGATCTGGGGATCATGGTTCGAAACTATCCTGGGCAGGCAAGTCTGTGAGATTCTTTTCTTCAATTAACCAGCAAAGAGCTGTGGCTCAGGTGGTAGAGTACCAGCCTTGAGCCAAAAAGCTCAGGAACAGTGCCCAGGCCCAGAGTTCAAGCCCTAGTACTAGAACAAAAAAAAAATAAGGGGGGGGGGGGAGAGAGATCCTGGATCCTGCCAGCCCCTGACCTCCCTGGTACTCTCTCACAGACAGAGGGGGTGAGCCCCCCATTCACAGCACGAGTGCCCAGCTCTGCATCAGCCTATGACCAGAGAGGACTGGCCCCTGGTCAGGATTACCAGGTCACTGTTCGTGCCCTTCGAGGGACCAGCTGGGGGCCTCCTACTTCTAAGACCATCACCACCAGTGAGAGCTGGGACTGTGGGGGTGTGGCCTTGGGTGGAGACCTGGTTTTGATAGGGGCAGCTGGGAGTTGACTGAAAGAAGGCAAAAGGGAGAGCTTTCCTGGGGCTGGGCTCCTGGTAAAGCGGATGGCTCAGGAACCTGGTTCTCACCTGAGCCTTCCTCTCTCTAACCTGCCTAGTGATCGATGGTCCCCAGGATCTCCGAGTGGTGGCTGTGACACCAACCACACTGGAGCTCAGCTGGCTGCGACCCCAGGCTGAAGTGGACCGATTTGTGGTGTCCTATGTCAGTGCGGGCAACCAGAGGGTGCGGCTGGAAGTTCCCCCTGAGGCAGATGGGACTCTGCTGACTGACCTGATGCCAGGAGTGGAATATGTGGTGACCGTCACCGCAGAGAGGGGCCGGGCAGTCAGCTACCCAGCATCCGTCAGGGCCAACACAGGTATGGCTATCCAAGGGTTAGGGAAGGAACCTGGTTTCCAAGGGTTTCCTGATTTGCTCTGCTTGGGAGCCCAGGTCTAAGGTTCACAGGCTCCTCTGAACAAGTCTGGAGGGGTGTGACCATCCCAAAGTACCTGCTGGGGGCCTCTGAAGAAACAGGAGCCTTCAGGCACTTGGAAGGCTGCAGGTCAGACTGTGGAGGAAACTGCACCAGGGTGGGAAGCAGTAAATAAGGAGATACCTCTCTGATCCACGGGGTAAAAGACAGTTCCTATCCTGACTTAGGGACAGAACTTTGGATGGTGGATCTCCTGAGAACTGCAGTCAGGTAGATGAACAATCAATGGATCTAACATTCTGTTAATTTTAGGATTGGGGTTGCCAGGAATTGAGTCTCACAGCTGCTATTTTTCTACTAACTCTCAAGGTTTCTTAGCAGACACCCGGATCTTTCTTTTCCCGGTGACAGGGGACGCCCACATCCTCTTTCCCCAACAGCTCTTCTCTCCATCAGATACAGCCTCCCCCACCCCCCGCCCGCCCCAACCCCGGTGCTGGCTTCTCTTCTTCCTAGGGCACCAACAGTGGTGGGCTTGGAGGGGAGGGGGCGGGGAGGGGGTCCAGGACACTGACGTGTGGCTCTGGTTCTCTTTCCAGGTGGGGCTGGGGCACAGGGAGAAGCCTCTGGATTTTGGAGGGGGACACATGGGGGTTAGGAGGCGGCTTGCAGGGCGTTGGGGGGAGCTGCCACTGACCCGCTCTCTCCTCCCTCCTCTCGCCTCTCCCCTCGGCAGCGCCAGGCCACTACAGTTACCCGGAGGTGCGCCCCCCGGCCCTGCCCCCCAAGCCCCGGCCCCGGCCCGCGCGGCCCCCTCGGCCTGTGGGGTACGCAGAGGAGGGGGAGGAGGAGGAGCCGCGTCCCGGGTGGAGCCCGCCCCAGTCCCCCGGACGGCCCCGGGGCAACCTGACGGCGGAGCTGAGCCGCTTCCGCGGCTCGGTGCAGGACCTGGAGCGCCACCTGCGGGCCCGCGGCTACCCGCTGCGGGCCAACCAGACCTACGCGGCCGTGGCGCGCCACCTGCACGACTTCCTGCGGCGCCACCGCACGGCCGCGCCCCCGGACGGCGCCCCGGCGCCCCCGCCGCGCCGCCCCGGCCCCGGCCCCGGCCCAGCGGCGGGCACCCAGAAGCGGGACTCGGCCGGCGCCCTGCCCCGCCACCCCAAGCCCGAGGTGCTGGGCAGCTCCGCCGACGGCGCGCTGCTCCTGTCCCTCGACGGGCTCCGCGGCCACTTCGAGCGCGTGGTGCTGCGCTGGCGGCCCCAGCCGCCCGCCGAGGGCCCGGCCCGGGAGCTGACCGTGCCCGGCACCGCGCGCACCGTCCGCCTTCCCGACCTCAGCCCGGGCACCACCTACCACGTGGAGGTCCACGGGGTGCGGGCAGGGCAGGCCTCCAAGTCCTACGCCTTCATCACCACCACAGGTAGCGTGGGCCGGGGCGGCAGGACCACCCACTCCTGTCCCTCGACGGCTGCAACCACGACTTCCTCCCCAGCTTCTCTGCTCAGCCTGCCACCCCTCCGCCCTTCCACCTTTACGCCCTACCTGTCTCAGGCACTCCCCCCAAAGCACAGTGTCTCCTGAGGCCACCCTCACCCCAGGGCCTGGCATCATCCTGTGGATACTCACAGAAAACTTGGTCTTGGGGTCTACTGGGCTATCGCCTGGGTTCCCAGGCTCCCCCAGGCCATGTTCAGGCCTTGGTTGGGCTGGCCTTTGGTGCACTCTAGACTGGGCTGGTGTTGAAACCATCCATTACTACTCTGACTCACTATGGTGAGGGTGGCTAAAGATGTGGTCTGTGGTTACTTACCACAGATTTGGTCTTGACTTTGGACACATTAAAACTGTTTGGGGAGGCCTTAAAACCATTAGACAACATGTGGATGGGGGGGTGCAGGGGGCAGGGTTGTTAAAGTGCTGCTGCTTGAGCTGCTTTTTTCTGACCTGGCTTATTTCCCACTGGTCTCTCCCACAGGAACAGTGCCGGGGCCTGGGGAAGGGGTGCTCTGTGGCTGTGGGGCAGGGGTGGACCTCCTCTTCTTCCATAGGGCTCAGATGCTACCTGACCTGGATATACACCTCCCTTATTCCTTCTCTTTCCTCTTTCCTCCTGCCCACTCTCCGTTTGTACCTTCCCTCCTAACACCACTGCCCCCCCCCCACTTTCTTCCAGGCTTCTCACTGCAGCACTAATGGAAGGCGAACTGCCACCCAGTGGGAGATTTGGGTGGGGAGGGATGTGGAAATCTTTGGGTTCTAGAGATCATGGAAGCCTTCAAGCAGGGGAGGGGTGCAAGATGTTGTCTTATTGTCTGTCCTAAGCAGAGGCCTGTCTGCACAGAAGTTGTTTAACCAGGGTTGTTATTCAGAGGATTGGGCAGACCTTTGGGAGGAAGTAACTGGATTAAAAGAGCAGGAGAAAGGAGCAGTCAGAGGCTGGAGGTCAGACCTGGGGGGACTGGAGATTGCTTTCTGGCTCTCATACTCCGCTTTCCTTTTTTTCTTGCCCGGTCCTGCTCCTTCCCAGGATCCTCACCCTCCCTGGTGGGGGCCACAACGGATGAGCCTCCTCCCTCAGGCCCTTCCACGACGCAGGGGGCTGAGGCCCCAATTGTGTTGCAGAGCCTTCAGGAGCTGGGAGAGTTGAGGGTGCTAGGCAAAGATGAGACAGGGCAACTCCGTGTGGCCTGGACTGCCCAGCCCGACATCTTTGCCCACTTCCAACTGAACCTGCAGGTGCCCGAGGGGCCAGGGGCACATGAAGAACTGCTGCCAGGAGATGTCCGCCAGGCTTTGGTGCCCCCACCCCCTCCTGGGGCCCCTTACACGCTGTTACTTCATGGGATTCTCCCAGGGGGCAAGCCCTCTGTTCCAATCACCTACCAAGGCATCATGGGTACATCCGGGACTCTTAACTAATGTCCTGAGATTTGGGTGGGGGAAGGGCTGGGGCTCTCAGGACTTCAGAGGTGAGATGGAGTTTAAGGAGTCGGTGAAGGGCAGGCTGAGTGATAGGGGGAAAAAGGAGAGGGCAAAAGATTTGTGAGTTCAGAGGGAAGGAAGATGTAGTCTTAGAACAGTGAGGACCGTGGTAGTCAGGAGGAGGAAGTCAGAAAAATTCCAGGAGTACAACTACATGCCCTGGCCTTCCCCCTCTTTTGTTTTGTTTTGTTTGTTTTGTTTTTTGTTTTCTGTTTTTGGGTGTGTGTGTGTGTGTGTGTTTTTCTCCCCTGAGTCTACCCCACACTTCCAGGCTGCTCCTCTGCCCTTCCCTGCCCTATAGATCTCCTGAAGTGGGCTTGGGAAGGGCTTTGGCTCTGAGAAGACTGGCTCTCAGTCCCTCATGCCTCCCTCCTCCCTGGGAGTCTAGCTTACAAGAGAAGATAGCCTGTGACCCCATCAGGCTCCTTCTGGTGGTGGTTGTGGGGTGCTCCACTGCCATCAAGACTTCAGAGATGGGTGACATTTGCAGGGCCAATGGAAAGACAGGGGTGGGGCGCCTTGCTCTCACACCCCCTTGGTCCTGCATAAAGGGACGGATGTCTGGGGCTTACCCCAATTCCAGGACAAGCCCACTGCCGATGAAGGGTGGGAAGGGAAAGAGCAGCTCAGGCACACAGAGGAGTCCTCAGACTGCTCTGAAGCCACAGTGAGGAAACTAGAAACTCTCAGGCAGTACCATGGGGAGCCTGAAACTCTGCCAAAAGTCCTAATGTGCAGAGGAACTAAGACTTGAGGGAACAGACACTGACTGGGGAATGCTCCCTTGCCAGGAGGGCTGGTCACCGAGGGCTGACGGATAGGGCTCTGGAGATGTTCAGAATGGAGTCAGGCAAAGGAGAGGGAAGGAGATGGGCAAAGGAATAGTTGAGCCCACCATGCTTTGCTTTTGCCCCCCTCCCTCCAAATCTCAGACAGAGCTGAGGAGAAGCCTAGGAAGTCCCCCGGCCCACCTCGCCTAGGTGAGCTGACGGCGTCGGACATGACCTCTGACTCCCTGCGCCTGCACTGGACGGTCCCCGAGGGAGAGTTTGACTCCTTTCTGATCCAGTACAAGGATAAGCATGGACCCCAGGTGATACCTGTGGAGGGGCCCCAGCGCTCGGCCCCCATCACATCCCTGGAACCAGGCCGCAAGTACAAGTTTGTGCTGTATGGGCTTGTCGGCAAGAAGAGGCATGGCCCCTTGGTGACTGAAGCCAAGATCTGTGAGTGAGAGCAGGCACACCTCTCCCCACCCTCTGTGTATCCTAGAAAGAGGCCGGCCCAGTGCTTTGGGGTTGTGAAGGGAAAGCAAAGAAGGGCAGACGGGGTGAGGAGGCAGTGCAGGTAGAAGGGGTGCCTTGGGAGAGGTTGCCACTGTGCCTCCTGGCTGGAGAACAGGGTATATGGGGAGCTAAGGGGTTGTGGGGTCTTTTTTGAGGGAAGGGCTAGGTCTGTGGTCTGAGGGGCTTGGGCCTCAGTTGAAAGCCTTCAGCGGCCTCTGGGAGCTTATAAAGTAGGAGAGTGGCATGGTTAGATATTTGACACTGGTAAGACATCATAGTGGTGTGGCTAAGGTGGGGACTGAAGTTGTGTGTGGGGTGAAGGAGAATGAGGAGACCCAGGTATGCCCCTGGTTCTTGAATTAGTCCTGTCCCAAAGGCAGTAGCAGTAGTGGACAGAAGTGTGGTATGAGACACTTAGATATGACTAATCTGAGCATGGTCATTGATTCAGATGAGTGTAAGATGCTTGAAGAGAGTAAGATCACACCCAGTATTTGCAGTAGCCCTGTGAAGCATGCCAGTTTCATGAGGAGAATCAAGTCACTGACAGGAAGGAGTTACCCATCAGAAGGTGGCAGAAGCCAAGCACTCTGGCTCACACCTGTAATCCTAGCTATGGGGGAGAAAGAACTTGGGAGGATCATGGTCAAGGCCAGCCCAGGATAGTGTGTGTGTGTGTGTGTGTGTGTGTGTGTGTGTGTGTGTGTGAAGTCCATAAGACCCTCTCTCAATAAGAGCTGGGCATGGTGGTGTGTGCCCATTATCCTATGGGAAGCACAACTAAGAAGATTGTGGTCCAGGCTGGCCCAGGCAAAAAGCTCGACTTTATTATTTTTTTAAAGCCAAAAGGGCTAGAGACATGGTTCAAGTGGGAGAGTGCCTGTGTAGGAAGCAGAAGACTCTGAGTTCAAAGTCTTAATACTACCTAAAGGAAAGAAGAGCTGAGAATGTGGCTTAATGGTAGAGTGCTTGCCTAGCTGGAAGTGGGGCTGTGGCTCAGGTGGTAGAGTGCTAGCCTTGAGGAAAAGAAGGTCAGGGACAGTGCCCAGGCCCTGAGTTCAAGCCTCTGGATTGGCAATTTTTTTTTTTTTTTTTTTAAAAGGAGGGCTGGGAAGTTGGCTCAGTGGTAGAGTGCTTGCCTTGAATGTATGAAGCCCTGGGTTCGATTCCTCAGCACCACATAAGCAGAAAAAGCTAGAAGTGGCGCTGAGGCTCAAGTGGTAGAGTGCTAGCCTTGAGCTGAAGAGCTGAGGGACAGAGTTCAGGCCCAGAATTCAGGCCCCACTATTGACCAAAAAAAAAAGGAATATAAAGGAAAAAAGGGGGTCACAGTGCCACCTTAGTGAGTGTGGAATGCAGAGTAAAAGCTTGAAGAGGGGCATGGAGGCCATCAGTGCCAGTGGCCGGATGAGGGTATGAAGGGAGAGGAGACAGAGCTCTAGACAGCTGGCAATAGCCAACAGGAGTAGAAGAGGAAGGAGCCCACAGGGTAGCCTGAGGTGACTCTCTGGAGAGGGAGCAACCAGGTGCAGGCTGGTGTCTCGGGTGTCAGGCAGGAGGACACAGCTAGTCATGTCAGAGTCTGAAAGTGGGACTCAAAGGCCAGCAAGTGTCCACAGGACTTAGCAATGGTCAAGTCACATTCTGGAATCTTGGCTGGGCACAGAGCAAGGAGGGGAGGTAAAGGGAGATGTGCACAGAATGTGGGTGCAGCTGGGGCCAGGAGCATGGCCGGGGGAGGGATGGACACAGAGTTAGGAGCAGCAGGAGGGGTGTCCTGAGAAGGAGAACCCGGAACACACGGTAGGAGGACTCTTGGAGGAGAAACGACATAGAAGTTAGAGTTGGAATCAGTAGAGGTTGCACTAGGGAGAATTCCCTGGCTGGAGAGATGTGGAGAGATGTCTGACTGGGATCCCTGCTTTCGGAGCCCCCTCCTCCTTGGTTGTAGATAGCATAATGCCACATACAGTGCTTCTGTGTCATTTGAAGGCAGCCCTGGGCTGAAGCCAAGCTCCTGGGCTGAGCTTGGGTTTCAGTCACTTTGTCCCCGTTTAGCCATGAGCAGCCTGTGCAACCTCACACAGCATCCCTATGTGAGACGGGTTCCTCCTTCTCCTGTGACCTTCCTTCTTTCCACTTCCTCTCCACAGTGCCTCACAGTGAGCCCAGCCCAGGAACCCCACCCCGCCTGGGAAATCTGTGGGTGACAGATCCCACCCCAGACTCTCTGCGCCTCTCCTGGACTGTCCCTGAAGGCCAGTTCGACTCCTTCATGGTTCAGTACAGGGACAAGGATGAACAACCCCAGGTGATACCTGTGGAAGGGCCTGAGCGCTCAGTTGTTGTCTCCCCCTTGGACCCTGACCACAAGTACAGATTCACCTTGTTTGGGATTGCCAACAAGAAGCGATATGGCCCCCTCACAGCTGATGGCACTACTGGTAAGTAGCTGCCACCTAAGCCCCCATGTCACCCACGACCCGCCCTCTATACTCAGGCCTCAGCCAGGAACTAGTGGGGCCTCCCAGCAGGATGGCTGACTGCAGCATCCTGGCCCTGCTCCTGGGCTGAGGGGCAGCCAGTCTTTCCCCCACTGCTGGGCCTCTTTCATCGCACTCAGCCATTCCTTAAGGCCCACAAGGTGTGTCATACTCTGACTTGTCAGGAGTTCAGGGCTCACACTAATAGAGTAGTGGACACCCCTCCCCACCCAGGTCCTGATCCTAAACCCCCATCCAGGTTGCCAGTTCAGCACCTGGCTGAACCTTTTTGTTTACAGCCCCAGAGATGGTAAAGGAGCCCCCTCGCTCTGAGATCCTTGAGCAGCCCCCTCGCTCTGAGATCCTTGAGCAGCCCCTCCTGGGAGAACTGATGGTGACTGATGTGACCCCCGACTCCCTGCACCTGTCCTGGACTGTGGCCCAGGGCCCCTTTGACTCCTTCACAGTCCAGTACAAGGATGCACAGGGGCAGCCCCAGGCTGTGCCTGTCAGGGGGGATGAGAATGAAGTCACTGTCCCTGGCCTGGAATCCAACCGGAAGTATAAGATGAACCTCTACGGGCTTCGTGGCAGGCAGCGTGTGGGGCCTGTGTCTGTGGTGGCCAAGACGGGTGAGTCAGAGCCCACAGGCCTCCCTCCCTTGCTGGCCCCAATCCTCTATGCAAGATCTGGGCTGGGCTCCATCTTTTCTTTCTCAGCTCTACTTCTGCCAAAGCCTCTGTCCTCTTTCTCCCTCACTGCTCTCCTGTGCGCTACACCTCAGCCTCCAGCTCTTAATATCCTTGGTCCTCCTGCCTGTCCATTTCCAAAAGCAGGTTCCATTTCCCCCCGTTCCAAGCACTCGGACTCATCCTTTGGCCTCAGCTGTCCTCCACACCGAGTCCTCCCTTTCAGCCAGAGTTCTCACCCACAGTTCAGACTGGCTTTCTTCCTGGCCTGGTTCAGACCCTGGGCACACCTGGGCTTCGGGCACCAACTCTCTGCACCCTCACTGTGTTGCTGTCCTCTCTCCCTGATCTCCAACTCTTCTGTGACCTCTTCTTGCTCCTCACCTCCCTATCTTCCCATCCTTGTCTGAGTTCTCATTACTGCATACTCCTGCCTAATCTCCTGTCCCTGACGTAGGTCCCAGGCCAAAGAGGGGGATCACAGAAGGGCTGGCTTTCTTTGTGCCACAGGTCTCCCCACTCCTGGGAGTCCTGCAGAGACCTAACTTCAGGGGACACTTAGGGGGCCCATGAAGGTGTGATTCCAGAGTCAGCCTCAGAGTGGGCCCTCCCCAGACCCCGTTCACCTGAACCTTTCTCCACTTTTGGCTGGAGCTCTGCCTTCGTAACTCATCCCCTAAGGTTCCCAGGGGAGGAAGGAGCAGGCTGACCCTGAGAGGCCTCAGCAGGAGTTGCATACCATAGTTTTCTCCCAGGGGAAGGCTGAGGCCACCGGAGCCCCCTAGAAGGGGCTTAAGGTGAGAAGAGGCCTCTCCCCTCCTGGCTTTGCTGAGATCAGTGCTGTCGGAGACACGACGTAGAAGAATTCTCAAAGATGTTCTATCTTCCCATCTTGCCCTCATCAGCTATGAGGAGAAATCTCACAATACAACACGCACCCCTGCCAGGAGATAGGACAGGCGGGGATGGCTCAGCCCTCTCCATCTTCTAGTGACTACATAGTTGATATCGGGGGCCATGTAAACCCCTGAGGCTTCCAGTTCAGGAGGCTCTCCAGGATGTTGTACCCACTGACAACACTGGAAAAACAAATCACTCTTAATATCTGCATGACCCATTCTCTTACCTCAGCCCCAACAGATGTTCCAGATGAGATCTCCAGTCCTACAGAAGTAGACGAGAGTCCAAGCCCTACAGAACCCAGCACAGAGGCCCCAGAGCCCCCCAGAGAGCCACGCCTGGGGGAGCTGACCGTGACAGATGCCACCCCCGACTCCCTGAGCCTCTCCTGGACGGTCCCCGAGGGACAGTTTGACCACTTCCTGGTGCAGTACAGGAACGGGGACGGGCAGCCCAAGGTGGTGAGGGTGCCAGGGCATGAGGACCAGGTCACCATCTCAGGCCTGGAGCCAGACCACAAGTACAAGATGAACCTGTATGGCTTCCACAGCGGCCAGCGCGTGGGCCCCGTGTCTGCCATTGGGGTGACGGGTGAGTGGAAAGTGGGAGTCACAGGGTGGGTCTTCTTGGGATGAGAAATCTCTTGCTTTTTGTCAACAACTGACTAGGCCATGGTGGCCAGGGATCCAGCACCCACAGGCATGTGGCTAGGAGTGGGGCCTGCAAGCTATCTTCTGTGCCCCCTGGAGGCAGGAAAGGGTCATGAAGGCCTTTGTTGTGCTAGTGGCTGTTGAGGTTCCTTCCAGCTGACTTGGGAGATTGAGCATGTCTGCCAGATGTCAGCTGAGCAAGACCACTAAGTCCCAAGGGTGGGCTTCTTGGAATGGACTTCAGAACCTTCATGGCATGACTTCACCAGCTTTCTTCCCATCTACTGCTTTACCCTTTTTGTCTCCCTCTCTCAGCTACAGAGGAAGAGACGCCCAGCCCCACAGAGCCCAGCACAGAGGCACCAGAGCCCCCCGAGGAGCCACGCCTGGGGGAGCTGACCGTGACAGGATCCTCTCCAGACTCCCTGAGCCTCTCCTGGACCGTCCCCCAGGGCCACTTTGACTCCTTCATTGTCCAGTACAAGGACAGTGATGGGCGGCCCCAGGTGGTGCGTGTTGGAGGCCAGGAGAGGGAGGCCACTGTGGAGAACCTGGAGCCTGGGCGCAAGTACAAGATGCACCTGTATGGGGTTCACCAAAGGCAGCGCGTGGGCCCTGTGTCCACCATGGCAACAACTGGTGAGCGTGGTCTGGATCTCGCTGCCGAGTCTTACCTTCCCTATTACCAAGATTCCCACCTTTTGCCTGTGTAGCCATAAGTTCCTAACTGCTACCAAGAAAGAGCAGATTAATGGGGACTAGGGACTGCAACCAACCTTTTTGCCCCTGTGCAAGTTTTTTTTGTTTTGTTTTTTGTCTTGTTAGTCATGGGGCTTGAACTCTGGGCCTGGGCGCTGTCCCTCAGCTCTTCAGCTCAAGGCGAGCGCTCTACCACTTGAGCTACAGCGCCACTTCCAGTTTTCTGGTGGTAAATTGGCCATAGGAGTCTCATAGACTTTCCTGCCCAGGCTGGCTTTGAACCACAATCCTCAGATCTCAGCCTCTTGAGTAGCTAGGATTACAGGTGTGAGCCACTGGTGCCCGACCTCTGTGCCAGTTTTAAGTAATTATCTCACAGCACTACTGTGAGGATGAAATGAGTTAACAGATGTAGAAAGGATTAAGAGTGAGCCTGGCACTAAGTAAGCATGCAGTCAGTGCTTGCTGCTGTGATTGCTGTAATTATCCTTACTCTACGGTCTGCTTTGTCCAGTTTTGTTGGTTCAGCTGCTTAGTTGGCCAGAATGTTCATTAGACATTGGCCTACTTATCAGTGCTTTCTTTGATGCTCATCCATAGTGACTATCCAACAAAGAACAGCCCTTCATCCCCTCCCTGAGGCCAGTTATGGTAACACCTCTGCCACCAAGTAGTTCCATCCAGTCAGCTCTCCAGAGCCCCTGCGGGGGAAGCTGAGTGGGAGAGAGAGCCTCTGGAGTCCTTCCTGTTGACCCGTCCAGATTGGTCACGATGAGGGAATCTCTCTTTTTAGTCTGATCACTGAAACAAAGGCACACCTTTTTCAGAAACCAGTGTGTATGTGTGTGTGTGTGTGTGTGTGTGTGTGTGTGTGTGTGTGTGTGTCTGTACACAGACTTGAGCTCAAGCTCTTGCTTGGCTTTCTTGTTTATTATGGTTGATGATCTGCTACTTGAGCCATGCCTCTGGCTCAGAATTCTGCTAGTTAATTGGAGATAAGAGTCTCACAGACATTTCTACCTGGGCTAGCTTCAAGCATCAATCCTCAGATCTCAGCTTCCTAAATTGTCAGGATTACAGATGTGAGATACTAGTATCCAACAAAAGCAACTTTTTCTAAAGGGAAAAGATAGAAAACTTAGAAGTAGAAACAGTTAGATCTCTAAAACATAGTTTCTGTATAGTCCACAAAGCTCAACTTTACGGTGATTTGATTGGCTTCGTTTCTAGAACCTTCTATTCCTGATTTCTTTTTTCTTTTTTTCTTTTTTTGCTTCAGTTAGCACTGAGAAGAGGGAGAAGGGAAACCTATCCTTAATGGCCTCCTCTCAGGGTCAGAGGTAGTAATTTGGAGGCTCACACCAGGCCTGGAGTTCTCTGACAATATCTATTCTTCCATTCCAGGCAGAGAGACAATTAGTCTTTGTCTGGTTGTGTCCCTGGTCCCTGGGAAAGGATAGGCTCTGTTGGGTACTTACTGAAGTACCACAATGCAGAGAAACTGAGTCTTAAGAGTCTGACAGGCTAGAAATGTAGTTAGTGGTAGAGTGCTTGCCTAGCATTCATGAAGCTCTGGGTTCTATTCCTCAGTACCACATAAACAGAAAAGGCTGGAATGGCACTGTGGCTCAAGTAGTAGAGTGCTAGCCTTGAGCAAAAGAAGCTTAGGGACAGTGACCAGGCCCCAGGACTGGCAGAAAAAGTATCTGACAAACTGAATTCCATTCTCAGTTCTTTCATTTCTTAGCTGTGATCTTAAAGAACTTAACCTCCTCTCCTGGAACCTCAGCTTCTCATCTTTAAGATGGAGCCAGTGCCACCACCTAGTGTCATAGGGTGAAAGGTGGTGATACTAGTAGATTTTCAGCTCATTCAACTTGTGTTCATTCCCTCGTATGGCGAGATCACTGTCTCTCTATGTCTGATGCTAGATATCATGCTGCATGTATTGTACATGCCATGGGTAAAATGGTCATGGTGTTTTAGGGAAGGAATAAGCCTTGATGTTCCTTATCAGGGCAGTGAGGTGCTGGAGCCAGCTGAGTGGGTGAGGGCTTGGCCTGCTGTTCTTGCTGTTCCATTGACAGAAGGAATGTGCAGCCAGTTCGCAACAGAGAGGGGACTATTCCCAATGCAGCATGGGACTGTCATATTCATCAACAGAGCCTCAGCTTTACCAGTTAAGCCAAATCACCAGCAATCAGTCAGGCTTGGTGGTGAGGGTCAATTTCTCTTCCTGGAAAAATACAGAGGCCTAAAACAAGCAGAAAATAAGATACAAGCAAATATGGCTAGAAGTAAAGTGAATGAAAGAAAATGCCAGGCCTGGTAACCACTAGTAGATGGTCGGCACAGGTGGTCACTCTGGCCCCTGCCCCTTCCTCCCAGACTCATTTCTGTCTGTCTAAAGCCTAGTCTAGCCCATTTTAAGCAGGTTTTTGCCTGTGCAGTCTAGTCTTACCCTCCCATGGAAGTCAAAGAAACAAGATTTGGGGAGTATCTTACTCACCCAGCCACTCTGTCTTGGGACCACCTTCCATTTTGAAGGGATACCTCCCTCCCAGACTCAGCCTTCTCAGGGAAGGGGGTAGACAGTAGGGACCAGCAAGTCCTTGCTCAGCCTTCCCAGTCCAGACTTGCAGAGGACTCATGTTTTTGGTTTTGGTTTTTTTTTTTTTTGAGACAAGTTCTCACTATGTAGTTCAAGGTGGCCTTAAAATTGAGAGCCTCCTACCTCAGCTTCTTGAGTGCTGGATTACATGCATGTCCCACCATACCTGTTTTCCACTTGTATAGTTAACATGCATTTGCTGAAAATTCACTGTGTGTCAGATACAAAGTTCCTGCCTGTGGAGCTTACATTCTAGCAGAGAGGGGCAGGCAACATGGTGCTCAAATTATGTCAGTGGTATTATATATGACAGGGCTAGGAGTTACAAAGAAAAGCACAGTAGGTGAGAAGGTGTGAGCCTAGAACTCAATGTTGAGGCAAATCCTGAAGGAGATGAAGTGACAGTCACATAGATCTTTTGGGAGGAGAGCTTCCCAGGCGTGGGGAGGGCAAACGCAGAGACTAGCAACAGGGACAGCAGGAATGTGGAGTGCCAGGAAGACAGGACGTAGGGGACTCACGAGGGATTCATGTGTGGCCATTATAAGAACTTGACTTTTGCTCTATGTGAGAAGAGAGCCGCTCTGGAGAGAAGTTCTGAGTAATATATTGATGGGACCCCTCTGCCTGCAGACCCAACAAACCAAAATTGGTGAGGGCTGAAGGAAGAAAGTGACAGGGAGACTGATCACATAGTTCATGGAGCTTGGAAATGGCAGTGGTGGATGGTGAATAGGGTCTAGATTCCAAGGGAGTGACAGCAAGACTGTCCCACAGGGCCATGTGGGATACGCAGGGGTAATTCCAAGGATGTGTGTGTGTGTGTGTGTGTGTGTGTGTGTGTGTGTGTGTGTGTGTGGTGTTGGTCCTGGGGTTTGAAATCAGGGTGTGGGTGCTGTCGCTGAGCTTTTTTGCTCAAGGCTAGCACTCCACCACTTGAACCCCAAGCTCCATTTCTGGCTTTTTTGGATGGTTAATTGGAGTTATGAGTCTCAGGGACTTTCTAGCCTGGGCTGGTGTTGAACTGCAATCTTCAGATCTCAGCTCCCTGAGTAGCTAGGATTACAGGTGTGAGCTACATGGCTGTGTTCAAAGATTTTTATTTGAATAACTGGATGGATGGGGTTCTTACTTTACCAGGTGGAGACACTATGGAACACAGGGGAAGCTCAGAAGCTCAGTTTTGGACTTAAGATATAAATTCGGAAAAAATAAAATAAAAGAATAAAATAGCTTTTATATTAAAAAAAATAAATTCGGATGTTAGCAAACCTGAGTTCTGAGGGTCTCAGAGAGGTCTGATGTGTTATAAATCGAGTCGCTGACATGCAGGTGGAATTTCAGCCACTTTTCTAGCGTCCTATGACAACTGACTACCCCTCTCCCACAAGCACAGCCTAACACCTGGTAGACAGTTGGTGACAGATTATTGGCCAGATAGATGTTGATTAATGAAGTTTCACATGAAAACCATCCCATGGGTAAATGTTCAACATAAAAATATGCCATGATTCAGTTAGTCTACTTTTAGGTATTTATCCAAGAGAAATGAGATCATATGCTCTTACAAACAATTGCATATGAATTTTTTTTGCATTAAACACTGGAAACAACTCAACTGTCCATCCATATACTAATGGCTAAATAAATTATTTATAGCCATACAATGGAATATTCCTTATCAAATAAAAAGAGCTATGCAACTTTTGTACAAGGACAGGAGTGGGTAACTGGGGGGAAGCAAAGGAAGGGTGACATTGTCCAAGAAGAATTGTACTTATACCTTGACTTATGAAATGGTAACCCTTCTGTATGACACTTTACCAATATCAGTAAAATTATGTTTTAAAAATCCCATCAAAGCCGGGCACCGGTGGCTCACGCCTGTAATCCTAGCTACTCAGGAGGCTGAGATCTGAGGATCGCGGTTCAAAGCCAGCCCGGGCAGGAAAGACCGTGAGACTCCTATCTCCAATAAACCACTAGAAAACCACTGTAGCTCAAGTGGTAGAGCACTCACCTTGAGCTGAAGAGCTGAGGACAGCGCCCAGGCCTAGAGTTCAAGTCCCATGACCAACAAAAAAAAAATCCCATCAAAACACCTGTGGGTACACAAGTTAGCAGACATAATTACTACCAAGATAAAAGGGGATTCCTTTTCTAATAGTCCTCTACTATCTCTGTACCAGACCAGCAAGCAGAAGTGATCCCTCCAGCCACCGAGCCCCCACTTGAGCCACGCCTGGGAGACCTGACAGTGACAGATGTGACCCCTAGCTCTGTAAGCCTCTCATGGACAGTCCCTGAGGGCCAGTTTGACTCCTTTATGGTCCAGTACAAGGACAGAGATGGACAGCCCCAGGAGGTACCCGTGGCTGGAGATGAGCTTGAAGTCACTGTCCCCAATCTGGAGCCTGCAAGAAAATACAAGATGAATGTCTATGGACTCCATGGCAGGCAGCGTGCGGGGCCCCTCTCTGTGGTAGCGGTGACGGGTAAGAGGGGGCAAGGAACTTCCCACCCGTGTTTACCCAAATCTTCTCCCCAGGACTGTACTCCTAGCTCTGTCTGGGTGCTTCCATCCCTCCCTGAGAAGGTCCTGTCAGTGACCTTGCACGTCCTTTCCCAGGCTTACAGTTACTCTAGTCTATTTGCTAAGCTCTGGGGTTGGAACCTTGTCACCTTCCGGTGATTTTCCCATCTCCACGGTTCACCCAGCTGGAAAGTCATCTTTCCATTTGGCCTAAATTCATTCTTTCTTCTTCAACACTCTGACTACACAGCTATTTCCTTCCCCTCTCTTTACAATCCTGCTGTGACTTAACACAGCTGTCATCTCCCCCTTCTGTCAACACACGTCCCGGAATCTTTTCTCAGTGGTCCTCGCTGCCTGGCCCGTGTCTCACTCCCTTCTGGCTGACTCCACTTGCATCCCTCCAGAAGGCCGCCCTCTCCTGTGGGCCCTGGCTTCCTGCAAGCCCTCATGGTTTCCTGGGCATAGGTTCATCATGATTTTTCTGTGCCAAAGCATCTGGTGAAATCCCTTTTCCATCTCAGAGCAACATCTTAAAATCTAGAAAATGAAATGTGTAAGATTGCCAGAGACACAAATTATGTGGCTTTACACTCAGTCCTCTATATCTTCAAGTTCCGTAGCCAACTGTAGACAGAAAATATTTTTTTAAACTTGTGTCTATTTCAAATATGTACAGACATTTTATATCATCACAAACAATATGGTCACCAATTTTTTTTTTTTCAGTCATGGGACTTGAACTCTGGGCCTGGGCACTGTTCCTCAGCTCTCCAGCTCAAGGCTAGCCACAGCACCACTTCTGGTTTTCTGAGTGGTTTATTGGAGATAATAGACTTTTCCTGCCCAGGCTGGCTTTGAACCATGATCCTCAGATCTCAGCCTCCTGAGTAGCTAGGATTACAGGTGTGAGACACCGGCACCTGGCTAAAAACATTTCTTAAATATTTGAATTTATAATTTGGTAATACCTGGACTTACATTTTTTTCCCTCTGTCATCCTTCCCTCCCTCCCTCCCTCCCTCCCTCTCTTCCTTCCTTCCTTCCTTCCTTCCTTCCTTCTTTCCTTCCTTCTTTCCTTCCTTCCCTCCTTCCTTCTTTGTGTCAGTAGTAGGGCTGTAACTCAGGGTCTTACACTATCCCTTACCTTTTTTTGTTGTTGTTGTTGGTCAGGGGGCTTGAACTCAGGGCCTGGGCACTGTCTGTGAGCTTTTTCCTTCAAGGCTATCACTTTAACACTTTGAGCCACAGCACCACTTCTGGTATTCTGATGCTTACTTGGAGATAAGAATCTCATGGACTTTCCTGCCTGGGCTGAGTTTGAACTGTGATCCTTAGATCTCAGTCTCCTGAGTAGCTGGGATTACAGGCGTGAGCTATCAGCACCCAGCTCTACCCCTTAGCTTCTCTTCTCAAGGATGATTCTCTCTACCACTTAAGCCAAAGCTACCTTTCTGGTTTTTTGTTAGCTAATGTGACATAAGAGTCTCTCCACTTGTCTTCCCAGGCTGGCTTTGAACCAAGATCCTCAGGTCTCAGTTCCTGAGTAGCTAAGGTTATAGCCATGAGCCACTGGCTTCCGGCCCTGGACTTCTGTATTAGCTCATGTAAACAACATTTTGAAGTTTCTGAAATAACTCTAAGGTGATATGAAAAGATATCTGCTTTCTACTGGTGAGAAAGTCACAAGCGCTTCTAAGATGTCGCGGTTGGCTTTCTGTATGGCTTGCCGTAGCACACCCTACATTTCAGCTCCCAGTCCCTTTGAGGTCAGCAGAGCCCAGGAGTTCTCGCCTCACAGATCTCAGCCCTGCTCTTTGTCTTCTGGATCCCAGATCCCCTCCCACCAGCACCCATCTCCAAGGCCCTCGTGGAACCACGCTTGGGGGAGCTGACAGTGACAGACGTGACCACAGACTCCGTGGGCCTCTCCTGGACAGTCCCTGAGGGGGAATTTGACTCCTTCATCGTCCAGTACAAGGACAGGGATGGCCAGCCCCAGGTGGTGCCGGTGGCAGCAGACCAGCGAGAGGTCACTGTCTCCAACCTAGAGCCATCCCGCAAGTACAAGTTCCTGCTCTTTGGAATGTGGGATGGGAGACGACGCAGCCCAGTCTCTGTGGAGACAAAAACAGGTGAGAGGGGCCCAACACGCTTGAGCCTTGAGGCCCAGCCTTCCCTCCGAAGGTGGAATGCTAGCTACTTTTTTTTTTTTTTTTAGTCTGGGCCTGGGATTTGAACTGGGTACCTGGTGCTTTCACTCATTGGCTGGCACTCTACCAACTGAGCTAAGCCTCTAACACCCTAGCCTTTCTATTTGGTTTGAAAAGTCATCTGCTTACCTCAGTCCAAAGCAGACAAGAACCAGAACAAATGGGGCCAGATCTTGGACTACTCTCCCCTGCTAGTATTTCTTATTGTGTATACTTCTCTTGAATTGGGGAGCTCTTTCCTGGAAGATGACTGGGGGGACACTGGGGCTTCTGGGAAAGGGAGGGAGGTGGCCAGGGGCACCTTTTCCTCTGGCCTGTGGCCCCATCCCTGCCTCAGATTTTGTCCTCCGTCCTTCATGTCAGCTCTTACCCATCTGGTCCTACCTATAGCTGCCTCTGGTTGAGGTTCCTGTCTTCTGTCCTTCCAGAGCCTTACAAAGAGAAAGATAAAGAACCCAACCCAGCTGTGCCCTTTCTGGGGTTCAGTCCAGGCCCTCCCCTGTCCCTGGGGGCTCCCTGTTGCCAGAAAACCTCTCACAATAACAATGTTGTCAGAGGTTTTGCTGTCCAGGAAGGCAACAGGCCAGCTCCTTCCCAGGGCTGGGATGGCTCCTTTGGCCAACATCAGATCCCTTCTCCGTCTCAGCCTTCCTCCCCACTTTAGACCCCGGTTTCTGCAACGCAGCGCCACACACACACACACACACACACACACACACACACACACACACACACACACACACACACACACACACACACACACACACACACACACACACACACACACACACACACACACACACACACACACACACACACCATACCATGGAGTAGTCTCACTCCTCTACTAGGCTCTGTGGGAGTCATTGCTTCTGAATCCAGTCGGTACAGAAGGAGAATGAGAAAGGGAATGGGGGCAGAGTGAGAAGCACTCTGTCAGAGTATCATGCCTGCCCCACCTACTGTCTGCCCCCAGCAGGGAGCCCTTGCCCCTCTGATTTCCCCAGACCGATCAGATCACAAATCAGGGATTTCTGAGTAAGAGAAACTAGATGGACACCAAGTCTAAGATACACGTCCTGCTGGGGAAACATTCTCTAAGAGATGGGAAGAACCTGGCCAGTAAGTAAGAGGGATGCAATGAGGAGGGAAATTAAGGGATCTCTTCCCAGGATAAGTCATGCCAGAGACCCCCTCCCCATGTTGATCTACTGGAGAGTGGCAGACGCCAGCTGGAGATGGTAGCAAAGACGAAGGGTAATAAAAAAATATGTGGGGAAGCACTGACCATTTGGGCAGTTCTGGGTTTTTCCAGCACTAACAGAAGGCAGTTGAAGAGTCATTTCGGAAAAAAATAAACATAAGAATCTTTCCTTTCTGTCAGCTGCCCAAGATGACGCCAGCCCACCCCGCCTTGGGGAGTTATGGGTGACAGACACTACTACAGATTCCCTGCGCCTCTCCTGGACAGTCCCGGAAGGGCAGTTCGACTCTTTTGTGGTGCAGTTCAAGGGCAAGGATGGGCCCCAGGTGGTGCCTGTGGAGGGCCACGAGCGCTCGGCCACCATGGCCCCCCTGGACTCTGGCCGCAAGTACAAATTTCTCCTCTACGGCCTCCTGGGCAAGAAGCGCTTTGGCCCCCTCACTGCAGACGGCACCACAGGTGAGGAGTGTCCCCTGCAGGGCCCTGCTCTGCTCCTCCAAGGCCCAGGGAAACGGGTGATCACTGTGGTGGCTTCCCTTCACCCACCCTGCGTCCTTGTTGGATTCTGTTTTGACCAAACACAGCTTGTAGACAGAGCTCAGCTCTTTCTTGTCCTTGTCTCCATCTCAGGGACCCCAGACGCTTATGACCATACCAGAACAAAGCAGCTCCCCAAACCTCAACTGGGGGAAGAGCTTCAGGTGACCAGTGTGACCCAAGACTCTGTGAGCCTCTCATGGACAGTTCCAGAGGGTCAATTTGACTCCTTCGTGGTCCAGTACAAGGACAGTGATGGGCAGCCCCAGGTGGTGCCGGTGGAGGGCAGCCTCAGGGAGGTCAGCGTCTCGGGCCTGGACCCTGCCCGTAGGTACAAGCTGCTGCTCTATGGGTTATACAACAACAAGCGTGTGGGTCCTCTCTCTGCCATTGCCACAACTGGTGAGTGTAGAGACTGCTGGAATGCTTTGTGACTGTTTTCCACCTAGCTCTCCCTGTCTGCCTGAGGGAACAAAGGTCTCTCTCAACTTCCCATTTCCCTTCTTTTGGGGGTGGGGTCAGTTTCCTGGAGCACCATTTACATACAGTATCAATGAGTCGGCAAATCTGTAAGTCACAAACCATACCACAAGAGAGATTTAAAGCCTTTATAACCACTTGACAAGTTTCCTTTGCTGGGTACTTGGGACTCATGCTTATAATCCTAGCTACTCAGGAGGCGGAACCAGGTTTGAAGCCAGCCAGATAGAAAGTCTGTGAGAGTTATAGCTCCAATTTACCAGCAAAAAGCTGGAAGTTCAGGTGTGGCTCAAAGGGTAGAATGCCAGCTTTGAATGAAAAAAATCCAAAAAAGAACTGCAGGTCCTGGGGCTGGGAAGGTGGCTCAGTGGTAGAGCGCTTGCCTTGCATGCTCAAGGCCCTGGGTTCGATTCCTCAGCACCACATAAGCAAAAAGCCGGAAGTGGCGCTGTGGCTCAAGTGGTAGAGCGCTAGCCTTGAGCTGAAGTGCTGAGGGACAGTGCCCAGGCCCAGAGTTCAGAATGCCAGCTTTGAATGAAAAAAATCCAAATAAGAACTGCAGGTCCTGAGTTCAAGCTTCAGTGGAAGCAGAAAGGAAAAAAAAGTTTCCTTGTAAACCTTGCAGTCTGTTCCCTACAACCAGCCCCTGCACCCTCTGATCTGCTTTCTTTCAATATAGTTTTGCTTTTTTTTCAGTTTTATTTAACTAGTCATTAATATGTGGTATCTTCTGTTTGTATTCTTACACTTCATATAATTCTTTGGAAATTTATTCAAATATAACAGAAGCAGACCCTCTTATTGCTGATCTCTTCCTTCCCCTTCGCCCTCCTCTCCAAAGTATCCATTGAGCAGGAATCAATCAGTAATCATCTCTACCTGTCTCTCTGGATAGACTCCAGGGAAAAATACGAAGCTGAGACTAAGGTTCCAATCCCTCCCGTGGCTGTGCCCCGCCTGGGCGAGCTGACAGTGGAGGAGGCCATGCCTGACAGCCTGCATCTCTCCTGGATGGTACCTGAGGGACAATTTGACTCCTTTGAGGTCCAGTACACAGACAGAGATGGGCAACTCCAAGTGGTCAGTACAGAGGGCGACCAGACTGACATCACCCTCACTGACCTGGAATCCGAACACAGATACCTGGTGACCTTATATGGTTTCCATGACGGACAGCGCGTAGGTCCTGTCCAGATTGAGGCTGTCACAGGTGAGTGAGGGAAATTCTGAGCTTGCATCTTTCTAGAGAGTTGGAAGAGTCCTAAGGAGAGTAAAGTTCCTGGGGTCATAGCCCTTTCTGAAACTCTTCCCCTCTCCATGTTCAGTGTCGCAAAGTGAGGAAGAGGAAGAGCCCTCAGAAGCACCTACCACAACTGTGCAGCCTCCCCCCAAGCCGCGCCTGGAGGAGCTGACCGTGACAGAAGCCACCCCCGACTCCCTGAGCCTCTCCTGGACGGTCCCCGAGGGACAGTTTGACCACTTCCTGCTGCAGTACAGGAACGGGGACGGGCAGCCCAAGGTGGTGAGGGTGCCAGGGCATGAGGACCAGGTCACCATCTCAGGCCTGGAGCCAGACCACAAGTACAAGATGAACCTGTATGGCTTCCACAGCGGCCAGCGCGTGGGCCCCGTGTCTGCCATTGGGGTGACGGGTAAGTGGGTGTTGGAAACCCCAGGGTGGGATCAACCAGGAGGTAGGGTCCTTTTACTCTTTGGTTGGTCACTAAACAGGCAATGTGTCTGGACATGGGTCTGCACCCACAGACCTGCTGTGGGAGGGGGCTGTGGGAGGGGGCTGTGGCCCCTATGCCTTCCCCTTGGGTTGACTTCTGTCCTCCTGGGCAGGGAAGGACCATTAGTATCTGTGCTGAGCTAGTGACCATAATAGTTCCTCCAAGTTCACTTAGGAGCTTGGGCATGTTTATCAGAGGTCAGCTGATCAGGGCCATCAGGTCCCAAGGGTGGACTTCTCTGAGCTGACCTGGGGATTTCACTAGCCATGGCTTCTCTGTCCTTCTCCCTAAGACTCGAGGTCTCTGCCTCACCTTCTCTATCTCCCTCTCTCAGCTACAGAGGAAGAGACGCCCAGCCCCACAGAGCCCAGCACAGAGGCACCAGAGCCCCCCGAGGAGCCGCTCCTGGGGGAGCTGACCGTGACAGGATCCTCTCCAGACTCCTTGAGCCTCTCCTGGACCGTCCCCCAGGGCCACTTTGACTCCTTCACTGTCCAGTACAAGGACAGTGATGGGCGGCCCCAGATGGTGCGAGTTGGAGGTCAGGAGAGGGAGGCCACTGTGGAGAACCTGGAGCCTGGGCGCAAGTACAAGATGCACCTGTATGGAATCTACCAGGGGCAGCGCGTGGGCCCCGTGTCCACTGTGGCAACAACTGGTGAGTGAGGGAAAGGGGGTTCCCTTTGTTGGGTTTCAGGAAGTAGAGCCAGTTCCTCAGTAAAGATCCAGGATCCAACCCACTTCCATCAGCCAAGTGCCTCAGGGCAGGTGTGGTAGGGCAGGGACAGCCTTATCCCAGATTAGGGCTGGGCCCATCTTGGGCTGCCAATCCCCCTTCTCTGCTTCTGGGAACTCTAGAGGGAATTCTTTTTATGGAATTTGGACACATTCTAAAGAATATTAACTAATACCTTCAACACATACTTATTAAAAAAATTTCAAGGGGCTGGGAAGGTGGCTCAGTGGTAGAGCGCTTGCCTTGCATGCCTGAGGCCCTGGGTTCGATTCCTCAGCACCACATAAGCAAAAAGAAAAAAGCCGAAGTGGTGCTGTGGCTCAAGTGGTAGAGTGCTCGCCTTGAGCTGAAGAGCTGAGGGACAGCGCCCAGGCCCACAGTTCAGGCCCCACGACCAGACCCCCCCACAAAAAAAACATTCAAGCATATCCAAAAGGTTAACATAAGGGTATTCAATATATTCATCACCCTGATTCTTTTTTTTTTTTTTTTTGTCGGTCGTGGGGCTTGAACTCTGGGCCTGGGCGCTGTCCCTCAGCTCTTCAGCTCAAGGCGAGCGCTCTACCACTTGAGCTACAGCGCCACTTCCGGTTTTCTGGTAGTTTATTGGAGATAGGAGTCTCACGGTCTCTCCTGCCCGGGCTGGCTTTGAACCGCGATCCTCAGATCTCAGCCTTCTGAGTAGCTAGGATTACAGGCGTGAGCCACCAGCGCCCGGCCATCACCCTGATTCTTAAGTCAGCTCTTGGTCTTTCTGCCTGATCTGCTCTTCCCGCCCCCCCCCCCTCTCTTTTGCTAGCCCCGGGGTCTGAACTCGGCCTGGGCGCTGTCCCTCAGCTCTTCAGCTCAAGGCTAGCACTCTACCACTTGAGCCACAGCGCCACTTCCAGCTTTTTCTGCTTATGTGGTGCTGAGGAATTGAACCCACGGCCTCAGGCATGCAAGGCTAGCACTCTACCACTGAGCCACCTACACAGCCCTCCCCTCTCTTTTTAAAAAGGCTCTTTTTTATGGGCTGGGGTTATAGCTTCAGTAATACAGAACTTGCATAGCATGTGAAATATTCTGGGTTTATTTATTTATTTATTTATTTGATCGGTCGTGAGGCTTGAACTCTGGGCCTGGGCACTGTCCCTCAACTCTTCAGCTCAAGACTAGCGCTCTACTACTTGAGCCATAGTGCCACTTCCAGTTTTCTGGTGGTTTATTGGAGATCAGAGTCTCACAGACTTTCCTGCCCAGGCTGGCTTTGAACTGAGATACTCAGATCTCAGTCTTCTGAGTAGCTAGGATTACAGGCATGAGCTACGGCACCCAGCTTATTATTTTTTTTTAACTAAACAAAGATTTTTATTTTCACCAATACTGGCATGAGGCCCTGGGTTCGATTCCCCAGCACCACATAAGCAAAAAGGAAAAAACCCGGAAGTGGTGCTGTAGCTCAAGTGGTAGAGCGCTAGCCTTGAGCTGAAGAGCTGAGGGACAGCGCCCAGGCCCAGAGTTCAGGCCCCACGACCGGACCCAAAAAAAAAAAAAACAAAAAAACCCCCACTAAAGTTAGTAAATGAATGAATCCAACAAAGTTGTAGGGTATGAGATCACCACATAAATACATTGTGTTTCTTTATACCATCAATGACCAGTCTGAAAAGGAAATTAAGAAAATAATTCCACTCATAATAACATCCAAAATACTTAAATTTAAATGAGATGAAAGACTCTGACACTGAAAACTGTAATAAAACACTGATGAAAATAAAAAGACCTAAATAAATGCAAAGACATGCCATCTTCATGGATTGGAAGAGTTAATATTATTAATATATTTTCCAAAGCAATCTATAGAGTCAACGTAATCTTTGTCCAAATTCCAATGGCTTTCCTCCCCAATTAAACGTCAAAGTCCGTTGAGCAGTCTGGCTTTATCTTTACATAATTTGTGTGTCATAAAAAGTTTACCCATTGTAAGCTAGGCGCCAGTGGCTCACGCCTGTAATCCTAGCTATTCAGGAGGCTGAGGTCTGAGGGTCCTGGTTCAAAGACAGCCCTGGCAAGAAAATTCCATGTGACTCTTATCTCTAATGAATCACCATAAAACCAGAATGGCACTGCGACTCAAGTGGTAAAGCACTAGCCTTGAGCTGAAGAGCTGAGGGACAGTGCCCAGGCCCAGAATTCAAGCCCCATAACGGACCAAAAAAAAAAAATTACCCATTTTAAGCATATAGCTTATGCATTTAGCATATTTACATAATGTGCAAGTATCATTACAATCAGCTTCTGGAACTTTTCCACCACCCCTAAAAGAAGCCTTAGGTCCAGACCCATCCCTCCCCCATTCTTACACTGTTAGTCTACCCATGTCGATAGACTAGTCTTTTCTAGACATTTCCTATGAAGAGAATCATGTAATTTCTATTCCTACTCTTTTGGGTCTATCTTCTTGCACTGAGCATGCTGGTTTTGAGGTTTGGCCTTGTTTTTAGCACATAGTAATACTTAATTATTGGTTTGGGGAGTGTTTTTCTGTTTTTTGGGTTCTACCACTTGTGCCACACCTCCACTTCCAGCTCTTTTGCTGGTTAATTGGAGATAATTTGTCTGCTTGGTCTGGCTTGGAACCTTGGTCTTCAGATCTTAGCCTCCTGAATAGCTATGATTATAGATGTTAGCCACCAGCACCCAGCTGAAGAACTGAACTTTTAAATAGGGTAGTCAAAGGTGATCTTGAAAAAAGGATATATGGGCTGGGAAGGTGGCTCAGTGGTAGAGTGCTTGCCTTGCATGCCTGATGACCTGGGTTTGATTCCTCAGCACCACATAAGCAAAAAGAAAAAAAGCCGGAAGTGGCGCTGTGGCTCAAGTGGTAGAGCGCTAGCCTTGAGCTGAAGAGCTGAGGGACAGCGCCCAGGCCCAGAGTTCAGGCCCCACGACCGGACCAAAAAAAAAAGAAAAAAGGATATATGTCCATGGCTTGTGCAAACATCTAGGGAAAGAATGTTTAGGCTAGAGGAGTCGTGTGCCAAAGCTCTGAGATCAAATTACCCCCAGAACCAGCATACCTTATGACCAGAGAGATTCAGCACCTTGTCCTAGTAATAGGAGACAATCTGTTTATATCTCTTCCCAGTCCCTGAAGAGCAGCCCCTTGGCCCTCCACTTCCTAAGCCTCGCCTGGGAGAGATGACCGTGACAGATGCCACCCCCGACTCCCTGAGCCTCTCCTGGACGGTCCCCGAGGGACAGTTTGACCACTTCCTGCTGCAGTACAGGAACGGGGACGGGCAGCCCAAGGTGGTGAGGGTGGCAGGGCATGAGGACCAGGTCACCATCTCAGGCCTGGAGCCAGACCACAAGTACAAGATGAACCTGTATGGCTTCCACAGCGGCCAGCGCGTGGGCCCCGTGTCTGCCATTGGGGTGACGGGTGAGTAGATAGTGGAATCCTAGGGTGTAACCTTCTGGGAGAGGTGTCCTCTTGTTCTTTGATGACAGGTGAGCAGGCAGTGGTGTCTGGGCATTGGTCTGCACCCACAGGCCTTCTTGTGGCTGTGGCCCCATGTGTTTTCCCCTTGGGTTGATTTCCAGGTCCTCCTGGGCAGGGAAGGATCATTAGTATCTGTGCTGTGCTAGTGACTGTAATGGTCCTCCAAGTTCACTTAGGACATGTTTATCAGAGGTCAGCTGATCAGGACCATCAGGTCCCAAGGACAGACTTCTCTGAGCTGACCTGTGGGTTCCACTAGCCATGGCTTCTCCACCTAAGACTCGAGGTCTCTGCCTCACCTTCTCTGTCTCTCTCTCTCAGCTACAGAGGAAGAGACCCCTAGCCCCATAGAACCCAGCACAGAGGCACCAGAGTCCCCTGAGGAGCCGCTCCTGGGAGAGCTGACCGTGACAGGATCCTCTCCAGACTCCCTGAGCCTCTCCTGGACCATCCCCCAGGGCCACTTTGACTCCTTCACTGTCCAGTACAAGGACAGTGATGGGCGGCCCCAGGTGGTGCGTGTTGGAGGCCAGGAGAGGGAGGCTACTGTGGAGAACCTGGAGCCTGGACGCAAGTACAAGATGCACCTGTATGGAATCTACCAGGGGCAGCGCATGGGCCCCGTGTCCACCGTGGCAACAACTGGTAAGTGTGGTCTGGGGCCTTAAGTGTTCTTTCTTTCCCTCACTGGTACCTGATTGGCTCTTCTTTTCCTTCCTCAGGCTTCATGGGTCTTAGCCACAGCTCCTCTTCTGTGTCCTTCCTCTGTGGCCCCTAGCTATAGTCCACTCCTGTTGATTTCACTTTTGCCCACCTGTAGCTTCTTCTTTAATTCTGTGTGGCTTTTCTGGTGGTCAGCCACTGGCCTCCTCCAAGGGTGACATATGTCAGACAGAGGCTAAGCTGACTTACCAGTTCCTTTCCTTACACCTTCATCACAAGATTCTTTATGATAACCATATATGCACTCCCACACATAGGAACACCCAAACCTCAAACTAGATTGTGATAGCTGAGTAGTTTAGGCAAAATCTAAAATGAGCTATTATGCTGCCATTGAAAATCTTTTAGCATCAAACAATGTTTATAATATTCCATTGAAAAAAAGCAGAGCTCAAATATTTTTGCAAGTACGCTAATCACAACCATTTGAAAATAGCTGGCCTTTGAAAATAGCTGGCCTGGTGAGAAGAGCAGGAAAAAGCCCATCCCACAAGGACATGGTGTGCAAAACAGAATGGACAGTTCTAGCCCATTGTTCTTTCTGTCTTGTTCCATTCTGCATTGTCCGAATCCTTCTAAATGGCAAGCATTTTTTCCTCTAAGCATTTCTTTCATAATCACTAAAAAAGAAAAAGAAAAATACATAGTTTCCGTCTTATACCTTATTTGTCTTTTTTTTTTTTTTTTTTGCTGGGTCGTGAGGCTTGAATTCTGGGCCTGGACACTGTCTCTCAGCTCTTCAGCTCAAGGCTAGCACTCTACCACTTGAGCCACAGCACCACTTCCAGCTTTTTCTGCTTGCGTGGTGCTGAGGAATCAAGCCCAGGGCTTCATGCATGCAAGGCAAGCACTCTACCATTGAGCCATCTTCCCAGCCCCCTTATTTGTCTTCTTTATTACTCTTTTTCTTTTTGGTAGTACTGGGAATTGAATTTAGGGCCCCAAACTTCTTAGGCTGGTGCTCTACCACTTGAGCTATAGCTCCAACAAGTTTTGCTTGAGTTGTTTCTCAGAGGAGGTTTTCTGTTTTTGTCTGGGGCTAGCCTCAAACTGTAAATATCCTGCTGACATCCTCCAACATAGATGGGATTACAGGTTTGCATTCCCATGCGCTTCCCGTTCACTCATGCAACACATTTCATTTCTAATTATGAGAGTGTTAAATTTTCCAGTCCCTAAGTTAAGTAGGGAACACATCACAAGGTTCATTGAATTCATGGAATTCCCCCAAATGTAGTCAGGCTGCCATTTCTGACTCATTCTCAACCCATCTTATGCCTGTTTCTGAGTAGTTCTCAAGAGCTCTATAGAGGAGGCAGGACACTCTAACAGCAAAATGTGTTACAAACCAAATGACCTATTAAAAATGAAGCAGGAGGCCCCCTCTATGTCATGAAATGAATGGTTTATGAGGTATCTCCCATATCCTGGTAGAAGAAATGTACCCAGGTGGAAGAAACTTTGTTTCTTTTGAACTCAGGGTCTTGTACTCACTTGTTTTGCTTGCTCATGACTGGAATTCTACCATTTGAGCCAAGCCTCCAGCCCAGCTTTTTGAGACAGAGTCTCCGGTTTATCTGCCTGTGCTGACTGAACTGGGGTTCTCCAGATCTGTGTCTCTTAGTTAGCTAGATTTGTAGGCATGAGCCATAGGCACCCAGTTTAGAGGAACCATTCTCACTCAGGCTTCTGACTCCTGAGCACAGGCCTTGTGGCCATAGTGTGTTTAGTGGTCCATCTGTATGGTAGAGAAACAGGGAGAACAGGGAACCACTGGAAAATTGTTGGGTTTTTTTTTAACCTCCTAGCATGGTGAATTAATTAGAGGACCCAAATCTTTTGCCTTCCTGTTCCATCTGCACATTTCTACTCTCCTCCCTTCATTCCATTATTAATGTTGGTAGTCCAAAATGTATTTTATTTAATTTTTTTGGGTCTGTCATGGGGCCTGAACTCTGGGCCTGGGCGCTGTCCCTCAGCTCTTCAGCTCAAGGCTAGCGCTCTACCACTTGAGCCACAGCGCCCACTTCTGGCATTTTTCTTTTTGCTTATGTGGTCCTGAGGAATTGAACCCAGGACTTCTTGCATGCAAGGCAAGCGCTCTACCACTGAGCCACCTTCCCAGCCCCCAAACTTTATTTTTAAGCCCACACTTTTATAATGAAAAGAATCATAGTAACCGGGCGCTTGTGGCTCATGCCTTTAGTCCTAGCTACTCAGGAGTTTGAGATCACCGTTGAAAGCCAGCCTGGGTGGGAAAGTCCATAAGACTCTTTATCTCCAATAAAACACCAGAAAACCAGAAGTGGTGTTGTGGCTCAAGTGGTAGAGGGCTCACCTTGAGCTGAAGCGCTGAGGAACAGCGCCCAAGCCCAGAGTTCAAGCCCCATGACCTCCCCTCCATCCCCCCCTCCCCCAAAAAAAAGAATCATAGCAGCATTAGATAAAGTTTAAAAAGTAGGATTGTAATCAACCTTTTGACACAATAACCACAATTTGTAACAGCATGAGTTCTTGCTCAGCCTGTATGAGACCCTGAGTTCAATCCTAAGCACCAAGTCTGTAATTCCAACTATGTGGGAGGTGTAAGCAAGGGTGCCTCAAGTTTGAGGTCAGCCCAGGCAAAGGCGGTGAGATTCTGTCTCAAGAAGAGGAGGGATGGACTGAGGTCAGCGTGGTAGAACACTTGAATAGCAAGCAGGAGGCCCTGGGTTTAACCTTCAGGACTACACACACACACACACACACACACACACACACACACACACACAATAATGTGCATAACACATATTCCATTCCTGCATCTTGCAATATATTTTAAAGTTATAGTTAGAATGTTTATGTAACTCTTGGCTCTTATTTTTTCATGTGCAAGTTACATGGAAGTCATTCACCCTGCATTAATCATCATTTTAATGGTTATTTGATGCTTTTTCGTGAAAGCATTGGAAGAGCATTCATCATCTTTTACAGGTCATTTGAGTTTTTAACGCATTTCGCTGTCATGAATAAGCTCATTATGAACATCTTCCATGCCATAACTTTTTCCTGCTTTTAATAATTTTCTTAGGATAGATGCCCAGAAATGGGATTATTGGGTCAAAGGAAATGAGCACCGTTTTGGCTTCTGACTCACATGGCTCAGTTGCCTTCTGAAGGTGTGTAATGATGCATTCCTGGCAGAAGGAGGAGGGCAGGCTCAGCCCTCTCAATTCACAAGTGATGGCATGGCCAATACCACAGGTCACGCGGGCCCCTGCGTCTTCTGCCTCAGGAGTACATATGCAGAGTATGTTTTACGAGCCATTGACAACGCCAGGAAAGCAAGTTACCCTTAATGCCCATATGCCCTGAATTCTGATCTTAGTCCTTCCACAGCATTGGAAGGCTCCACAGAACCCACTATATGGGTCCCAAATTCCCTTGAGCAACCGCTCCTTGAGGAACTAACAGAGGCAGACTCCCCTGAGCCTCTCCTGAACTTCTCTCAAGGCTGTTTTTTTTGTTTATTTGTTTTTTTATTCAGTTGTGGGGCTTGAACTCAGGGACTGGGTGCTATCCCTGAGCTTTTGCACTGAAAGCTGGTATTCTACCACTTTGAGCCACAGTGCCACTTCCAGTTTTCTGGTGGTTAATTAGAGATAAGTCTCTAATGGTCTTTCCTGCCCGGGGCTGGGTTTGAACTACATCCTCAGATCTCAGTCTCTGAATAGCTAGGATTATGGGAGTGAGCCACCGGTACCTAGCTTCAAGTCTGTTTTGATTCATTCACTGTTTAGTATGAGGACAGCAGTGGGTAACCCAAGTGGTGCATGTCAGGAGTGAGGAGAGGGAGGCCATCATAAGCAACCTGGAGCCAGGTTCAAGTACAAGATGAACCTTTATGGGCTCCACCAGGGGCAGTGTGGTCCCCATGTCTACCCTGGGAATGATGGCTCAGTAAACTTTGGATGGGGCTGGGCAGGAAGCACAGCTGTAGAAGTCGGTTCCTTTTCTACAGCTTCAAGGAAACAACCGTGCTCACAGCAGCAGCGCGGTCTGTGCACTTCCACATGCCTGTAGGTCTTGCTAAAAAGCAGATTCAGATCCAGCCATATTGACTGGAGTCTGATATTGTGCATTCCTAACAAGACTCATGTTTGCTTACTTCCCTCCCCCCCTACAAAAAGAAACATTTGAGATAACTTAGAGGTTCCAAGACATGCTTTGTTGGCTCTACTGCTCTTAGGCTTGCTGTTGGGAGGCAGAAGATCATGAGAGGGAATCATAGTGGAACAAAACTACCTACCTCATTGCCAGGAAGCAAAAAAAGGAAAAAGATAAGGAAATAGGAAGCTGTTCCCTCCCACTGTTCCCTTCAAGGGCACCCCCCCCCCAATGACCTAAGGATCTCTCACCAGGCTCCACCTCTTAAAGATTCACCCACCTCCTAATATCGCTACCAGGGATCTTTGGAGGACACTCAAGATCCAAAGTAGCAATTGTAATGCTGACAATGCTGGTGTATGGGTCAGCCTTTGGGTAGAAAGCTCCTTATAACAAAGGAATAGAATCCTACCTTGGAGGCAACATTGTTGCTCCCTGATCCCTCACAAGAGTCTCTGACTCCATGTTGTCAACTGGAGTCCAGGAGAGAAGAGGGAAGACTTTCAGCTACTGACTGCATACTCAGAAACCTCATAGTTAGGATCTTTTCAAAATTATGACTCAACTATATCAAAACATACGAACAATGATATTGGTGTCAGGATATCATCACTGTCTAATGAGGAGAACTTGACTATGGCAGACGGCCATATTCCTGAGCAATGGAGCCCACAGTCACAGGAAAACAGACCATCGACCAGCAAACATAGCACCCAGAATGAATTGATGATAGCACAGACAGGAGGACAGGGAGGCCTAAGTCATCCTGCACGCACTAACCCAGGGGACAGTTGAATCTCAGGTCTGGCATGCATTAGGTTGGTGACAGCTTAAGGAAGCGTGTGTCAGGTCAGCATCGCAGCTGGTGCAAGGCACAGGAGGACAGCAACGACACGACCCACGAAAGAACAGAGAAGTTAGTGTGATGTCCTCTGAGCCACAGAAAGTTCTTGAAATGTAGGTAGAGAGTGGGTGCACCTGAGAACCAGGTCTGGTCCACAGTGATTGCTTGCATGAATGCTTGAATGTGCAAAGCTCAGCTGCCATGGGAACCTAGGCTGGGTGGGAGGGAGGGGATATGAGCCTGAGGAAGAGATAGTGGCCCACACCAGGTCCTCAAGGCAGAGGAGATGGGATGTGGGGAGGTGGTAGAAAATTAGAAAAAGTCTAGGATTCATGGTGAATATGGTATCAGCAGGGAAAGGGGAAGGTTCAGCTTCTTGCATGGTGACCGGTGTTCTGAGCCTGCTTGGGAGTGGAGAATTGAGCCAGATGAACAGGAGATGGCAAGGAGACCCAGGGCAAGTACAGGCAGAGGCAGGAGCAAGGTGGGACTTCTCAAAAATCAGGGTGATGGAAGGAGGGGGAGAAGTGACCTGGGGGTTGGGAGATGGAGGGCAGATAGGCAGGTAAGAGTGTCAGGAAGGTGACAGGAAGGAGCTGAAGGGCAGTGTGACAGTCCAGTGGCCAGCCTCGTCCTGCTCTTCAGGGACTGGTTTTTGCAAATGCTCCTTTATGTGCTGCACTGAGAATGGAGGAGACCTCACCTGTCCCTGTGTGTGTGTGTATGTCTGTCTGTTTGTCCATCTCCAGAGGAACAAGCTGTGAGCACCCAAGCAGTGCCCACCACAACCCCTGAGCCTCCCCCTAAGCCTCGCCTGGGGGAGCTGACCGTGACAGAAGCCACCCCCGACTCCCTGAGCCTCTCCTGGACGGTCCCCGAGGGACAGTTTGACCACTTCCTGCTGCAGTACAGGAACGGGGACGGGCAGCCCAAGGTGGTGAGGGTGGCAGGGCATGAGGACCAGGTCACCATCTCAGGCCTGGAGCCAGACCACAAGTACAAGATGAACCTGTATGGCTTCCACAGCGGCCAGCGCGTGGGCCCCGTGTCTGCCATTGGGGTGACGGGTGAGTGGACGGGTGAGTGCCAGGATGTGACAAGTGAAAGGGAAACCTTCTTCCTTGATGACAAAAGCTGAGCAGACGATGGTGACTGGGAACTGATCACCCCACAGCCTGCTTGTTGGTAGGGCTGTGACCTCTGTATGCCTTCTTATGCCTTCTCTTAGGCTTGACCTCCTGGACAAGGAGGGTCTATGGGGAACTTGCTTATCTGGTACTTGTCTGGATTCCTCAGAGCTGACCTGGAAGCTTGCATGTGTCTATCAGATGTCCACAGAAAAGGACCACTCCTTCTCTGAGTGGACCTTAGGACCTCTGTGGTCATGGCTTCTATGTCCTTCTCCCAAGAGTAAGAACATCACTGGGGCTCCTGCCTCACCCTCTCTGTCTCCCTCTCTCAGCTACAGAGGAAGAGACGCCCAGCCCCACAGAGCCCAGCACAGAGGCACCAGAGCCCCCCGAGGAGCCGCTCCTGGGAGAGCTGACCGTGACAGGATCCTCTCCAGACTCCCTGAGCCTCTCCTGGACCGTCCCCCAGGGCCACTTTGACTCCTTCACTGTCCAGTACAAGGACAGTGATGGGCGGCCCCAGGTGGTGCGTGTTGGAGGCCAGGAGAGGGAGGCCACTGTGGAGAACCTGGAGCCTGGGCGCAAGTACAAGATGCACCTGTATGGAATCTACCAGGGGCGGCGCGTGGGCCCCGTGTCTGCCATAGGCAACACCGGTGAGTGAATGTCAGCTGTGGTCAGGCAGGAGGAAGTTGTTCTCTTCCTGCCAGCTTCAGGGAAACAATGGTGGCATCAGCAGTGCCGCCTGTGCACTTCACATGCTTGAGGGTCTTGCTGACAAGCAGGTTCAGACCCAGCAGTATTGGCTGGAGCCTGATACTCTGCATTGCTAACAAGGCCCTGGGATGCCAGTGGTGCTGGCGTGTGGGTGAGCCTGTGTAGCAAAGCTCTCACCACAGAGCCATGGGATCCTCTCTTGGAATTGGTGGCCCAGTGTTTTGCTGGCCTCCCTGCCTCCTTCCAGAGGCTCAGTGTCTATGGAGTTACTTAGGCCTATGAAGGAAGAGGGAAGGTGCTGGATGGTAGCATTTTAGGGGTTGATTTGTTCATTCCAAAAGAGATCCATGTCTTCAGGTGGGCACTGTGATGCTGAGTGTCAATTGTTCCAGCAAAGCCTGTGGGGTCCTCGCCTATAACAAGCGGATTTTATGCGTTCTGCAGTACAGGACTATGTGTGGAGTGATTATAGGACTGTAGAGAAATTGTTTAAAATCTGGGCTTGTGTTAGGTGATTTGAGGGAGAAGTCAGAAGGTGGAATTGGGCTCTGTCTAAATAGGTATTCTCAGAAAGAAGACTCAGGGGCTGGGAATGTGGCTTAGTGGTAGAGTGCTTGCCTAGCATGCATGAAACCCTGAGTTTGATTCCTCAGTACCACATGCACAGAAAAAGCCAGAAGTAGCTCTATGACTCAAGTGGTAGGGTGCTAGCCTTAAGCAAAAGAAGCTCAGGGACAGTGCCCAGGCCCTGAGTTCAAGCCCCAGGACTGGAGAGAGAGACAGAGAGAAAGAGAGGGAGGGAGGGAGGGTGGGAGGGAGGGAAAGAAAGAAAGAAAGAAAGAAAGAGGAAAAAAAGAAAGAAAGAGAACAAGAGTACTCGACTCTCTCAACTCTGTCACTGGAGAGTCTATTATGGCTTATCTATAAGATGTGTTGTCTGAGGTCAAACCCACTGTTTGTGATGAAGCATTCACTATTCACATTCGCTGAGTTATTTTTGTGAAATGCTCGTGTGTCTGTGTGAAGACAAGATTCCAAGCTAGCTTTGTTTTTATCTTGATCCATCATGGTGACAGAGATGGCCTTGTCTAGTAGCAACTTTTCTATGAAATAGTCTATGCTCAACTAGACCCGAAGAAACTGTGCTTGTGCCAAGCCAACCTGAGCAATGAAGGCCCAGCCAAGAGGACCAGACAAGCCATAGGTGTCAGAGCTTAGGAAGCCTGGATGCCAAAACAGGACCAGGCAGGGATGCCCAAATCAAGATGCTCAAGTATATCAGGGGCACCTGGGGCCTGAGGTCCTACAAGCAATAATGGTGGAAGTTTTAGAGATAGTGTGTCAGGTCAGTATCCCTGAGGCTGTAAAAGCACAAGAGCTAGATGTACAACCTCTGAGGCACCAGAGCTCTGGAGAGGTCAGTGGAGAGGTGGGGGCAGTTCAGGAAGCTCAGGAATGAGCTGAATGCAGGCAGAGAATGTGTGTGCTGATGTCAGGGAAGGCGGGGTAAGCCTGCAGGCAGGGAGGCCAGTGTGTGGCTGTTGGGAGAATTTGAAGGCCTACTCACAGTCCTGAAAGTGGAGAGGATGGGAGTAGGGCGGAAAGGAGGAATTTGGGAACAGGCTGGGAGGATGGAGGGGCTAGTTTTTGTCATGGGACAGGGGTTCTGTGCTTGTTTGGGAGCAAAGACTGAGCCAAGTGAGCAAGAAGATGACAAGGAGACCCAGTGCAGGAGAGCCTGGGGCAGTAGCCAAGTGGAGGTGCTCTGAAGAGGAGTATGCAAGTGAGAGAAAGACAGCTGACCTGGTTTGGGTAGGTGAAAGGAGATGGTAAGTAGTCAAAACGATGTTTGAAGGCCACTGTGGCCAGCACTAGCCTGCGCTTATGTGGTTCAGTGTTATGAATGTTCCTTTATATACGAATCTGAGAATGGAGACTTCACCCATCATCTGTCTGTCTGTTTGTCCATCTCCAGAACACCAAGCTGTGAGCACCCAAGCAGTGCCCACCACAACCCCCGAGCCTCCCCCCAAGCCTCGCCTGGGGGAGCTGACCGTGACAGATGCCACCCCCGACTCCCTGAGCCTCTCCTGGACGGTCCCCGAGGGACAGTTTGACCACTTCCTGGTGCAGTACAGGAACGGGGACGGGCAGCCCAAGGTGGTGAGGGTGCCAGGGCATGAGGACCAGGTCACCATCTCAGGCCTGGAGCCAGACCACAAGTACAAGATGAACCTGTATGGCTTCCACAGCGGCCAGCGCGTGGGCCCCGTGTCTGCCATTGGGGTGACGGGTGAGTATGTAGTAGGAACCCCAGAATGAGACTTGCTGGGAACGGGAGGTAGACTTTTAAGCTCTCTGGTCACAGGTGACTAGGAAATAGTGGATGGGGATTGGTCTACATCCACAGGCCTGCTAGAGTGAGGAGACTATAACTTTTATGGTCAAAGATTCCCTTGGGTTTGCCTCTGTGTACCCCAAACAAGGGGGACTGTGCTGGTGTCTGTCCAGATTATTCCCAGTTGACTGGAATGCTTGAGCATGTTGGGTAGATGTCAGCTGAACTGTGCCACCTAGGTACTGTCGGGTCTGCCAGGAGGAACAGACCCACCCTGTTCCTCTTCACCTGACTGAAACCAGTAATCGCTTGATCTCCCTGGCAGACCTAAAAATAACTATGGACTTCCCAAACCAAGCTAAGGACTGCCTTGGTCATGGCTTCTACATCCTTCTCCTTTAAGAAACAAGACAACCCCTGGGGTTCCTGCCTCACCCTCTCCCTCTCCCTCTCTCAGCTACAGAGGAAGAGACGCCCAGCCCCACAGAGCCCAGCACAGAGGCACCAGAGCCCCCCGAGGAGCCGCTCCTGGGAGAGCTGACCGTGACAGGATCCTCTCCAGACTCCCTGAGCCTCTCCTGGACCGTCCCCCAGGGCCACTTTGACTCCTTCACTGTCCAGTACAAGGACAGTGATGGGCGGCCCCAGGTGGTGCGTGTTGGAGGCCAGGAGAGGGAGGCCACTGTGGAGAACCTGGAGCCTGGGCGCAAGTACAAGATGCACCTGTATGGAATCTACCAGGGGCGGCGCGTGGGCCCCGTGTCTGCCATAGGCAACACCGGTGAGTGAATGTCAGCTGTGGTCAGGCAGGAGGAAGTTGTTCCCTTCCTGCCAGCTTCAGGGAAACAATGGTGGTGTCAGCAGTGCCGCCTGTGCACTTCACATGCTTGAGGGTCTTGCTGACAGGCAGGTTCAGACCCAGCAGTATTGGCTGGAGCCTGATACTCTGCATTGCTAACAAGGCCCTGGGATGTCAGTGGTGCTGGCGTGTGGGTGAGCCTGTGTAGCAAAGCTCTCACCACAGAGCCATGGGATCCTCTCTTGGAATTGGTGGCCCAGTGTTTTGCTGGCCTCCCTGCCTCCTTCCAGAGGCTCAGTGTCTGTGGAGTTACTGAGGCCCATGAGGGAAGAGGGCAGGTGCTGGATGGCAGCATTTTAGAGGTTGATTTGTTCATTCTACTAATAGTTCCTGGTCCACATGTGCACACAGTGAGGTTAAGTGACCATTGTCCCAGCCTGTCATAAGCAGCTGGTTTTGTGTAGGGAAGGGGCATAGAGCCCCAAAAGGGTGTCAGGAAGGTGACAGGAAGGAGCTGAAGGGCAGTGTGACAGTCCAGTGGCCAGCCTCATCCTGCTCTTCAGGGATTGGTTTTTGCAAGTGCTCCTTTATGTGCTGCACTGAGAATGGAGGAGACCTCACTGGTCCCTGTGTGTGTGTGTATGTCTGTCTGTTTGTCCATCTCCAGAGGAACAAGCTGTGAGCACCCAACCAGTGCCCACCACAACGCCCGAGCCTCCCCGCAAGCCTCGCCTGGGGGAGCTGACCGTGACAGAAGCCACCCCAGACTCCCTGAGCCTCTCTTGGACGGTCCCCGAGGGACAGTTTGACCACTTCCTGCTGCAGTACAGGAACGGGGACGGGCAGCCCAAGGTGGTGAGGGTGCCAGGGCATGAGGACCAGGTCACCATCTCAGGCCTGGAGCCAGACCACAAGTACAAGATGAACCTGTATGGCTTCCACAGCGGCCAGCGCGTGGGCCCCGTGTCTGCCATTGGGGTGACGGGTGAGTAGATGGTGGGTTACTAAGTGGAACTTCTGGAAGAGGTATCCTCTTGCGTATCCTCTTGCTGTTTGGTGATAAGTGAGCCAGCAGCGGTGCCCAGGCATTGGTCAGCACCCATAGGTCTGTTTGGGGCTGTGACCCTGCATACCTTCCCCTTGGGTTGACCTCCACGTTCCTCTGGCAGAGAGGGCCCATTAGGCCCGTTGCTGTGCTAGTGGCTGTGTCATTTCCCCTGGAAACCTAGGAGCCTAGACCTGCTGGTCAGATGTCACTTGAACAGACTTCCAGGTCCCAAGGGTGGGATTCTCTGAGTTCATCGGAGGAACCCTCAGCCACAGCTTCTCTGTCCTCCCCGAATCTGAGTACATCTCCTGAGGTCCCTGGCTCAGCCTCTGTCTCTCCTTCTAAGATGCAGAGGAAGAGACGCCCAGCCCCACAGAGCCCAGCACAGAGGCACCAGAGCCCCCCGAGGAGCCGCTCCTGGGGGAGCTGACCGTGACAGGATCCTCTCCAGACTCCCTGAGCCTCTCCTGGACCGTCCCCCAGGGCCACTTTGACTCCTTCACTGTCCAGTACAAGGACAGTGATGGGCGGCCCCAGATGGTGCGAGTTGGAGGCCAGGAGAGGGAGGCCACTGTGGAGAACCTGGAGCCTGGGCGCAAGTACAAGATGCACCTGTATGGAATCTACCAGGGGCAGCGCGTGGGCCCCGTGTCCACTGTGGCCACAACTGGTGAGTGAGGGAAAGGGGGTTCCCTTTGTTGGGTTTCAGGAAGTAGAGCCAGTTCCTCAGTAAAGATCCAGGATCCAACCCACTTCCATCAGCCAAGTGCCTCAGGGCAGGTGTGGTAGGGCAGGGACAGCCTTATCCCAGATTAGGGCTGGGCCCATCTTGGGCTGCCAATCCCCCTTCTCTGCTTCTTCTGGGAACTCTAGAGGGAATTCTTTTTATGGAATTTGGACACATTCTAAAGAATATTAACTAATACCTTAAACACATACTTATTAAAAAAATTTCAAGGGGCTGGGAAGGTGGCTCAGTGGTAGAGCGCTTGCCTTGCATGCCTGAGGCCCTGGGTTCGATTCCTCAGCACCACATAAGCAAAAAGAAAAAAGCCGAAGTGGTGCTGTGGCTCAAGTGGTAGAGTGCTCGCCTTGAGCTGAAGAGCTGAGGGACAGCGCCCAGGCCCACAGTTCAGGACCCACGACCAGACCCCCCCCCCAAAAAAAACATTCAAGCATATCCAAAAGGTTAACATAAGGGTATTCAATATATTCATCACCCTGATTCTTTTTTTTTTTTTTTGTCGGTTGTGGGGCTTGAACTCTGGGCCTGGGCGCTGTCCCTCAGCTCTTCAGCTCAAGGCGAGGGCTCTACCACTTGAGCTACAGCGCCACTTCCGGTTTTCTGGTAGTTTATTGGAGATAGGAGTCTCATGGTCTCTCCTGCCCGGGCTGGCTTTGAACCGCGATCCTCAGATCTCAGCCTTCTGAGTAGCTAGGATTACAGGCGTGAGCCACCAGCGCCCGGCCATCACCCTGATTCTTAAGTCAGCTCTTGGTCTTTCTGCCTGATCTGCTCTTCCCCCCCCCCCCCTCTCTTTTGCTAGCCCCGGGGTCTGAACTCGGCCTGGGCGCTGTCCCTCAGCTCTTCAGCTCAAGGCTAGCACTCTACCACTTGAGCCACAGCGCCACTTCCAGCTTTTTCTGCTTATGTGGTGCTGAGGAATTGAACCCAGGGCCTCAGGCATGCAAGGCTAGCACTCTACCACTGAGCCACCTACACAGCCCTCCCCTCTCTTTTTAAAAAGGCTCTTTTTTATGGGCTGGGGTTATAGCTTCAGTAATACAGAACTTGCATAGCATGTGAAATATTCTGGGTTTATTTATTTATTTATTTATTTGATCGGTCGTGAGGCTTGAACTCGGCCTGGGCACTGTCCCTCAACTCTTCAGCTCAAGACTAGCGCTCTACTACTTGAGCCATAGTGCCACTTCCAGTTTTCTGGTGGTTTATTGGAGATCAGAGTCTCACAGACTTTCCTGCCCAGGCTGGCTTTGAACTGAGATACTCAGATCTCAGTCTTCTGAGTAGCTAGGATTACAGGCATGAGCTACGGCACCCAGCTTATTATTTTTTTTTAACTAAACAAAGATTTTTATTTTCACCAATACTGGCATGAGGCCCTGGGTTCGATTCCTCAGCACCACATAAGCAAAAAGGAAAAAACCCGGAAGTGGTGCTGTAGCTCAAGTGGTAGAGCGCTAGCCTTGAGCTGAAGAGCTGAGGGACAGCGCCCAGGCCCAGAGTTCAGGCCCCACGACCGGACCCAAAAAAAAAAAAAACAAAAAAACCCCCACTAAAGTTAGTAAATGAATGAATCCAACAAAGTTGTAGGGTATGAGATCACCACATAAATACATTGTGTTTCTTTATACCATCAATGACCAGTCTGAAAAGGAAATTAAGAAAATAATTCCACTCATAATAACATCCAAAATACTTAAATTTAAATGAGATGAAAGACTCTGACACTGAAAACTGTAATAAAACACTGATGAAAATAAAAAGACCTAAATAAATGCAAAGACATGCCATCTTCATGGATTGGAAGAGTTAATATTATTAATATATTTTCCAAAGCAATCTATAGAGTCAACGTAATCTTTGTCCAAATTCCAATGGCTTTCCTCCCCAATTAAACGTCAAAGTCCGTTGAGCAGTCTGGCTTTATCTTTACATAATTTGTGTGTCATAAAAAGTTTACCCATTGTAAGCTAGGCGCCAGTGGCTCACGCCTGTAATCCTAGCTATTCAGGAGGCTGAGGTCTGAGGGTCCTGGTTCAAAGACAGCCCTGGCAAGAAAATTCCATGTGACTCTTATCTCTAATGAATCACCATAAAACCAGAATGGCACTGCGACTCAAGTGGTAAAGCACTAGCCTTGAGCTGAAGAGCTGAGGGACAGTGCCCAGGCCCAGAATTCAAGCCCCATAACGGACCAAAAAAAAAAAATTACCCATTTTAAGCATATAGCTTATGCATTTAGCATATTTACATAATGTGCAAGTATCATTACAATCAGCTTCTGGAACTTTTCCACCACCCCTAAAAGAAGCCTTAGGTCCAGACCCATCCCTCCCCCATTCTTACACTGTTAGTCTACCCATGTCGATAGACTAGTCTTTTCTAGACATTTCCTATGAAGAGAATCATGTAATTTCTATTCCTACTCTTTTGGGTCTATCTTCTTGCACTGAGCATGCTGGTTTTGAGGTTTGGCCTTGTTTTTAGCACATAGTAATACTTAATTATTGGTTTGGGGAGTGTTTTTCTGTTTTTTGGGTTCTACCACTTGTGCCACACCTCCACTTCCAGCTCTTTTGCTGGTTAATTGGAGATAATTTGTCTGCTTGGTCTGGCTTGGAACCTTGGTCTTCAGATCTTAGCCTCCTGAATAGCTATGATTATAGATGTTAGCCACCAGCACCCAGCTGAAGAACTGAACTTTTAAATAGGGTAGTCAAAGGTGATCTTGAAAAAAGGATATATGGGCTGGGAAGGTGGCTCAGTGGTAGAGTGCTTGCCTTGCATGCCTGATGACCTGGGTTTGATTCCTCAGCACCACATAAGCAAAAAGAAAAAAAGCCGGAAGTGGCGCTGTGGCTCAAGTGGTAGAGCGCTAGCCTTGAGCTGAAGAGCTGAGGGACAGCGCCCAGGCCCAGAGTTCAGGCCCCACGACCGGACCAAAAAAAAAAGAAAAAAAGGATATATGTCCATGGCTTGTGCAAACATCTAGGGAAAGAATGTTTAGGCTAGAGGAGTCGTGTGCCAAAGCTCTGAGATCAAATTACCCCCAGAACCAGCATACCTTATGACCAGAGAGATTCAGCACCTTGTCCTAGTAATAGGAGACAATCTGTTTATATCTCTTCCCAGTCCCTGAAGAGCAGCCCCTTGGCCCTCCACTTCCTAAGCCTCGCCTGGGAGAGATGACAGTGACAGATGCCACCCCCGACTCCCTGAGCCTCTCCTGGACGGTCCCCGAGGGACAGTTTGACCACTTCCTGCTGCAGTACAGGAACGGGGACGGGCAGCCCAAGGTGGTGAGGGTGCCAGGGCATGAGGACCAGGTCACCATCTCAGGCCTGGAGCCAGACCACAAGTACAAGATGAACCTGTATGGCTTCCACAGCGGCCAGCGCGTGGGCCCCGTGTCTGCCATTGGGGTGACGGGTGAGTAGATGGTGGGTTACTAAGGTGGAACTTTCTGGAAGAGGTATCCTCTTGCTGTTTGGTGATAAGTGAGCCAGCAGTGGTGCCCAGGCATTAGTCGGCACCCATAAGCCTGCTTGGGGCTGTGACCCTGCATACCTTCCCCTTGGGTTGACCTCCACGTTCCTCTGGCAGAGAGGGCCCATTAGGGGCCAATGCTGTGCTGGTGGCTGTGTGATTTCCCCTGGAAACCTAGGAGCCTAGACCTGCTGGTCACATGTCACTTGAACAGACTTCCAGGTCCCAAGGGTGGGATTCTCTGAGTTCATCGGAGGAACCCTCAGCCACAGCTTCTCTGTCCTCCCCAAATCTGAGTACATCTCCTGAGGTCCCTGGCTCAGCCTCTGTCTCTCCTTCTAAGATGCAGAGGAAGAGACGCCCAGCCCCACAGAGCCCAGCACAGAGGCACCAGAGCCCCCCGAGGAGCCGCTCCTGGGGGAGCTGACCGTGACAGGATCCTCTCCAGACTCCCTGAGCCTCTCCTGGACCGTCCCCCAGGGCCACTTTGACTCCTTCACTGTCCAGTACAAGGACAGTGAAGGGCGGCCCCAGGTGGTGCGAGTTGGAGGCCAGGAGAGGGAGGCCACTGTGGAGAACCTGGAGCCTGGACGCAAGTACAAGATGCACCTGTATGGAATCTACCAGGGGCGGCGCGTGGGCCCCGTGTCCGCCATAGGCAACACCGGTGAGTGAATGTCAGCTGTGGTCAGGCAGGAGGAAGTTGTTCCCTTCCTGCCAGCTTCAGGGAAACAATGGTGGTGTCAGCAGTGCCTCCTGTGCACTTCTCCATGCTTGAGGGTCTTACTGACAAGCAGGTTCAGACCCAGCAGTATTGGCTGGAGCCTGATACTCTGCATTGCTAACAAGGCCCTGGGATGTCAGTGGTGCTGGCGTGTGGGTGAGCCTGTGTAGCAAAGCTCTCACCACAGAGCCATGGGATCCTCTCTTGGAATTGGTGGCCCAGTGTTTTGCTGGCCTCCCTGCCTCCTTCCAGAGGCTCAGTGTCTGTGGAGTTACTGAGGCCCATGAGGGAAGAGGGCAGGTGCTGGATGGCAGCATTTTAGAGGTTGATTTGTTCATTCTACTAATAGTTCCTGGTCCACATGTGCACACAGTGAGGTTAAGTGACCATTGTCCCAGCCTGTCATAAGCAGCTGGTTTTGTGTAGGGAAGGGGCATAGAGCCCCAAAAGGGTGTCAGGAAGGTGACAGGAAGGAGCTGAAGGGCAGTGTGACAGTCCAGTGGCCAGCCTCGTCCTGCTCTTCAGGGATTGTTTTTTGCAAATGCTCCTTTATGTGCTGCACTGAGAATGGAGGAGACCTCACCTGTCCCTGTGTGTGTGTCTGTCTGTTTGTCCATCTCCAGAGGAACAAGCTGTGAGCACCCAACCAGTGCCCACCACAATGCCCGAGCCTCCCCGCAAGCCTCGCCTGGGGGAGCTGACCGTGACAGATGCCACCCCCGACTCCCTGAGCCTCTCCTGGACGGTCCCCGAGGGACAGTTTGACCACTTCCTGCTGCAGTACAGGAACGGGGACGGGCAGCCCAAGGTGGTGAGGGTGCCAGGGCATGAGGACCAGGTCACCATCTCAGGCCTGGAGCCAGACCACAAGTACAAGATGAACCTGTATGGCTTCCACAGCGGCCAGCGCGTGGGCCCCGTGTCTGCCATTGGGGTGACGGGTGAGTAGATGGTGGGTTACTAAGGTGGAACTTTCTGGAAGAGGTATCCTCTTGCTGTTTGGTGATAAGTGAGCCAGCAGTGGTGCCCAGGCATTAGTCGGCACCCATAAGCCTGCTTGGGGCTGTGACCCTGCATGCCTTCCCCTTGGGTTGACCTCCACGTTCCTCTGGCAGAGAGGGCCCATTAGGGCCAATGCTGTGCTGGTGGCTGTGTGATTTCCCCTGGAAACCTAGGAGCCTAGACCTGCTGGTCACATGTCAGTTAAACAGATTTCCAGGTCCCAAGGGTGGGATTCTCTGAGTTCATCGGAGGAACCCTCAGCCACAGCTCCTATGTCCTCCCCAAATCTGAGTACATCTCCTGAGGTCCCTGGCTCAGCCTCTGTCTCTCCTTCTAAGATGCAGAGGAAGAGACGCCCAGCCCCACAGAGCCCAGCACAGAGGCACCAGAGCCCCCCGAGGAGCCGCTCCTGGGGGAGCTGACCGTGACAGGATCCTCTCCAGACTCCCTGAGCCTCTCCTGGACCGTCCCCCAGGGCCACTTTGACTCCTTCACTGTCCAGTACAAGGACAGTGATGGGCGGCCCCAGATGGTGCGAGTTGGAGGCCAGGAGAGGGAGGCCACTGTGGAGAACCTGGAGCCTGGGCGCAAGTACAAGATGCACCTGTATGGAATCTACCAGGGGCGGCGCGTGGGCCCCGTGTCCGCCATAGGCAACACCAGTGAGTGAATGTCAGCTGTGGTCAGGCAGGAGGAAGTTGTTCCCTTCCTGCCAGCTTCAGGGAAACAATGGTGGCATCAGCAGTGCCTCCTGTGCACTTCTCTATGCTTGAGGGTCTTACTGACAAGCAGGTTCAGACCCAGCAGTATTGGCTGGAGCCTGATACTCTGCATTGCTAACAAGGCCCTGGGATGTCAGTGGTGCTGGCGTGTGGGTGAGCCTGTGTAGCAAAGCTCTCACCACAGAGCCATGGGATCCTCTCTTGGAATTGGTGGCCCAGTGTTTTGCTGGCCTCCCTGCCTCCTTCCAGAGGCTCAGTGTCTGTGGAGTTACTGAGGCCCATGAGGGAAGAGGGCAGGTGCTGGATGGCAGCATTTTAGAGGTTGATTTGTTCATTCTACTAATAGTTCCTGGTCCACATGTGCACACAGTGAGGTTAAGTGACCATTGTCCCAGCCTGTCATAAGCAGCTGGGTTTGTGTAGGGAAGGGGCACAGAGGCCCAAAAGGGTGTCAGGAAGGTGACAGGAAGGAGCTGAAGGGCAGTGTGACAGTCCAGTGGCCAGCCTCGTCCTGCTCTTCAGGGATTGGTTTTTGCAAGTGCTCCTTTATTTGCTGCACTGAGAATGGAGGAGACCTCACCTGTCCCTGTGTGTGTGTGTGTGTCTGTCTGTTTGTCCATCTCCAGAGGAACAAGCTGTGAGCACCCAACCAGTGCCCACCACAACCCCTGAGCCTCCCCCTAAGCCTCGCCTGGGGGAGCTGACCGTGACAGATGCCACCCCCGACTCCCTGAGCCTCTCCTGGACGGTCCCCGAGGGACAGTTTGACCACTTCCTGGTGCAGTACAGGAACGGGGACGGGCAGCCCAAGGTGGTGAGGGTGCCAGGGCATGAGGACCAGGTCACCATCTCAGGCCTGGAGCCAGACCACAAGTACAAGATGAACCTGTATGGCTTCCACAGCGGCCAGCGCGTGGGCCCCGTGTCTGCCATTGGGGTGACAGGTGAGTAGATGGTGGATTACTAAGTGGAACTTCTGGAAGAGGTATCCTCTTGCGTATCCTCTTGCTGTTTGGTGATAAGTGAGCCAGCAGCGGTGCCCAGGCATTGGTCAGGACCCATAGGTCTGTTTGGGGCTGTGACCCTGCATACCTTCCCCTTGGGTTGACCTCCACGTTCCTCTGGCAGAGAGGGCCCATTAGGCCCGTTGCTGTGCTGGTGGCTGTGTGATTTCCCCTGGAAACCTAGGAGCCTAGACCTGCTGGTCAGATGTCACTTGAACAGACTTCCAGGACCCAAGGGTGGGATTCTCTGAGTTCATCGGAGGAACCCTCAGCCACAGCTCCTCTGTCCTCCCCAAATCTGAGTACATCTCCTGAGGTCCCTGGCTCAGCCTCTGTCTCTCCTAAGATGCAGAGGAAGAGACGCCCAGCCCCACAGAGCCCAGCACAGAGGCACCAGAGCCCCCCGAGGAGCCGCTCCTGGGGGAGCTGACCGTGACAGGATCCTCTCCAGACTCCCTGAGCCTCTCCTGGACCGTCCCCCAGGGCCACTTTGACTCCTTCACTGTCCAGTACAAGGACAGTGATGGGCGGCCCCAGGTGGTGCGTGTGGAGGCTGAGGAGAGAGAGGCCACCATTGGAGACCTGGAGCCTGGGCGCAAGTACAAGATGCACCTGTATGGGGTCCACCAAGGTCAGCGCGTAGGCCCGGTGTCCACCGTGGGAGTAACTGGTGAGTGAAGGAAGGCTCCTTCCTCCTTGGTTCCCTCTGGTGAACCTTGTCCTTGTCCAGGTGTCAGCACCTCTTACCCAATGTTTGCCCTCTGCTTCTTGCACTAGGCTTCTGTTTTTCTGCATTTGCTAATAATCTAGCACATCTTTCAATGGAAGGAGGATTCATGAAGTTAGAAGGGAAGGAAGATTCTCTCTACCCTATTTACACTGACTTTTTTCCTTCCATTGCTGTAAATTCAGTTCCTGATAGAACAGACAGACCTCAGCTCCCTTATTTGTGTTTTAGTCACTAGAATTTGCTCAGCTTCAAGCTGCCTGGATCTTATCTGCCTCCAAATAACTCCACACTAGCTATGTGCTTTTAAGAGCACTTAGGGAGACAGTCTTACTGCACTATTTCCCACACTGGTGAAGTTTGGCTCCTGGGTGTGAGTTGCCTACAGAAATTCCTAGAGCTCAGAAAGCTTTACCAAAAGAGTGGTTGCGTGGGGAAGGGGCGGGGGTGGGAGCCAGCCTTCCCTCGGCAGGACCTGGACTGCACTGCAGCATCCCCTGCTCTGTTTCAGCCTCCTTGCCCACACAGCCCCCGGTGGAGCCCCGCCTTGGGGAACTGGCTGTGGCAGAGGTGACTTCTGACACCGTGCGCCTGTCTTGGACTGTGGCCCAGGGCCTCTTCGATTCCTTCCTGGTTCAGTACAAAGATGCACATGGGCAGCCCCAGACAGTGCCTGTGAACAGAGACCTGCGTGAGGCCACCATCTCTGGTCTGGACCCATCCCGCAAGTACAAGTTCCTGCTCTTTGGACTCCAGGATGGGAAGCGCCGTGGCCCCATTTCTGTGGAAGCAAAGACCAGTGAGTGGGGATCTAGGCCCCCCACCCCCTCGGCCCTGGAGCTCCTGGCCAGCCTTTGCCCCTTGTGGCAACCTTTGGAATTTGACATTTCTGTGCCCCACACTCCAGACCTAAGGACTTTGTGACCCTTTATTTACCAGATCCCTTGAAGTTTAAATCCTGAGTTCCTCTTCCCCTACCCTCCCCCCACTCCCTTTTGTCCCTAGAGAAGTGTCCAGGGGACACTTGCTTTCCTTGCTGGATCTTCTATCCCTACTCCTGGCCCAGCCACCTCTCCCCCTCCCAGGGGAGCCCAGAATCTCCACACCCCCAGAGCAGGGGTTTCTGCTGCCATCATTGCTGACATTCTTCATGCATCTCTCTCTGCTTTCCAGTGCCAGACACAAAGCCCTCTCCCCGCCTGGGGGAGCTGACAGTGACAGATGTGACCACGGACTCCGTGGGCCTCTCCTGGACAGTCCCTGAGGGGGAATTTGACTCCTTCCTAGTCCAGTACAAGGACAGGGATGGGCAGCCCCAGGTGGTGCCCGTGGCAGCAGACCAGCGAGAGGTCACTGTCCCGAGTCTGGAGCCACATAGGAAATACAAGTTCCTGCTCTACGGCCTGGCAGGCAGGAAGCGGCTGGGCCCCATCTCTGCAGAAGGCACTACAGGTGAGCCCCAGCCCTCCCTGCTCCCACCTTTCCAGGGTTCTTTTTATTTTTATTTTTTTTAACTGATTGCTGGGGCTGGGGCTTGAACTCGTTGCCTGGGTTCTTCTTCTTCTTTTTTTTTTGTCAGTCATGGAGCTTGAACGCTGAGCGTGGGCGCTGTCCCTCAGCTCTTCAGCTCAAGGCTAGCACTCTACCACTTGAGCCACAGCACCACTTCCGGTTTTCTGAGTGGTTTATTGGAGATAAGAGTCTACAGACTTTTCCTGCCTGGGCTGGCTTTGAACCGCGATCTTCAGATCTCAGCCTCCTGAGTAGCTAGGATTATGGGTAGGATTCACCAACACCCAGCACCCAGCCATAATCCCGAACATTTTGTATGCAGAGTCCAGGCTTTGAACTAAGCTAATCTGTGTGGAAATCCCCAGTCCTAATCCTCACCGATTACAAACAAACCTCAGCTTCCTCACCTGCTTGATGGTGGTGAACAACTCCTTCTCTAACTCAGTTCGCCCGTCCTCCTCCTGCCACCTCAACTCTGAGGCAAGAGGTGGAAAGTAAGGGAGGGCTTGGCTGCAGAAAGACTATGGAAATATCTCATGTTCTGGTGCTCATGACTCAGCCCCCGCCCCCCGGAATGGGTGGAGTGGGTCACTGACCCTTCCCCACCCCCCCCAGGACCATGAGTCACCTTGGCCAGTCAGGGCTCGGGGCTCTCAGATTCCATAATTGTTTCCTCAACCCTCACTTGGGGAAAGCATCTAGGCTTTTCTGAACGCCGTCTATCAAAAGTTACCCCCTACAGGCTAGTAGCCTCTTGTATTCCCAACTCTGCCTCTTCTTTTGTATTCCCAACTCTGCCTCTTCGCTACCCAACTCTTGCTGCCTTGGTCCAGTGATGTCCGCTCCGGGTTAGGGAAATAGATGAGGGGACAGTCTAGGCTGGTGGCAAATGGGGGAGGTCCTGTAGAGCTGACCAGCTGGTCATCCACACTCTCCTGTTTGGGGGTGCCCCTCTCTCAACTCAAATATCCTCTGAGATTCTTTTGGTCCTAGCCACAATCCTGCCCAGGGGAAGTGAAGTTCCTCTGTGTGCCCAGCTCCCGCTCTCTCCCGGGAGATCTTTTGTGTATTTATTGTGCCCTTGACCGTGGCGGGGGGCACGGGGCAGGACAGTGGCTTCCAGAGAGGGATAAGACGAGGCCTGTTTATGCCCTCAGGTGGCTGTCCCTAAATCATTCTCAGGATTCTTTCCCCACAGCTTCACACCTCCCAGGAGTGGCCCAAAATAGGTCAAAGCCGTTCTTGAACTAAATGTCCCCAATCCTCTCCACAGCACCCCTGGAGAAGACGCCACAGCCCCCACCCCGCCTTGGGGAACTGGCAGTGACAGAGGAGACCTCAGACTCGCTGCGGCTCTCATGGACGGTGGCCCAGGGCCTCTTTGACTCCTTCCTGATCCAGTACAGGGACAGGGATGGTCAGCCTCAGGCAGTGCCTGTGACTGCAGACCAGCGGGAAGTCACTGTCCAAGGCCTGGAGCCTGGCAGGAAATACAAGTTTCTGCTCTATGGGCTCTCCGGAGGGAAGCGCCTGGGTCCTGTCTCTGCCCTGGGAGTAACAGGTGAGGCTGACCGGCCTGGTGCTAGCAAGCAGGGCACAGGGGGCTGCCCTGTGCCTTGGGGCTGAAGACAGCCTCCTGGCAGGGGTGGTCAGGGAAGGAGTCCCTCCCAGCGCCTGGAGAAAGGAAGAGTTTGCTGCCAAGTCAGGCTGTCCATCCCAATCACAGGAGCAGGAAAGGCGGGAAGGGAAGGTCCTTGCTGAGGCTCCCCCTGAGCCCACGCTCCTCATCCCATCACGTAGCTGCCCCCCACTGTCCCGCCGGAGCCGCTTTCACTGCCTGGCACTGTGGCCTCGCCCAGATAGGGCAACCCCACCACGAATGACTCAGGGCCATTTTCTCAAATGGAAAATCACTGGAAAACAGCGGGAGGAAACAGAAGCCAATGGAAGTGGCAGCTCCTCTTCCAGGGGCCACCTATGCCCGCCTCAGATCTGCCAGGCCAAGAACACACTGGCCCCACAAAGGCTGAGGTGACACACCAGGCTCACTGGCCAGCCAGTGCCGCCCTCAGCTGCTCGCAGAAGGAAGGCTGAATCTCCTAGGCCCAGCATGTGCCAAGCCAGGCACATAGGCATTCCAGGGTGGAGCAAGGGTGGATGCAAGGACATCTAGACATGAGGCTCAGTGGGTCCCCAGGGAAGGGGACGTGAGTACCTGACCCAGGGACTCCTATAGCCGAGAGCCCAGGAGAACGTAATGGGGCCGCAGCAGCTTCCCAAACAGGAGACAGGCCTCAGTGTTGGGAGACAATGTTGCAGGAGACAATGTCAAAGCACTGATGTAGCCAGGCACCAATGACATGCCTGTCATCCTAGCTACTCAGAAGGCTGAGATCTGACGATCACAGTTCAAAACTAGCCTGGGCAGGAAACTCCATGAGACTCTTACCTCCAATTAACCATCAGAAAATTGAAAGGAGAGCTGTGGCTCAAAGTGGTAGAGCACTAGCCTTGAGTGAAAAAGCTTAAGAACAATGCCCAGGGCCTGAGTTCAAGCCCCATGACCAACTTAAAAAAAAAAAGCAGTGATGTAGCAGGTTCTAGAACTGGAAGGTCCTAGAAAAGCCCTGGTTCCTCTCTTCTCTCCACTACGCTGCCAGGCCAGGACCTACCAGGTATAGTGACAGGATAGCCTTCCGATGTCCCTCACTGACATTCTCCCCGGACTTCTTCACAGCCCCAGAAGAGGCAATGCCGACCCCCGAGGGCTCAGAGCCCAGTGAAGCACCCCGCCTAGGGCTCCTGACTGTGACCAAAGCAACGCCAGACTCTCTGAGCCTCGAGTGGAGTGTGACCCAGGGCCCGTTTGACTCCTTCGTGGTCCAGTATCAGGACACAGATAGGCAGACCCAGGCCTTGCTCGTGGACGGTGACCAGAACCAAGTCCTCATCTCAGGCCTGGAGCCCAGCACCTCCTACAAGTTCTTCCTCTACGGTCTGCATGAAGGGAAGCGCCAGGGGCCCATCTCTGCGGAGGGCATCACAGGTACCCTCAGGCTGGTCTCATCCTAACCTGGGCTAGGAAGTGTGAAAGGAGGTCGCTGGGAGTGGCAAAGGTCATGGGAGGCTCCGGGGGGGAGGAGGCTCCTCATTTGCCTCTGTGTAGCCCCAGACTCTGCCCTCACACAAGCTAAGTCCCTTACTAACTCTGCTTTGCTGGTAGCAGCGGGCCAGGGTGGGGTGGTGGAGGGAACCCACCCCGGCACACATTGCTGGTTACACATAATTCCCAACCCTTCTCTCCCACACACTCCTTGCAGGGTCAGCTCCTGCTGGCCAGACCCCGGGGGACCCAGGGCCCCGTCTCTCCCAGCTGTCGGTGACTGATGTGACCACCATTTCTCTACGGCTCAACTGGGAGGCTCCACTTGGGGCCTTCGATTCCTTCCTGCTTCGCTTTGGGGTCCCATCACCTCGCACCCTGGAGCCACATCCACGTCCGCTGCTACAGCGGGAGTTGGTGGTCCCGGGGACCCGGCGCACGGCCATACTCCGGGACCTGCGGCCGGGGACCTTGTACAGTCTCACTCTGTACGGCCTGCGGGGGCCTCACAAAGCTGACAGCATCCAGGGCACTGCCCGGACCCTCAGCCCAGGTAAGGCCCCATCATGGGCACATGCGAGACACCAAAGGGAGGGTTTGGGGCTTGTGATGTGGGATATCTCCTGCTTCAGACAGAGGGTTGGTGAGTCAGAGGCTCTGACGGTCTAGAGAATGACTTCTGTTCCTAGGACCTAGGGTGGACCCTTCAGGAGCCAGGAGGTCCAGAGAGACAGGGCAGGAAGTTCCCTACCCCTCCCTCACTATTATCTCTTGCCTACATCCCCAGTTTTGGAGAGCCCCAGAGACCTCCAATTCACCGAAATCGGAGAGACCTCAGCCCAGGTCAACTGGGTGCCACCATTATCCAGGGTGGACAGCTTCAAAGTTTCCTACCAGCTGGCAGATGGAGGTGACACCCTTTTGCCATGTCCTCATTTCTCCTGCTCCCTGCTCCCTGCCCACCCTCTAGCTGCACTTGACTTTCCCAGGCAACCTTAACCCCCAATGCACTTTCAGGAGAGCCCCAGAGCGTGCAGGTGGATGGCCGGGCCCAGTCCCAGAAGCTCCAGGGTCTGATCCCAGGAGCTCGCTATGAGGTCACTGTGGTCTCTGTCCGTGGATTTGAGGAGAGTGAGCCGCTCACAGGCTTCCTCACCACAGGTGAGACGGGCCGGACCAGGGGCAGGGGGGACGGTGGGAGCGTGAGCGTAGAAAACTGGGGCTTAGCCAGCCGCCAGTGCCTCATGCATATAAAACTCAGGAAGCTGAGACCTGAAGATTGAGGTTCAAAGCCACCCCGGGGCAAAAAAGTCCAAGACTCCATCTCCAATTAACCAGCAAAAAAAGCTGGATTGGAGGTCTGGCTCAAGTGGCAGCGCACCAGCTGTAAGCAAAAAAGCTGATCAAAAGTGAGAGGCAATGAGTTCAAGCCCTAGTACTGGCACACAAAAAAAAAAAAAGAGGAAAGAAGAGGAAGAAAAACAAAACAACACAAGGCTTGGATGGGAGCTGAATGGAAGGGAGGCGCATGACTGGGAACAAGTGCCAGCGGCTGGCCTTGGAAACGTTAACGGTAGGGAGAGTGGCAGGGACCCTCTGAGCCCGCTCCTCTCTCCCAGTTCCCGATGGCCCAACCCAGCTTCGTGCGCTGAACTTGACGGAGGGGTCTGCCCTGCTGCACTGGAAGGCCCCCCAGAACCCTGTGGATGCATACAACGTTCAGGTGTCCGCCCCTGGAGGTGAGCAGGGCTGAGGCTTCCTTCCAGAGGGAACTTGTTCAGCTTGGGGACACAGGGAGAGGGGGCCGGAGGGGGCCGGATCTGACGCTCAGCTCCACTCCAGCTCCATCACTCCAGGCCTCAGCGCCTGGCAGTGCTGTGGACTACCCACTGCGTGACCTGGTGACCCACATCAACTACACCGCCACTGTGCGTGGCCTCCGGGGTCCCAACTTCACCTCCCCGGCCAGCATCACCTTCACCACTGGTACTGCCCGGGGTATGGGAGTGGGGAGGGGAGGTGTGAGGAAGATGAGCCTCCCCCCCCTTACCTCTTCCCGCTTTCTCCCCACTTCCAAGGGTTGAAGGCCCCCCAGGACTTGGAGGCCAAGGATGTGACTCCTCGGACAGCACTGCTCACTTGGACCGAACCCCAAGTCCCACCCACAGGCTACCTGCTCAGCTTTGACACACCTGGCGGGCAGACCCAGGTGCCCCACCCCGCCCTGCTGCCCAGGCCCTCTCCCTGCGTGCACTCCGGCTCCCAGTGGGGACTGCTGAGCTGGAAGGTTCGATGGAGAAAGCCTTTCATGCCTAGGGCCTCCCCTAACCTGTCCCTTGTGTGTTCACAGGAGATCCTGCTCCCCGCAGGGGTTACCTCACACCGGCTTCTCCGCCTCTATCCCTCCACCCTCTACAATGCTCGGCTCCAGGCCGTGTGGGGCGAGAGCCTCACGCCACCCGTGTCCACCTCCTTCACCACGGGTACCTGGCGCTGGGCCTGAGTTTGGGTAGGCAGCAGGAGCCTGAGGTTTAGACAGAGAACAGCCCTTCACCCTCCTCTCCCCAGGTGGGCTGCGGGTCCCTTTCCCCCGGGACTGCGGGGAGGAGATGCAGAATGGGCCCAGCACCTCGAGGACCACCACCGTCTTCCTCAACGGCAACCGCGAGCGGCCCCTGGATGTGTTCTGTGACATGGAGACTGATGGGGGCGGCTGGCTGGTAGGTGGGGTAGAAGCCCAGATGTCTGCAAAGGGAGAGGCGGCCACCTCAAGAACCCAAGGCTGACCGTGCCCGCTCCCCCGCCCCCCCATCTTCCCTCAGGTGTTCCAGCGCCGCATGAATGGAAAGACAGACTTCTGGAGGGACTGGGAAGAGTATGCTCACGGTTTTGGGAACATCTCTGAAGAGTTCTGGCTGGGTCAGTGCCTCACAGGGATTGGGGAGTCAGGCAGGGTTGGGAAACCATGTGGACACCAGCATCCTGATGAGATCTGCCCCCTCCTCCAGGCAACGAAGCCCTACACAGCCTCACACAGTCTGGTGACTACTCCATGCGTGTGGACCTCCGCACTAGGGATGAGGCGGTGTTCGCCCAGTATGACTCCTTCCAAGTAGACTCAGCGGCTGAGAACTACCGGCTCCACCTAGAGGGCTACCATGGCACTGCAGGTGAGAGTGGGCCCTGACCACAAAGGGTGGGAGAGGCGGAGGGGGGCGGGGGGCAGGGGTGCTCATCACTCCTTTCTGCATCCTGCCAGGGGACTCTATGAGCTACCACAGTGGCAGTGTCTTTTCGGCCCGTGATCGAGACCCCAACAACCTGCTCATCTCCTGTGCGGTCTCCTACCGTGGAGCCTGGTGGTATAGGAACTGCCACTATGCCAACCTCAACGGGCTCTACGGGAGTGTGGTGGACCACCAGGTGAGAGGCAGAAGGAGGCAGCAGAGCTGTGGAAGTTGGGGCTCTGTGGTCTGGGTTGGAGCTCTGTCATGTGACAGGATAGATGAGCTGCTCAGAGCCAAATCTGTGATACGGGACAATAATGCCACCCTTGCCAGTTAACTTTGAGAAGAGGATTCATTTTTTGGGTGGCAAAGGCCAGCTCCGGAGTAGCCCTCCACCCTTTGCAGCTGAGGGTTTTGAAATGAGTAGAGCAGGAAGGTTGATGGATTTCTTTTTTCTTTTTTTATTTTTTGTCAGCTGTGGAGCTTGAACTCAGGGCTAGAATGCTGTCCCTCAGCTCTGTTTGCTAAAGGCTAGCGCTATATGACTTTGAGCCATAAGCTCCACCTCTGGTTTTGGGGGATGAAGTGGAGATAAGAGTCTCATGGACTTTCCTGCCTGAGCTGGCTTTGAACTGCAGTCCTCAGATCTCAGCCTCCTGAGTAGCTAGGATTATAGGCATGAGCCACCAGCACCTGGCTTGATGGACTTGGCAGGTCACTTTGAGCGGGCAGGGTGGGGACAGACCAGATGCTGATTCTGGTGCTGATTCTCCCTTGCCAATCCCTTTCCCAGGGAGTGAGCTGGTACCACTGGAAGGGCTTCGACTTCTCAGTGCCCTTCACGGAAATGAAGCTAAGACCAAGAAGCTACCAGCCCCCTGCCAGAGGAGGCTGAGCTGCTACCCACCTCTCTTGCACCCCAGTATGACTGCCGAGCACTGAGGGGTCGTGCGCAGAGAAGAGCCAGGAGCCTTCACCACCCAGCCTCCTGAAGCAGCCTTCTCTGCCCATGATCTCACAGCACCATGTTTACAGGGGGGAGGGGAAGGGTTGGTACGGGTGCAATAAAGGAAAAACTGAGGCATGTGCTAGTCACTGGCCCTGGCCCCGAGGCTGCAGGCGCACTTGGAAGGGCTGCATCTGGAGGTTGACAGTGTAGAAGGGCTGGGGCTGCAGCGAGGGCAGGGCGCCCTCAAGTGGCAGCAGTGTGAAAGTCTGGAGCAGGCGGGCCAGTACCACGAAGAGCTCTAAGCGGGCCAGTGGCTCTCCCAGGCACACGCGGGCCCCACAACCGAATGTCAGTACTCTGGGGCTCTTGCCAGGCTCCAGGAAGCGGTCTGTGAGTGGGTGGGCAGGTAGAGCAGGGAGGTTTGCAGCAACCACAGAACTGACCTCCACCTCCATGTCTGCCCCATCCCTAGCTCCCCAGCATACCAGGCCAGAATTCCTGTGGCCGCTCCCAGATTGTCTCATCAAGATTTGCGCCTTGGAGGTTGGGGATAATGATTGTGTCCTTAGGGATGTCATAGCCCAAGATGCTGAGGGAAAGATGGAGTTAGAGGCTGGTTAGGGTTAGGCCTAACCCTAACCCTCATCCCTAACCCTTGGCAGTCACCTGCTGGGCCGGATGGTGCGGTGGGGCAAAGCCAAAGGCACGACAGGCCGTAGACGGAGCACCTCGGCAATGGTGGCATTGAGCAAGGGCAGCCGCGTGCGGACCTTGTGTGGGATATGGGAGCCCAAGGGGCCAGGCCCCAGTTCAAGGTCTAGCTCATTCTGCAGTCGCTGCTGAATCTGGGAGACAGGGGCAAGCCAGGAGTCCAGGGACCAAGCTCTGCCCAGGCCTATTCACAGCAACCCAGCCTCCAGCCACTTCCCTCCCACAGCCTGGCGGAGCCTTTGCGCCCTCTCTCCGTGACCACCACCCAGATCAGGCGCAGCACCAACAGCATGGCAGGAGATCCAGCCCTGACCAGGCTGCCAGCAAAGGCCCTTCTGCCCTTCCATCCCCCAGACCCACCTCAGGGTGATGAACCAGGAAAGCCACAGCCCAGGAGAGAGTGGTTGCTGTGGTTTCAGTGCCACCGATAAAAAGATCCACCATGGCCATGTGCACGTGCCCTTCCAGGAGCTCTCCAGGGCCCTCATCCCCTTTCACCTGCCCCATCCTTTGGAGCATGTAGCCTGTCATGTCCTTCCATTGGCCTGCCACCAGATTCTCCTATAGAGGGAAAGACAACAGGCTGAGTGGACAGCTTGGGAAGGGAGGTGGGGGCAACAGGCCTAGAACTGGAAGCTTCTGGAAACCCGGCCCAGTAGTGATGGGGAGTTTTGCCATCACAGGTGGACTCAGGGGAACCTGATCCACACGTAGTTCCCAACCTTGTGCCACCTCAGCTGCTGCTCTACAATGTGATCCCTGTTTGATATGATCCGCTTCAGCTTCCAGAGACCTGGGTTGGGGAAGAACTAAGGCAGAAGCATGAGTCAGCTGCCTGATGAAGGCCTATCCCTCCACCCCCGCCCCTCCCCCAGGACCCAAGGGTCTCTCCGTTCCACTCCTCACCCTGAGAATGGGGACCACGTTCAAAATTTGGACAGACCAGTGGTCCCAAGCTTTCATCAGATCCTGAACACAGCTGTAAACAGCATTTACAAAGGATTTGTCCTGTCAGATAAAAACAGTCCGTGTTCAGTTCTGGACCAGATGAAAGCCAGGAGGGGCTCAAGGGTCAAAGGAGCCGTTCTGACCCTGTCTCCAAAGGTGAGGCCGCAAATGATGCTGCAGGCGAGGAAAGAGAACTCCTCCTGGATGGCCACAGGGCGGCCCTCCTGGGCCCTCATTCGCTGTGGAGGAGAGCAGGAGCTATGCGGGCTGGGAAGGAGGGAGGGAGGGAGTGCAGCGGAGGGGAGGCTGAGCCTGGGGAGAGCCAGGCTACAGGAGCCCAGCCTCACCTCACAGAATTCTTGGGTCAGCTGCTCCACCAGCGGCTCCATGGAGTCTCGGATCCCCAGCAGCAGGGCAGAGCGGGTGAGTTTCTTGTGGGCCTTCCATAGCAGGGAGTAGTCCCCTAGTGACAGGTCTGGGTATTGCTGAGACACCAGCTTGACTTGAGCAGGAGAGGATGAGGATGGAAAGTAACTTAAGGAGAGCCAGGCATTGGTGGCTCACACCTGTAATCCTAGCTACTCAGGAGGCTGAGATTTGAGGATCACAGTTCAAAGCCAGCCTGGCCAGGAAAGTCTGTGAGACTCTTATCTTCAATTAACCACCAGAAAACTGGAAGTAGAGTTGGGGGTCAAAGTGATAGAGTGCTAGCCTTGAGTGAAAGAGCTCAGAACAGTGCCCAGGCCCTGAGTTCAAGCACTATGACTGACAAGAAGAAAGACAAAGAAAGAAAGAAAGGAGGAAAAAAAGAAAAGAAAGAACGAACAAAAGAAAGGAAGGAAAAGAAAGAAAGAATAGAAGAAAGCGAAGGAGGGAGGGAAGGGAAGGGAAGGAAGCCCAAGGGCTTCATTTTCTTCTGCCTCAGCCCCTCCCACCCATAAGAAGCCACAGGCCCTTACAGGATGGTGTCTGGGGTCGGCCGGCAAAGTCTACCCACTTTCTGACCAGAGCCTCCTCAATAGCCCTCTTGGAGTTCAGCACCACCACATCTGGAGGAGAGGGGAAATAGGCGTCAGCAAAGAGGGATCTCCACCTCTGGCCACCAGTGGTGAGCCAGGGAGAGGAAGCCGGCTCTTACCTTGCAGCCCCAAACGGAGCCTGTAAATGGACCCAAGTTTCTGAGTGAGGCCCAACAGGTAGAGGGGGAGGTTGGGCTTCAGGATGTGCAGGAAGCCTGGGGCGAGTGGCGGGAGGTGGAGGTTCCTGTGCTTCCACTGGCCCCATAGCAGGCGGGTGCCAGCCAGCAGTATCAGCAGCAACAGAAGCCCAAGAAACAGCATGGCAGAAGGCCCATGCAGAGGCGCTGGCATGACCACTTATAGGCTCTTGATCCCTGGCCAGCTATTCTGCTCTCTGGGCTCTTTGGGGACCTTCCCCCTGGCCCACCCCCATAATGACACATTTCTAGAATGGCACCAGTCTAATTAGCCTTGAGGATCCATCTTTCAAATACCAACCCATCCATCAAAAGGAAAGGAAGGAAAACAAAACCTTGACCTTTTCCCAGAATCAGCTTTCCAGCTGCACAACAACCACGCAGGCTCCTGTGACCACCCTCATTGTAGCTGTCTCCTGCATACCCCACCCTGGGCCAACTTAGTGGTATGACTTTGTCTCCAAAGAGAAAAAAATGGTCTTTGCAGCCAGGCGCCGGTGGCTCACGCCTGTAACCCTAGCTATTCAGGAGGCTGAGATCTAAGGATCACAGATCAAAGCCAGCCCGGGCAAGGAAAAGTCCATGAAACTTTTATCTCCAATAAACCACTAGAAAACTGGAAGTGGCGCTGTGGCTTAAGCAGTACAGTGCTCACCTTGAGCTGAAGAGCTGAGGGACAGCGCCCAGGCCCAGAGTTCAAGCCCCATGACCGACCAAAAAAAAAGGTCTTTGCTGCCTAGTATGCCCTCTGGGACTGTGGGAGGGACAAAACAAGATAGTGATTTATGGGGATTATTTTCCATTATTTTTACTTACAGAGAGAGCGTGACTATATAGTTAGTTTCCCTGGGGCACCCCAGTATATAAATGTAATCTTGTACAATTATTAATAGTGCTCCTTTCACTATTGAAAGTGTCCAGAGCTGGGTGTCGGTGGCTCATGCCTGTAATCCTAGCTGTTCAGCAGACTGAGATCTGAGGATCAGAGTTTAAAGCCAGCTAGAGCAGGAAAGTCCAAGAGACTATCTCCAATTAACAACCAAAAGGCTGGAGGTGGAGCTGTGGCTCCAAGTGGTAAAGCTCCAGCCTTGAGAGAAAAAGCTAAGGGACAGTACTCGGGTCCAAGTGTAGTAGTGCATACCTGTAATCTAAGGACTCAGGAGGAAGAGCAGGAGGACTAGAAGTTTGAAGCTAGCCTAGACCATGTAATGAGATCCAGCCTTGATAAAAACAAGAGCTGGGGATGTAGTGGCAGAGTGCTTGTCTACCATAGGCTGAGTTTGATTCCCCAGCCTTTAAAAAACAAACAAACCTTAACTGTCCAGAAGACAAAGAATTCTAGGCCCTTCCTCTAGTGTGGAGTACTTAGCACATCCCACAGAACTAAGTGCTTTTACTATACTAGCCCTATTCTTCACAGCAATGCTGTTATTGTCTCCATTTTATAATAAAGTTGAGGCAAGAGGCCTGAGTGGCCTGCCCAGCCTGAACTAGGATTCAGGCTGGCGATTAAGCTGCAGGTTCTACCTGAAGCCACTAGGAGCATCTCCCTGGCTGCAAGGAAAAGTGATCACCTTGAACCAGCTTGCAACAAATATAAGAATTGTCTTACAAATGCAGGGGTATTCCACAGAACCTAGGAACAGGAAGGAGACCTCATTGAGCTCCAAGGCCAGAGATAGGAGACAAACGCAGGCCATTTCCTCCTCTGTTGCTTCTCCTCTCTGAAGCTCCATGTGCTTCCAGGGGCAGGCAGAAGAGGGCCTGCTCAAGAAGTAGAAGGGTGGTTCAAGTGGTAGAGCACCAGCCATGAGGGAAAAAGCCAAGTGAGAGCAGGAAGTCTTAAGTTCGACCCCTGGTACAGAGCCGGCCTGCTCAGGGCCACCCAGGAAGGGTGGGATAGTGGATGATGGATCATGTCATCCTTCCCAAAGCCCCCATGAAGTTTCTGGATAGCCATGGTCAGCTCAGAGGCCCAGCCTTATTCTGGAATTGTACCCATAATAATGGGGTTTCTCTGGACCACTTTTGGGGTTGAGGGTTCTAGAAGCAGGACTTGGGAAGAGCCATGACAGAGGCAGAGGAGGGGTTAAGACTGCCTAAAAGGTGTGTGAAATCTTAGGCTGTTCCCCAAATTCACCAGCCCAGGCTATGTAGCTAAACCCCGCTACTTAGGAGTTCTCTCTCCCTTTGAAACTTTGTGCACTGGGGAGCCTGAGGCGAGGGCCCAGCTGTGCCTTCTCCTTGCTAGATGAGCTAA